ACTCACATATCTAGCGGGAAAAGTGAACAGGGGTTGGAGACAAGCAATTGGTGCCGTTGATATCCTCTTCCCTCTAATTCTTCAAGAAACCGTGCCGGTAACAAAACGTAGATATCAATCATAGCAGAAAACTTGTAAAAGAAAGCCGCATTCAGCTTATAGGACGGCTACGGTATGGCAGAATAATCTTCTCTAGAGACCCGTGGCTTATAAGCCGTTCGACGTTTTCATACGGCCCTTCCTTTGGTAAAATGAAAGCAATTCATCCTCGGGTATCAAATCTGCAAATCAGCCAGGAATCTTCAGCCCCCCCTACATCCCTTTCAAGTTACGAAAGTTACAAAAGTTACAATACCCAGCCACCCCACGTAACAAGCAAAGGCAAGCAAGCGGACATGCGTGAGGAGCATCCCGTCTCCGCTGCCGCCGCAGCACCAAAGCAGGTAGTTGTTAGCCAAGCAGGGAGCAGAAGCAAGTATGATCCGCATATGTAGGATAGTGACAATATATGCCTGTCAGTATTAGATTCTGTATACCCTCCCGCACCACAAGTACGCGCTCTATTTATGATTATTTGAAGGGTTGGTCTCGACTCGATATTTCCGTCTACCCCATGTCACGTCGACAATTTTGCCCCCCATTGTTGTGGAGAGAGCATCAAACCCCCACTAGTATACCGACATCATCAATGCTCAACGAGTTAAGATGTTATTAGAATTGTAGCGTATTCCCGTAGCAGCCCAAGTACCTCGTAACGGAATTGGCGATGGGGCCGAGTACCGGCAGGGCGAAAGAAAATAAGAACCGAATCCGGAACTCTTACTTGGTCCCCGAATCACATTTACGACAGCTAAAATTTTCCAAAATTAAATATCCTCTAGACCGACAAGTTTCAGGGGTTCAAAACAGTCAACTGATTACTGTATGGGCGAATCAATGTTTCTATCTTGAGGAGTGAAGACTAACTCCGGGTCGTAACGTAGCCGGGGGTTTGGCTCAAGTTTAGGCAAGCCCAGCTTTCTCGAGGAATTCCTAACGACGACGACCCTATATCGGATCTTTGGCCACCCAATTGCTAGGCACACTGGGCAATTTCTTTAAAACACTACCGCACATTGGCCGCGACCCAACAGAAAGGCCACTGCAACGTAGCCCAGAGAAGCAGGGAAAGAAAGAGCAAGGTCGCGCGTCGAAGGAAGCAGAGAGGGTGGCAATTGTTCATGCCGGTAAAACATAAAAAACGCTGCGGCTGCACAGGATAGAGGAGGGCACGGGTCGGGAATGTAACCCGACTCGATAGTGTTGAATCAATGGCACCCCCATCCAACCGTGACCCCAAAGTGGATTAAGCAACACGACATAGCAAATACAGATACAACAAGAACGGCGGCGGCCCCAATCGCCAGGCTGCATGAACGCCTAGCATGGGGTCCAGCATTCGCCGCCGAGCGTACCGTACCGTACCCTCTAAGTAAGGTACATGATGAAATCTTGAGGCCTAGATTTTGTAGACATGCTACCCCGGTTCCTAGAGGATTTGCAGCCTCGATCCAAGCCCATAAGCAGTAATCAACGGTCTGTTAGACCTAAGATTCGGCATATACATACATACACCGCGCACATACATCATACATCATACATGATGTGGGAAGCAAGGAGGGAGTTCCCGCTTGTGCAGATGACAATCGGGGGTTGTATCATCAGCCTCCGATGACATGAGAGAAAGAAAGGGAAAAAAAAAGTGAGCTGTCAGCATCCAAGGCGGTTAGTGTCCAAGTTGGTCTACGGCTTCGCTTCTTCCTAGCCCAATGATGTGCGTCAATCTTCTCTACGAAGAACATCCGCATCGCCTAGACCCGGGAGGGTACCATCCAAAATCGTACCTAAGCTTCAGCTCCCTTTCCCCCAAGACTGTAACGAAAGAGGGTTGCATAAGAAACGATGACGGGAGATATGGTGGGCTACTTGCATGAGGATGTGCGGGGGACAGGAAATCGAACCGGGACCGATCCCATCGCGAGACAAGCAGGGCATGTTAAAAAAATAAAAAAAGCAGGTAGGGGTTTTTTTTTATTCTGCTGCCTTTGGATGTGTGCCTGGTGTTTCTTTCAAGCTAGACCAGGGTCAGTCAGTCATTGCATTGTTTAAAATGTAAGCTCGAGGCGTGCCAACCAGCAAGTAGAATTGCCGACCTCGTGACTTGGAGAGATCCTTCAATTCAATCTGACAAGTTCCATCCTACTAATAAATCCATCTCTACGACTGTAACCCGCTGCTGGGCTGGGCACCAAAACAAGTATGCTCGGGCTTTTGGTTTCGAAACGCACCCACCCGATTGGCCAACTGGGGCGCCTCCGTCAGATGTCGTGATATGATGTCCTGTTGTTGGACGAATCCCATAGCTCTGATAACCTTGACGTTTAACTTGTCTGCGCGATATCGTATGCGGGCTTGGCGGGACGTTGTTAATATGTAATGTCTGTCATTTCATATTTCGATTGAGGGTGGTTAAATAATAATAATAATAAAATAAAAATAAAAAATAGAAACAAACATATAATAATAATAAACAACAGCAAGTTTAAAAACTACCTTACCTAACCTAAGGTTGACTTACCTAAGGCAATTTGCTGCTTACTTTCAAGCCTCTTTAATCTTTGAACTATGTAATCTGGTATCTTGCTTACCTACTCAAAATGCTGACTGCTCTAGTTGTCGATATGGTATATGTGCACACATATATACACATTTATTATATACATCCTTACTCAAAAATATAGGTATCTCACCCGGCTTACAAGACTTTCAAATAATTCAAACAATTCAAACTTTGTAATGTCGATGTTTCAATAAAATAAACGGGGCGTCACGTGTCACTACCGGCATGTCCTCTGTTGTGTTGCCCGGCAGCTGGCCGGTAGCTCAAGGATTGGTTTCCCGTTAGCGTCGAGTCGAACGGAATGGTTCAAGGTTTTAAGTCTATGGTCATTGTCTCACTTCAAAGGAAACAGCAACCCGTTGTGCGAGGGTAAATTTTTTGCTTACCTTCACAATGACGTAGCAATCACGCGTTTTTCAACTTTAACTTCTCACAGTCTTCGTGTCACTCATTTTCCTTCATTCGCCATGTCGCCCCCGTCAAACACATCAAACACGTCCAAATCAGAGATACTCAAAGCCCCAGAGCCTAAATATGGTCAGGTGTTTGATTCCTGGAACTCATCTGCTACCGGTCATCAGCGAGCCGAAAATCACTTAGGGAGAAGCACAGGATGGCGTCAATCTCGGAACTTGAAGCTGACGAGCCAGTTCAAAGGAGGACCAGGTGGTGGATCGAGAGTATCAGACACAGTTGGTACTGGATCAAAATACTGGGACCCTAAGCTGAAAGCTCTTGTCACGCCTGAGCTACGGTCACGCGCTAAGTGTTCCGTCAGGGATATGCTTGCAAAACCAGGAATCATGGCAACGAGAATGTTGTCGTCTACGTCTACGGCGCCAGACCCAAAAGCTATGCCAGATAATGATGAAGGTAGCAGTGGGCGGACAGCCGAAGAAAAGCTCATGTCCCAACGTAAAAACGAAGATGAAGCGCGAGAGGCGGAAAAAGCGCAACCGAAGAGGATTTTCGACGGTGTTGTGGTCTATATCAACGGTAGCACGCACCCCCTAATATCGGACCATAAGCTCAAGCACATATTAGCGGAACACGGAGCTAGAACATCGATCAATCTCGGACGACGACAAGTGACTCACGTGATTTTAGGTAGGCCGACCGGAGGGTCTAGGGGTGCTGGTGGAGGTTTAGCAGGAGGAAAATTGCAAAAAGAAATTCTGAAGGTTGGTGGTTGCGGGTTGAAGTTTGTAGATGCTGAGTGGATTCTTGAAAGCATTAAAGCAGGGAAACGACTTCCAGAGGCGAGATTCAGCAATTTGAAGATGGCGTCCAGGGGCCAGCAGAGCATATATGGGTTATATTCGACGCCCAAGATACCTACGGAGAAATCCGCATCCGATTAAGCGTGCCCAACGTCATCTGCCAGAGGTTGACGAATTTACGACGCTGCTCGCTATGACCTACGCCACGGACAACGGGTTGGTTGCATTCAGGGTTTACAACATTACACATTGCATTATGAGATACATGAGGTTGGTTACTTTGCATGACACATCAGCATAAAGCATCAATTGCATGAGTGGTCGGGGTCGGTATGTACTCGGGCGGGCCACCGGGTGTTCTAGTTTTGGTTTACGGTTGCATGGAGTCGGGGAATTGCCGGTCGGTTTGTCGTAATTCAGATTCGGTTCCTTGAATTGCAACATCTTGGACGTTGGCATGGCGTCCGTTCCATAAAGCCGGTTCGTATATTGCCAATCCGGCCATGTTGCAATAAAGCCCTTTATATTTTACCTTGTCGTTTAATTTAATGCGCCGTGCGGATAGGCCCATATATCCCGTTTCTTGGTACTGCTTATTTTCACAACTATGTAAACATCTCAAGTCTTACTGTCATGTCATATCTTAACTTCATAGTTCTCTTCTCCCAACCTTAGAAAGAAGCACGGTTACACATAATATTCTTATACACAATTGTCTCGAAATGGATCGTAGGATTTCGGGGTTTGAGTTTCTTTGATAACTCGGTACAAATAGATTTTACCGAGGATGTGGCTTGGACGTGCGTCCAATACCCCAGAGCCCCGGGACCCGGGCAATCTTATTTGAGGAGAAGTGATTGACAGGTATCACAGTACGGTCATTGCCCCGCGGGGTATCTTAGTACCGGTCTTACTAAACAGGACCCCTTTTATAACAAAGGAAGCCGCGATGAGCATTATAAGTTATCATAGTAAACTTATAATATTTAGTAGACTTAGTTAGATAAGTCAATCCTACTAAACCTTTATATAATATCATTCAAAAACAATTAATAAGCTCACTTAAAAGTATTCAAATCTCATGCTTTTAAGTTTCGAGATCGTCACGGTGACTTGCAAAAATGAGCCATCCGCAAGATGAGGTTCACCGCCGTTCGCTGGAGGATCCGGAGACATTCTGGGGTCGCCATGCTGAAAAACTATATTGGCATAAGAAGCCAGACGCAGTTATAACCAAGACGACGAGGAAACTCAAAAGCGGATTGGAGTATCCTCATTGGGAGTGGTTCTCAGGTGGTAAAATATCAACATGTTTCAACTGCGTTGATAGACACGTCCTCGCTGGTAATGGCCATCGGCCTGCCATCTTCTACGATAGCCCCGTTACTAAGACGAAGGCTACCATCACCTACGCGCAACTACTCGATCAGGTCGAGGTTACGGCTGGTGCCCTAAGAGAAGAAGGCGTTAAGAAAGGAGATGTTGTGTTGGTTTATAGTTCGCTTACCCTATTCTCTTTTTTTAATCATAGTGACAATGTAAGCTGACAATATTTAGTGCCAATGATACCAGCCGCTCTCATTGGAATTCTCGCCATCAACCGGCTTGGAGCGATCCACGCTGTTGTGTTTGGCGGCTTTGCTGCTGCATCTCTAGCTCAGCGCATTGACGCGTCTAAACCTGTAGCTATCTTGACAGCTTCATGTGGAATTGATGGAGCCAAACCACCCATGAGTTACAAGCCATTTATCTCGGAGGCTATCAAACTATCTACTCATAAGCCGAGTCGTGTCATAGTCTGGCAACGAGATGAGCTGCGGTGGGATAATCTCAATAAAACAGCCGGCGAGCGTAATTGGTTCAAGATGGTACGCAGCTGTAAAGCGAGAGGCGTGAGAGCTGATTGCGTGCCTGTTGGCGCTACCGATGAGATTTATATAATATACACCAGTGGAACAACAGGCTCACCTAAAGGTGTTGTCCGTCAAGCAGGTGGTCATGCGGTTGGACTACACCTTTCAATGGGCTATTTATATGGCGTTCATGGACCTGGGGATGTGATGTTTACAGCGAGGTGAGTTATATATCAAGGGAATTTGTCCACTGGTAAATACTAACTTGAGATGAAGCGACATAGGCTGGGTGGTAGGCCATTCCTACATCATATATGCCCCTCTTCTTATCGGGGCTGCTACAGTCCTCTTCGAAGGGAAGCCTATCGGAACACCTGATAGTTCGACTCTCTGGCGCATCATACAAGATTATAAAGTGACAAGCCTTTTACTGCTCCAAGTAGGTACCACTTGAATAATGATTAGAGTTATCCTTCTGACGATTTCAGCTGCTCTTCGAGCTATAAAGAGAGACGATCCAGAAAACAAGTTTCTCAAGCAGATAGGTGAGCAGGGTGGCCTAAAAAGCCTCAAGGCGCTTTTCCTTGCGGGTGAGAGGTCAGAACCCTCAATAGTAACGATGTATGACGATCTTGTACAACGGTATGGCGCTCCCGGCGCTACCGTAGTGGACAATTGGTGGTCGTCAGAATCCGGATCGCCAATGTCGGGCATCTGCTTAGCCCCACACGTAGGGGATACCGAAGGCACAATAAGCAAAAACTAAACGGTTATCTATCAAACCGGGAAGTGCCGGCAAGGCGATGCCAGGGTTTGACGTCAGAGTAGTGGATGATAATGGAAACGAGGTAAAGAGGGGGAAGATGGGTAACATTGTTCTGGCGATCCCCCTGGCTCCAACAGGTTTCACGACGTTGTGGAAAGACGATGAAAGGTTTTATGGTGGTTATCTAAAAAGGTTTAGCGGAAAATGGGTTGACACCGGTGGTAGGTTTTTCGTACATGCTTAGGAGTCATTCGCTAACTGAAAGCTTGACAGATGCCGGTATGATAGATGCTTCTGGGTACATCAGCATAATGAGTCGGAGTGATGATTTGATTAATACAGCTGGCCATCGGCTTTCGACCGGTAAGTTATCTCGCTCTTGGAATGGGGTTTATACTAATGCAAAGTGGCCAGGTTCCATCGAGCAGGCAATAACAAGCCACCCCTTAGTCGCAGAAGCCTGTGTAGTCGGCATCCCAGACTCTTTGAAAGGCCAGCTTCCTTTCGCCTTTATAACCTTGTCGGTGCCTGACCATCCCACGTCCGCTGTACCAGATAAAAAACTATACGGTGAGATCCAGAAACTTGTTCGAAGCCAGATCGGAGGCATCGCAACGCTTGGGGGTATAATCCAGGGCAAGGGAATGATCCCCAAGACGCGATCGGGCAAGACGCTGCGAAGAGTTCTAAGGGAGCTAGTTGAAAATGCGGTCCATGACGAGCTTGAAAACGAAGTCCAATACCCGGCCACGATTGAGGACGCGTCGGTAGTCAATGTAGCAAAATCCAAGGTCATAGAATATTTCAAGCATAAAGGGGAAGCACATAAAGCGATCGAGGCAAGGGCTAAGTTGTAGACGATTTGTTTCGGTTAAGTCATATCCCCCGATAATGCTTGCTACTATTTCTATTTCTATTTCTGCTTCGATTGTTTTAAGTTAGAGGGTAGCAACCTGCGAATACGTTGACTGGTAGTATCTACTCAGAAAGATTTCGTATTCAAGTTCAAATATAGTAATCCGTCGTTAAGGTCCTAGATTTCTTAACTTTCTAGTAGTGACATACACATTTTCCCTAGCAATGGTATTAAAATAGGTTCACATACATGTACCTTGCTAAGATAGGTGTACTTAAAACGTTCTTATATTCTTATAGAGTTGAGTTCCGAGGCTAAAATATTACGATCTTTTCTTTTCGTTTAACCAGCTAGTTACTATGACCTTAATTCATGAATTATTTCTCTCATCCAGACGAGCCACCTATTCTAATACCGCTCTTCTAGGCCATATCACTCTAATCCTACTCTTTGGTACATATGAACGGTCCCAGATGGTACCGGGAGATCGTAGAACACGGGCGTTGAACAGGCCGATGCTCGTAATTCCTTCGCATCATTTACTTGATATTTTTGCCTGCCAATCATAACGACGGTACCCTCTATTCTAAAATAAAGCGAACCGTATAAACAATTCCCTCCGAGAAACCCAATTCAATATGTTTGGGGGCGTTCCATACATAGGCTTTGAGTGTATAGGAATGGCGAGTAATATAGGCCCGCGCGTTCAAAAGCTTCGTGTACGAGACTAAGCGGCCGCATATTTCTATTCGCAATCCATGTTATTCAACTTCTGCGTGCCGCGCAAGTCCCGAGAACGCCTCATATTTTTATTGTAAATGACTCAGCTTATGGATCGGGCTGTTGTTTGACTACCTACCGCAACAAGCTTCTCAATTAGGAAACTTATGTATAGCCTCAACGAATAGGACTGCTTGGAACGCCAAATGCAGTCTTAGACAACACCGAAACGATATTGTTCTCCGCTGTGCCTAACACGATGCTGCGGTCTCCAGCTGGTGGATAATCCATCCTGAAAGAGTAAAAGATGAAATCTGTGATAAAATTGGCAAAGACATGATCACAAGCTGAACTAATACCACCGACGGCGCGAGCTGTCCGGTAGGATCACGAGCATCTTAAAGTACCATGATGGTAATATATAAATTAGCTCTACTCGCTAGTAACGGTATACATCTACCAGTTCTCTAGTTCTATGAAGAAGTAGTAAACTCCACAAGAGTGTTCCAAGCCAAGTCAACGTCTTCACGATGGTAGAACGAGAAGTCACCATCTTCTGGAAAGATCACGGCAAGTTATTCGTTTGGAAAACACTAGGTACACATCAATACTAACATCTATCAGGTGTCTTTGTATGTCGGTGGACTACCTTGCAAATCACCAAATGCGTCTCGGCCGGCAACACAGCATTGCAGACTATTGATATTATCTTGTCCTTGAATCCAACATTATCAAACTCGAAGTTCGCAGATCTTCCAGGAAAGGATGCCGTCTGGATTCAGGGTGACAATAACAAGATCGAGCCCGCTAGCACGGAGTCCTTTGGCTCGCGAGAAGCTTTCCAATTTCTTGTAAACTGCCTTCAAGCTACCGAATCGTCCGAGAAGAGACTCGTAAGACTCATTGCCCCTTTACAGAGAGGCACAGTTACCAGGTCAGATATCATCCCTCTTCGTCTTAAGGGTTCCTTCGGTATCGAACAGGTGGTGTCCTTCTTAGCGCCGCTCCAATCGCTTTCAGGGGAGGCTGTTTGTTTAGATGCAGTTTCACTCCCTAAACTATTTCGCTCCTCTGCTGGGGGGATATTGCTACAGCAATCGTTTTCAGGGGCCGACGTGGATTCAGCAGTACCTGTTGTACCTCCGGAATTCGAGGCTGAATTTGAAAATAAGATGTCTCTGCCCTGGGTTCTACCGAGATCGACCACTCGGAAGCGACTTGTTCTCGTTGGCATTAGCTACCGTGCACCGTCTCAGGGGTCGTGGACCGTATATGCGTGCGAAGCAGCCCGTGCCCTTGGGATTGACCTCGTTATTATTGACAAACCTGGATGCTGGATCGAACGGAGCGAATATTCACAGGTATGTAGTCTGAGCACATAGAATTGAACCAGCATAAACCCGAACTCTCACAATATGTTGAGGAAATAACTACTAACATTGGTGTTCAAGTGGCACGAGGCATTCTTGCCTGCTGGTACTTGGTGGACGAACCCGCCTAGCCACGAGATGGCAGACCGTATCGTCGAGACAGTTAAGTCGTATGGCAAGAAGATCGATGGTATCGTTGCTTTTATAGATTCGTTTCAAGTTACGGTCAGCCGAGCAGCGGAGAAGCTTGGCCTCCCGCACCAGCCCGCCGAGTCGTATGAGATCGCAACCGACAAATATCAAGTAGGCATCGCCGAAGGTCGTAATCCATTCTACGGCTCGACAGCTGAGGAGGCACTAGACTTTGCCTCAGCGAAGAACCTTTCATATCCCTTAATTCTCAAGCCGTGCCTAGGCCTTAACTCAGAAGGGATCGTGCGAGTGAACAACGCAGCAGAAATCCAAGCCGGGGTAGAAATGATACAAAAGACTTTCTTCAAATCATTCACGATGGAAAAGTATTGTGATGGCCCGGAAGTCGATGTTAATATGATCTTACTGGATGGCGAAATACTCTTCTGCGAGATCTGCGACGACTTCCCAAAGCCGGGAGATCAAAGCGACATAACAGTTCCCGCTTCTCAAAGAAGCTTCCTAGAGACCTATCTTGTCCACCCATCCGCTCTTCCATCTTCTGAGCTTGAGATGCTTCATAGTTCTATTGGCGAAACTTTACGGCGGATTGGAATTTCTAGTGGCGTTCTACACGTGGAAGCTCGAGTTCAGCGATCATCTGTTGAATACCGCTCTGATGATGGCATTCTAGATCTACAGCCAATTGAAAAAGCGACAACATCCGTTCCTCCAACTCCTTGGATCTTGGAGATCAACCCACGACCTCCGGGATCTACTGCCAGCCGTATCGTCGTCAGTCTATGGAATTGATTATTTCGGCGTCGCGCTATCCTTGGCCATCGAGGATAAGGATCGAGCTAGATCACTATCCCTCCCATTCCAAAATGGCGCCCAGCACACTGGAGTACTCGTTTTCATCGGCGCTGATTTCGACGAAACCTGTGAAGGAATCTTCGACTCGGATGATATATGCAAAGAATTGATATCTCGAAGGCCTGACCTAGCGAGGAATAGTAAGTGCTATCTACAATCATCCTAAACTATTCTATCGTACAATACGAGCATCAAAAGACTGACCCTGGATACTAGTTAATCGCTACGGGTGTCTTGTGAAAAGGGGCCAGAAGGTCCCACACCCCAGTTCCGGAGCAAACACATTTATAGCTTACTTCAATGTGTTCTCGAAGTCGAGAAAGGAAGCACTAGAAGCTGCAGCTGAAGTGAGGAGAGAAGTCAGGTACTCATTCCGTTAAGTCACCGTTTTGTTAAGTTAGCTTTGAAAGCTATACATGGATCTCTTTTATTACGTAGGCAAGATAGCTCTGTGAGCTTATGCCTGCCATTTATCCATTTCCTATATTGAAAGACACTCCCTAGACATATAGATAGCGATAGAGATAGAGCATTGCTGTAGAAATAGAGAAGCTAGACACTCGAGTGCTAAACTTTTCTTACAATCAACTCATAGCTAAATAGGCTATTTCAAACTGTGTACATACGAGTAGGATCAAAATAATTACGTGAATAAGCAGGGAAGTTCAACAATTGAAAACTCAACCACGCTGCTTTAGTATGCTTCTAATGACAGTATGTTTCATGAAACACGAGCTGAGTAAGAACTCGTAAGTAAATCTAGGACATATATACATAAACAGTATCTCTTTGCAGTGGCCTGCGTGAAGGCCTATCTGCGTCTTTATATTCGGTCAGTAATGGGATATATGAACATCGTCAACTGCCAACCGATATTTGCTTAGAAGAACCACCTTCTCCCTCACGGCAAGTACATCATAAACTATAAATAAACTCAGGGTTCTCTCGATCCGTCAGATCAAGAAACTCCTGCCCATCTACCTTAGTATAGCCAGGACTAGCTCGGATAGCGGCCTTGATCTTGTTCTGACGCCTACACCAGAAATTGATAAAGACTAAAATAGCGAACGATACAAACATGCATACGAGGATCGTTATGTTAGCATTGCGGTACTGCGGTGCATCGTTCGTCTGGAATACTTGAGGGCCAATAATGTTGCCTACACAATAGGCAGTAAGATACATGGCTGCGACGGTGGTCTTCTTCGTCCATCCTGCTACATTCGTTGAGATAAGCCCTAGTAGGGCCACGAATCCGGTTGAAGAGGACTGATATAGGTAATAACCCGCAAGCCGTCCACCACTGTTATTAAGTGGTAGGAGGAGGATAAGAAAGAGGCCTAACACCGACAGTAGGACTCCAGCAGCACCAAATAACTAAATTAGTCGTTAGTATTTATTGTAATATACGGGATGGGAAGCCTAACAATGCGGTTTTTGAATCGATCGCCAAAATGCCCAGCAATTAGGAGAGTGATGACTTGGATAGCGCCGCCGGGTGCCCCTAAAAGAAGGGATTCATTCTCCGAGAACCCAAATGAAACGATGAGTTGCGAGAAGTAATTTGACATTCCACCTGTCCGGAAAAATCAGCATTAGGCTTCAAGTATAAGTGTATAAATACCTAAGTATATGGATAACTCACCGTTAGGAATCGAGCAAATGACGCTATTAAGCACGAACGCCCAGATCATAGGATCTGTAAGCGCTTCTTTGCATTGATACATTTTAAAGTGCTTGTTACCCACGCCCTGCTGATTGATGCGGATACGTTCGACGGCCATAATCCGCTCCTGCTGTGTCAAGAACCGGGCGTTCAGTTGGCTGTCTGGCATGAGATACAAGAACAGGACGCCCATGAACGCCGTGAAAAAGCCAGTGACGAGGAAGACTAATTGCCACGACTTGATTAAGATAGGATGAGCTTCTGTGCCGACAGCAATGCCATAAGCCACAACACCTCCCACGATTTGACCCCAGCCGTTAAAGCTGAACCACCATGCCACCCTCGTCCCCTGCTCCTTTTTGGTATACCACTGGGACGTGAAGAGCGCAAACCCGGGGCTAACGGCCGCCTCGAAAGCGCCGAGGAAAAATCTCACCGTCATTGCCGCGGCGAAATTCTTCACGGCTGCCATGCAGCAGAGAACGAGCCCCCACATTATCACGTTGAAGGCGGAATATTTCGCCAACGGCAACCGCTGGAGAAGACGGTTTGTTGGCCATTCCCAGAAGAGATAGCCAAAGTAGAACATAGACGCTATCCACTGTATAAAGGTAAGTATGGATCAAATTAAGAACCCATGGAGGCACTTAGGGGCTCTGAAGTTGAATTTTCCAGGCAGAGGAAATGGCTTACGGAATAGTCTTGACCTGAGATGAAGATCCGTTAATAAACATTCATATACCTATACGCTGTCGATTCCTAGACAACTTACCTATAAGATTGATATCTGTCTGCGAAGAGCACGTAGTGTAAGTTTACGCCTTGACGCGAGTACATACGGGCTCATCTCACTTTAATCCCCATGATAGAGGCATACGACAAGGTAGTTTTATCCAAATAATTCAAGCCGTAGACGACGCAAAGCAGCGGCATCAAATTACGGTCAATCTTCTTCAACAACCTCTTCTCATCCTCCGGCGTCAAAACTACAGCTTCTCCAGCCACGAGCTTCAACGCCTCGTCCGGGTCATTGTTAATTATGTGCTTGTTCATAGGGCTAATTCCGGCAGCTTTAGACGGATCGCTCGCTGTCTTTTCGACGTCGGCCGATGAAGCCGTTGTCGATGTTTGTTTGACCTCGGACATGGCTGATACTCGGATTTTACAACTTTCGACTGCGGGTAGCTGGTAACAATGAGGGGTTGATTAGATGGAGGTTTTAAGTTTGGAATTGGAGATAGATAGGTAGACATTTGGTCTAAACAGAAAATGCAACGAAGAACAATGATATTGACTGTCGGCTATCTTCGCTGATAAGAAGTTAATATGCGTGGCAACATCAAGGATATAAGTCGGGGTAGTTATAACCAATCAAATAGTGTTCCCGCGATCAGGAAGAGAAGCGTTGCTACATAAATGAGACCTGATGGTGCGAGTATATCGCAGCATTAAGCCTATTCAGCTCCTATAAAGGGTCACATATGAATCTCTTACATATCGACATGTGGACCTATTAGATAAAATTTACCGAGGTGAATGAGAATATGAATGAGAATATGGTCAACTATACATCACATTCTTATGACCGTCTTTGGAGAAATACCTTTCTTACCGAACTTTACATGAGGGGTAGTGCTGGGATCTCTTATCTCTACGATCGACAGCGTTAAGTAAGCATTATGCTCGTTAGAATTAAGAGTCTTGGGTATGAGAAGATTCCCAATTACAAATGGTATCTATCTGAATATTAAGTAGGTTGAGCGAGTCTAAGGTGAATAGTCTCTTTAGTTGACAACTTATATGTACGGCTAAGATAAAGCCTCCTATTGTTGCATAAGTTAAGTAAGCGGTCGCTGAAAATCCCCTGATACGGACAAATGTTAATATATATGCCAGCCATAACTTAATAACCCCCGACCGAGACGAGACCCTCGGCGAAATAGACGCTGCGACCAGCAGAAGTCGGGGGGCTATGTATTTGAATAATTAAGCCGCTTAAGCCACACGCAATACTCTGCGCCATCTACATCGCACACGGCCTTATTGAATTAGGTTGTCTCGCGTAGATTTGTCTTACACACCTACTAAGGTACAGGCATGCAGTACATAGGTATAATAGGTACCTAGGTATATATATGTAGTCCCTACGGCGACGACGTCACAAAGTCGGATAGGCACCTAAGGCAGGTACCCGTCCGACGCTGGGCTGCCTTTGGGGTGCAACCGACCTAAATCCTCCATATGCACGCCCGTCACGTTGCGCCCTGATAAGGTTGGTTGGGCGGAAAGCAATGTTGCAGTCTACCTACCAGACGCAGGGACGTCGAGATGTGATGTGAGATTTCTACGAATAGCAAAACGTACCTAACGTACCTAACGTACCTACATATGATGGAGGTAACCCTCCATCATGTTATTCACGTCGGCTACATGAAACTTTGGCGATCGCCGGATCAGCGTGTGTCCTAAAGTATGTAGAACACGTGTCTTGTCTCGGGTGTCGTATGGAAAACAAAGTGACATTGTCCTTATGTCTCTCGCGTCTTGTCTAACGACTAACTTGGATTTAAGCTATTACAAGTTTATATATATATATAATTGAGACTATCTACCCAAGATCGACACATCTGCTAAACCTGAGACCGCCGGCTTATGTGTAGTGTAAGTGGGCAATTGGATCGTCGCTGATCCACAGGTACATCGTTACGCGATCATGATGGTTCATCTGATCTGGATCTAAATATAATACCCAGTTGCTTGCAGATCACTCCCACATTGTGACAAAAGAAGCATTAAGCATAAATGAGTATTAGGTAGACATACACTATGCTTCGTACCGGGTTTGAAACAGGAACAATAAACTTTCATAACGACATGACAAAATACAGTTCAAGTACAGTGGGATCACAATCAAGAGCAATACTACAAACTAAGGGGCTTCACGATCATAATTCAGTCACTCATAGGAAAAGAGAAAATTTAGATGCCGGACCAAAACTTGGCCTCCCAGCCATGTTTACGTTGCCATTGAACTATCGTACAAGGACTCCGTAAGCACAGGAGAATTTGTCCAAAGACCAATAAAACATCCAGCCAAAAGACAACTTGATAGGGTATTGTTGCAACTCTTGCCGAAAAAGGTATTAACAAAGGCTTGACTCTCCAAGTTTGTACATGAAAGAGAAGTCAGTAGATTAAGCAAGAGCACGAGAATTGAAACTTCCTGGGTGAAAGACGGGTAAAAAGGTGAAGATTGAAATGGTTTGATTTTGTCCAAAGGCTTCCGAAACGAAGTGATTTTTTCCATCCAAGTATCCGCCAGGAAAATATCCGCTCCAGATTCCAAAAACCTCCCTGACCATTCCAAGTGCCAGGAGACCTCACACAATGTAATCCTCCATGGTTATATTTGATTGTTGCCCGAAATACCGAGACAAGAAATTACAAGAATCAAAAATTAGTTCCCGCATGCTTGGTCGTTATACTCCATAGTGCAATGCAGAACACCGTGCCGTTAACAATCCCTGTCTAAACACTTCCTCCATCCCATTTCACAACTCCAGTCTGCTTCCTGTCATGAGCGTCGGAAGCATCCCTCTCGATCACCGTGTATTAGGTACTATCGAACAAAGGAGATTCGTAGGTCATAGACTCGGATATTAAGCTGAAGCCGCACTCTTATAGAAGAGCAGCGGCAAGACCGAGAAGACCAGCGAGGCCAGCTCCGGAGAGGGCAGCAGCCTTACCGGCACCCGCAGTGGGGATAGGGGTAGCCGGGGTGGAAGCACCGGGAGCACCACCAGTGGGGTAAGCCTGGGTGGGGGTGTTGACGGGGGCGGTGCTGTTAGGGTAGCTGGGGGGAGCCGGGACCGTGGTAGGGTAAGTAGGAGGAGCCGGGCCACTGCTGGCGGGAGCACTATTTCGATGTTAGTTCATTTAATCTTATCTGAAAACTGGTATCTTACCAAGTAGCGCAGGAAACTGACGAGGTAGTGTAGATAGGCTTGCTGATGGTGCAAGGGCAGTCAGTGATGGTCAAGGTGGTGGCCTATTAAATTTTGTTAGTCAAGAATTCTTGAAAAGATTCGTAAAATAAACATACCTCAGTGACAGTGTAGGTGTTGGTGCCGTAGGTGATCTGAGTGGGGCCGGGGCAGTAAGTCTCGTACGAGGTAACGACCTCGGTGGTGTACGACGTAGCGGAGGTAGCGTTACCGGCCGGGTAAGAAGCAGGGGCAGAGACCGAGACCGAAGAGCTGATAGCCGGGTAAGAGGCAGGAGCTGAAGAGCTGACGGGGAGCGTGGTGATGGGAGTGCCGGTGGAAGCCGGGTACGAAGCGGGAGCAGACTCGCTAGCGCTGGCACTGGAGACGGGGTAGGCAGCGGACTCGCTGGCACTGGCGCTGGAGACGGGAGCAACCGGGTAGGAAGCAGAGGCGCCAGCGGCGAAAGCAAGAGCAGCAACGGAGAACTTCATTTTGACTGAGGTTGTCTGGTATTAAGTGACTCGTGTAGAGCGTTTGTTGTCGAGGATTAAGTATTTATAAGGTAGAGCAATTAGGTATGCTGTTCAACGAATGAAATTGACTGAAAAGTCAGGGTGATATTTGCAGCGAAAGTTGTGTGGGTGAAGAGGAAAAGAGAGGAAGGATTGTCGGTCTTCGGATGTGTTGACTTATATACAGAACGAACAGCATGGGGGGGGGGAGGTTACTTCCAGGTTGCTTTCCAGGTGTACAACCCAGACATCAAGCAACGTGAACTTCACTTACTCCAGTACATTGGACTTTGGTCTAGTACCTTGCTCCAGTTTCCTTCGTATGGTAGATAGCCTATCCTTACTGTATCCCGGTTTCTACCAGGGCAGTAGACAACGGGGCCCGAGGCGCTAGGACAGCAGGGTCGACTTCGTCTCCATCTATATTTTGCTCCATTTTTATTTTTATTTTTTCCCATTACTTATTTCGCTTTTTTATCCAATCATGAACAGTTATACCTCATGGCTGAAAGTAGTTGCGCACATACTGTACACAAAATGTGTTCTATGTGTATTATGTGTGCGCGTATCGTTCGCCCCAGAGGAACCACCTCAGGGGTATCTCTTCTTAGCTAGCGGTGCATGATGAGCGTCAAAATCTGCCCCTTTTGGGGTCAAAGTGTGGGTTCCCCCATAATGACTTGGTCGTTCTAAGCATGTACAACTCAAGGTGTACAACTCAAGATACATCAAAAGGACCAAAAGGGGGTGTACAGCTGCTAAGCCCCTATTAAGAGCACATTAGACTGAAGGTATCTTACAGGGTTATTTAGTATGGTTGAATACAATCGGTGTGATGAATCATTATCAGATAGTAATAATTAGGAACACGAGATGGGTCTTGGAACAATAGTTCGGAACTATTTAGGATCTCATCGTTCGTTGGCCGGTTGGGATAATGCGGGCCGGGGGGGTGTTGTGAAGTAGCATGCAGGCCATCCTGGCATCCTGCAAGGAACAACGCGAGCTGTCGGTATGCAATCCCAGGGGCCAGTCTAAATCCATAAAGTCCAGTATGTATACAAGTCAGTCAGTTTCTAGCCTGGCGATTTGCGGAAATTGGGACGCCACTAGCGTAGATTTTTCTCCTTGGCTAAAAAGCCCATAGAAATACTTCCAAGATGAGTTATTGTATCGACAATCATCCAGTTGTTGAGTTGTATCAATTTATTCTTAGCAATGATTTATCGATGATACGGCTAGGTTTGCCCGGACCGAGTTGCCATCGTAAAATCCGTACCCATCTTATCGTATTTCGAATCCGTGCTCGGATATGTTTAACATACCTTAGGCAGCGTATCTCATAGAATGCATATTGGGCCTATGGATCTGTCAAAATTCAAAGGGGAAAGAAAAAGAAGTTAAAGGCACTAAGTTTTGACTTGCCAATTGCAGACGCAGGAACAGATTGCGCTTCTGCAGGAACCGCAATTGTGCTGACACCATAAGCAAAAAATTCAATCGCTCCGATAACAGACGAAAAGTATCTTAGGGAAGTACTTTAGGCGCGTTAGGTACATACTATAATATTAATGCGGGAAATCCGATAAAGCCTTACCTATTTGGGTATTTATGCAAGGAAGAATAAGGTATTGCCGATTAAAACAGCAATCCATTTAATCCTATTCAGTAAATCTATTCAGGGGTTCACACCTCCTAAACTTACACGCAGACAAGGCGCAATTAACAGCCTCTGACCCCAACTCTGATTTGGGAAAAGTACGAGCGCCGCTTTGAGCCCAACCAATTCGAAAGCTGATTATAACGAGGAATACCCTACACGATTCGGCTAGTATATACATACATACCTATGGAGGACATATTATCTACCTAGGTATATTTAATGCAGCACGTGTAAAAAGATAGAGAGGTGTAACTAACTAATTAATTGTCATTGTACAATAGGGCTGGTCGTATCATCATGCTTCTTTGAGTTATGACGGGGTAAAACCCCTGAGGTAGCCTCCCCCCCTGGCCTGTCCACTCTGGTTGACAAGACGCTACCGATAACCGGCCGGTCCTCTCCAGGATTGAATCTGGATTGGTTCTTCTTAGACCGACGCGGAAATTACCAAGCCAGCAAGCGTTCCTTGAGGCTTTCTGGAAAGTTAGCCAAACCTCATAACAGGTTTGATAAGAGCTAGGACTCAATATTTTTCCGTTGTTCTAGATCTAGTAGCGTAGCATGGATGCGATCGGACGATGCTGTTACAAGTAATTTAGCACCTCGTATCAATCCGTCTTCGAGGCAACTTGGATAAGGAAAATTCAATGCAAAAAGAATTTGCCTAACATATGCATAGCTGCGTTAAGGGAGATGGATCCTCTTAGATAATTCCTTCGATGCGGTGTAGTATAAGTGTACCTACCTATCGTTTGCAAAATCCATGCTGCAGCAAGCAGTAGGTATTTCCATATTGGTGCCTCGTATCTACATCCTAACATACATAGTAACGATATGAAAATTCCCAAGAGAGAATCTCGCTAAAGGCTCTACACTAGCGTACATCTTTTCGATCAGCTAGGGTTTTACTACGTAGATTTTCCCATTTCCTCGGGTTCCACAAGCGTCTGCTCAGACCACTGAAGGCCAAGTCGTTGACGGTGTTGTAGATCTCACCTAAGCTTTAAAGACATGGGCTGAATCTGGCTTAAATCTAAATGTCTAATTCGATTCAATGATTTACCGCGAGTTTCAACTAATCACTATACACGCAGCTAGAGCTGAGACTGAAGTGATCTCCGAGTTTTAGTTCAACTCGATGTGTCATGTCACTTATCGTGTCACTTACTACATATGTAATGTCAAAAACAGTTATGGGGCTCTTGATAGAAATAGCCTATCTAACATCAATAAGTTCGTCTAGGTTAGGTAGTTATGGAGTTTTCCGGAGTTGCTTAATGGATTACATGGGCTTCTCCATGTAATTTCCACCATTCCCACATGGGTGAATTCAGAGATCTTCGATGCAACCGCTGCCACGGTAATTAAATACATACGAGATCTTGAATAACGCAGGGCTACCAATCAACGCGTGCTCTGCGTACACTTGCCTCTTTATCTTTATTATGTTCTATTCTCGTACGCGTTCCTTAACGCCTAAACTCACTGAGGGAAGAGTAGATAGATTCTACCAACATCTTATCATCTCTAACTTTCATTATTCTCTACGCAATGTAGGGATTTGCCCAACTCCCAAGAGTTGTTACTTCAAGTTGGTCTGTCTATATAGGTGCTTCACCTCGAAAAGACTATAAGTCCTAATGCTGGCAAACTGTTGAGTTGCGCTTGTCTTTAACTGAGTTGCAGGTTCATTATATAGGACTCTCGTTACCTTCATGTCACGAACGAGATATCGATGACCAGATATTTTTCGTCGAACTACACTCCGATAAGATTGACGAGCTTCAACTAACTAGGCAGCGGCTAAATCGTGAAACTATCTTCGAGTGTTTCTTTTGCTATGATAACCGTTCACGACAACGAGTGCCCTCGGCTAGCTAAACTAGTAGACTTGGTTTGCATTGGTTCACTTACGGTACACCTAAGCAATTGAAGATATTACGTGGTATTTTACGCTGTGAAGAACCAGTGATGGCTTGGATGAGGGAGATGAAGGTTGGTAGAATTGGTGCGCCGGTTGTGATATGAACATACGAAATATGCTTAGAGGATTAACTGGGCTCGCCGTAGATAACGGTTTGAACTGCCTCGATCTACCTAATTAAAAGACACCGAACGCCGACTTACGTTTCCGAAGAGTTGCTAGTGCGGTTTTATAAGAGATCGGGATTCGGCGTACGGGTATGAATAGTGGAATTGAGATAAAACCTACACACCTAGATATCGGATTAAATCGATTACCTAAATCGCTTAGTAAACTTGATGTCATCTAGCATCTTCCACTGGAGTTGCATACAGCTGTCGCCATCAGTCGAAGTAACCTGCGCGGTACTAACCTCTAAGAAGTAAAATATGTATTAATTATCCGACTAGACTTGCCGTTGATTTCAAAGCATAAATGTCTACCTTCTAAACTACCTAATATAAAAGTGAAAGAGTAATAGCATCATCGATAGCTTAAGGTTCTTAGCTAAAGCCTCCTCTAAATTCCCAAGACTTAACCTACATTGCGATATATCATCTCCTATAATACTGTCCTTAGAATCGAAATGAGCAACACGATGAAAGCCGTCGGTATGTGATTTATAACTAAGCTTCAGTCTTTATATAGGTATTACATGTAACTAGATATAAAAGCTAACGACACTCCAACGCAGAGGTCAAAGGCGGAAAGGGACCCGCTACCTCACTCTTCATAAACCCTCAAACCCCCAAGCCTGAGCCCAAGGAGGGCGATGCTCTGGTGCGTGTCAAAGCCTTCGGGCTAAACCGTATGGATCTTATCCAGCGCGAGGGACGGTATCCGCTCCCGCCACAAGCACCGTCCACTCTCGGTGTCGAATTTAGCGGCACGATCGAGTCGTTCGGGCCCGGTTCGCACGGCGATTTTAAGGTCGGCGACGCCGTCTTCGGCCTAGCATACGGTGGCGCGTACGCCGAGTACATCGCCGTAAGCTCTAAGATGTTGCTGCACAAGCCGGATAGCTTCTCCTGGGAGACAGCAGCAGCTATTCCCGAAACGTGGATTACGGCCACACAGGCACTGCATCTAGTAGGCGAATTTACAGCGGGCAAGACTGTTTTGTGGCACGCAGGCGTAAGTCTATTTATTCCCCCTTAAACCCCGTCTTCTTACTGCATATTTAATCTCACTTTCTACACAGGCCAGCGGCGTTAGCATCGCCGGGATCCAGCTCAGCCTTGATAGCGGCGCGAGTGCGGTCTACGCAACAGCTGGCACAGATGAGAAATGCCGGTTCATCGAGCGTGAGCTCGGTGCTACTAAGGCATTTAACTATAAGACACAGGACTGGGTCGAAGAGATTCTAGAGGCGACTGATGACAAGGGTGTTGATCTTATCATAGACTTCATCGGGGGTAGCTACTTCCAGCAGAACCTTATGGTTGCAGCGATAGATGCCCACTGGGTTGCGCTCGGCCTGATGGGTGGGGCTAATCTTGACAGAGTAGACTATAGTATGCTACTTTACAAGCGAATCCGACTTGAGGGCAGTACGTTACGGAGTCGAGATATCGACTACCAAGGTCGGTTGAGGGACAAGCTGGCCGAATATATCCCTCACTTTGAGAGCGGTAAACTGAAGGTCCTGATCGATACAGTCCTACCTATGGACGAGATCATTAAAGCGCACCAGCTGCTGGAGGAAAATAAGACAACGGGAAAGATTATCTGTACAGTTCCATAGAAAAAGCATACGAATAAGATATCAATGATTTATTTATGACTGAAATCTGCGTAACTACTAGACTTGAAAACTTAATCGCCATGCTCTCCCGGCGCTGTGCCCTCCTAACTAGAAGATAACCAGAGAACGCCATGAAGTTAGTCGACCTTACTTTCCTTTTAATGCTCCTTGAGCCATCTTAAAATCTGCTCGAAAGCCGTTATTTGTGCGTCCTTTATGTGGGCGTCATCATAGTCTCCAATGACGGCGAAGCCATGCGGAACACCAGGATAGACTTGGACTTCATGCTCCACATTCTCCGTGGACATTATGTTTTCCCCGGTTTCACGGACTTCGTCGGGAAATAGAGGGTCGCTTTCCACGCAGACCAAGCTCACAGGGACTTTCAATCCCTGAAAATCTTCTGATGATACCAGAGTTGCATGCGCCAGCGCACCTGCTTTGATATACGGGCCCTTCTTTGGCGGGCTTATCCCTTCACCCGCTTCCTCGTCAGCAGGTTTCTGTGCGCCAGTCCAACCTGTCTGCGCATGACCACGCTCGCTAGCTAGTAAGAGCACATATATCGCCGCCGAAACAATAACCTACGGCGTATATGCCGCCTCCATTACCAACCGCATCCGCAAACTCGCCTTTACATGCGTCGATAACTTTCTCGAGTATGGGCATGACCTTTCTTCGGTATGGCGTGCTAACCACTCGTCAACTCATCGTCCATTGCGATCTCGACAGCTTTGAGTTTGAGTCTATCAAGGAATGAAGTCTCTTGCGCTTCAGCTTCGGAAATAGGAGATGAGTTTGGCGCAGGGTTGCCTTCAAAAAGATCAGGCATCACGACGACACTGCATTAACAATTAATATCAATCATGTAAATCCCAAACAAGTCTTTGTATTCAAGCTGAGATGCTATATCCGACGTCTTGAGATATACGTACAAACCTTCATCGGCAAACTTGTCCGCTTGAATCTGATTGTTCGTCGACTTTATTCCCGTGCCGCTCGAAAGAAGGAGAAGGAGTTTCGATGGATTTGTCGGGTATGCTTCCGGCTTTGCAAGGTAGACCTATTACGATATGAGCGTGGGCTTATAAGTAAACGGCGGCTATTGCTGTGTCGGAGGACTGACATCCACTCCACCAAGTTTCCTCAGTTCTCCCTTTGGAGCTAGACCGGCAGCTATGTAATAATATGTCAATGCCGACACTAGTCGACGTGCTTGTTTAAGATGACTTACGGGTAGGCCTGTCGGAAGTGCAATGCTCGCCCATCGTAGGACCTGTCTGTGCAGGAGTGTCGCCTGGAATCACAGTTTCTTGAGCATCGCTCGTCGGGAGATCTGGTTGCAACATCGGCATCTGCCATGGTGACGAAAGTAATTGATCGTTACGGTGTTGTAGGTAGAATAAAAGTTTGAAGAGATTCAGGGAGTATGTAGGAAGATTAACCTAGATAGACAAAACGTAAGATACATGTGAAGCATTCCTGTTATGCTTGGCAACGCACCTCCCGCATAGATCTTTATAAGTACCTGCCTAGGTACATTGACATAGGTATGCTGACGCCTGAGAAAATGACGTACGAGGAGTTGCCAGCTGACAATCTCATAGCTTCAGCTTGCAGCCCCACGTGTACATGTACCTTAGGTATACAAATTGCTAGAAAACCTTAAGAACCCCGCGCTTCAAAAGACGTGGCACGCCACAGGACCCACTACTTAATTCAGGACGCGACTTTTTAGGCCGACGCGTTTATTAGATTGACCACTTTTACTATCAAGACCACTGTTAAGATTGCAACATCGGCTTTCGACATAATATATCTCGCTGCCTTTGAAGTGTCAACCTAAAAAAAGGAAAATTCGAGTTTCAGCATGTCGGCAGCAGCAGCTCAACAATCTATCACACAGGGGGCTCTAGAGTATGTAAACCATTATTTGCATTTTTTTATACTGCCTAGACTTATATATGCTAACTATGATCCCAGCGCCATCTTCAGCGACCCAGAGCATGTCGAGCAGCTCTTCCCAGTTCCTATTCTGCAATGTCTACAAATAAAGCCTCTCGGCCCACAGCAAGGAGCTGCCGGCCAGCCCGACCGCTACCGTGTTGTCTTAAGTGATATACGCAATTATGTCCAATGCATGCTGGCAACACGTACGTTTCGATACCTGCCTGACTGCGAGACTGCGATATGATGATGCTTACAATGTCGTTAGAGGCCAACCATGTAATCCACAATAACTCTCTTGTCCGCGGAGCTCTGGTTCGGATTAAGTCGTATCAAGCAAATTCAGTCAAGGGAAAGAAGTAAGTATTAAATAAATCGATATGGTCTAGCATTTATAGCGATTAACAATATATAGTATTCTAATTATCCTTGACCTTGACGTCGCTACTGAGCTCGGTGTTCACGACCGGATTGGCGAACCCCAAGCATTCGAAGCTAAGCCGCAAGCTGCTAATACTACAGCAGCCATAGGTGGATCGAATTTCTACGGCGTAAAGACTGAGTCTTCGGCACCGGTCAAGTCGGAACCTGTATCGTCACGTATGGGCGGAGCTACAACACCACATCTCACGGCAATGGAAACAATGTCATCTACCCTATCGAGGCTCTCTCACCCTATGCGCACAAGTGGACTATTAAGGTTCGTGTAACACAGAAGTCCGACATTAAGACCTGGCATAAGGCTTCTGGCGAGGGTAAATTGTTCTCCGTCAATCTTCTCGACCAGAGTGGCGAAATAAAAGCGACCGCGTTCAACGAGCAATGCGACCAATTCTACGATTTATTACAAGAGGGCCAGGTCTACTATATCAGCAACCCATGCCGTGTTTCTCTCGCAAAGAAGCAATTCACTAATCTTCCTAACGACTATGAACTCGCCTTTGAACGGGATACTGTCATTGAGAAAGCCGAGGATCAGGCCAGTGTGCCTCAAGCCCGCTTTAATTTCGTCAACATCGAAGAGCTCCAGAACGTAGAAAAAGATGCTACTGTTGATGTTATTGGTGTGCTGAAGGAAGTTGGTGAGGTCTCTTCGATCACTTCTAAGAACACCGGAAAGCCGTTTGATAAGCGCGAATTAACTTTGGTTGACGATACTTCATATGCCGTACGCCTTACGATATGGGGTAAGACCGCCACTACATTTACCACTCAACCAGAATCTATCGTTGCATTCAAAGGGGCGAAGGTGTCTGACTTCGGTGGTCGATCCCTTTCTCTTCTTTCCTCTGGCAGCATGAATGTTGATCCTGACATCGAAGAGGCTCACCGTCTGAAGGGCTGGTATGACTCCCAAGGCCGTACCGACAACTTTTCTACTCACAACAATATGGCATCTATGGGTTCCGCCACAGGTCGTGTCGACCAAGCGAAGGTAATTTCCCAGGTGAAGGACGAGGGCCTCGGCACGGAAAATACGGACTACTTCAACCTGAAAGCCACAATCGTCTATATTAAGCAGGATAATTTCGCGTATCCTGCGTGTAGCAGTGAACAATGCAACAAGAAAGTAATCGAACAAGGTGACGGTACATGGCGGTGTGAGAAGTGCGAGATTTCTCACCCACGGCCACAATACAGATACATCATGAGTGTAAACGTAAACGATCACACCGGCCAGCTCTGGCTATCATGCTTCGACGACGTCGGGCGCGTCATCATGGGCATGTCAGCCGATGAGTTGATGGAGATCAAAGAAAACGACGAAGACAGGTTCCCTACCATATTCGAAGCGGCCAACTGCACCAAACTTCATTTTAGATGCCGGGCCAAGACGGATACGTACGGCGAAAACTCACGGTATGTAATTTGCTACTGATTAGGTACCTATCCACATGATTAAGAAGTTATCGCTAATGAAACTCAGGGTACGCTACCAGGTGATGAGTGCTAACCAGCTGGACTTCCGAGCTGAGGCCCTGAAGTTATCCGACATGATCAAGCAATTCGGTATCAGCTCGTGATCCTGCTCTGCTCTCAACCCTCATTTAATACGCGTGTATGTATCGGGCGCTTGTTAGGTAGTAGGTATATAAGAGGTACCTAACCCAGGTAGTATGGAGTCGATGGAATACGAGGGTTAGGCAGCTCGTATTATCGAGTTGGTGAACCACTAGAATAATTCATGGCAGGGGTTTAATGGGTCCCTGATGAGGCACGATGCTATTTGATATTCGAATCTCTAAGGTTATTGGCCTTGAATGGCTTGAGACGAGCCCCTTAGCTTAGGCGTCTCATTATTGCGTCTGGGTTACATGGATTCGTCGCAGATACGGCATCTATTAGGACAAAATACTGTCAATACTGAATGAGCTAGGAGAACTGAACTAATCGAGTAAGGGTCAAATCCATATTGTACGCTACGAGAAAAATGTGCTTACGACAAAGAATGGTAATGAAAGATCAATAGTAGTATAAATGGGATATCAGTGCCTTTATTCTTAATTCTGCTAGTGTCTAACAAGCTGAGAGGACCGACGATTCTTAGTTGTCGTCCGCCGTCCGTCTCTAGCTAAATGGCATTCCAAGCCATATATCCATGGGCACCGCTGCCTGCAGATGCAAATGTCTGTCCTCTAAACGCCGCCGCATAAGAACGTGCAATCGTGACATGTCAGTTTTCGGTTCCTTCTCCAAACCAACTTAGCGGCTTTCTACCTGTCCAAGGTTCGAAGATTCAACCTCAAATCTCGGGCTTGATTAGATATCCTATATTTAGGCTCCAGTCCAATGCAGTGGCCGCAAGGGTGGTAAGGAGTATCTTGGCCTGGCTCAGCCAGTAGCAACTACGCCACCCATCAAGTCTTCGTCATCCACATGAGCATCAAATGCGAGGGTTGGATCCGGATCAATTTTATCACCTCGGAGTTTCTCTTTAGCCACATGCTTGATGTACTCCTTGCTAGTGCCCAGGCGCTCCTTTGTCGTCTTGAAGATGGGCTGTAGTTGCTTCAATCGGGTTGCTGTTCCAGCGAGCTCCGTAGCGAACTCCTTCTCTGAAAGTTGGGTAGACGAAGATAAGAAGGTAAGGAAATCCGTGCCGTCGTCGTTCTTCTCAATCACCCCGTTCAACATACCGGATATTATCATGTTTTGGACAAGAGTCTGCACGTCCTCATCCTTCTGGAGCATATCTCCTGTCTCCGCACTTGTGGTCTGTTTACGAATCTCGGAGAGCGAAATCTTTGAGTAGATCTGCTCTAGGCCTAGAACTTGCCATTTTTGATACGCCGCGAGGACTTCCTGGACCAGCCCGGTATTTCCATCTTCCAGCCACAGTTGTGTGTTCTTTTCAACCTCGGCCTTTAGTGCCTGGGCACTCCTGGCTACGAATATCACCGCGAGCGCTGTGTATGGCTTTCCGATATTTCCATAGAGCTTGTTCGCGGCGGCCCCGGTGTATGTTGGAGGGTCTGAAAGCTTTCCTGTAGAGAGCAAGCTCACCAGCACCCACTTTTTGTAAGCCTCGACCATGATTTTGCTTACGCCACCTTCGCGCGTAGGATATGTGACGACCCTTTCGAAGGCCGCATAGGCTTTTGCCCAATCTCTTAAGGCACAGTATGACATACCGCGAAACATATCATATTCTAGGATCAAGGAAGGTTTCAAGTTGGTAGTGAGCCCCGTTTCTCGAGAGAGGTAGGCTGGGGGTGATAAGGATAAATCGCAGAGGAATCTGGGCTCGCCGTAGCTAGCCATACCGGGGAAGTATACGATATTCTTATCTAGTACTGGAAGGGCCGGTTCGATGTTGTTTGTCTGGTAGGCAAGTTTGACAAGTTGAAAATGGGACATGGTGAGCATGCTTCCGGTCGGGTCGAGTCGCAGGATAGCTGTTGCAAGAGCACGAACAGAAACTGAAGGCTAATAAATACTGTTAGCTTATATAGAAGTATATATTAAGGTGTAGGCTGTAGGGGCTTACCGGCAAATATTGACCACTTCCAGCAGCCAGCAAGATGTCATGCAAGTGACTTCTAGCATATCGGGCCTGGCGCGCATCAAAGACGTATAAAAAGTTCACAAACTTGCTCAGAAGAGTATCGCGAGGAATCGATGAGTCTAGGGCGGGAAGGATGAGGGTATGAAGGACGGCGATATATGATAAGGTATTTACGGCCGGGTCAAGAATATCGATGAGACCGGGGCCATGGGTAACTAGTGAAGCATTATGATCTTTAAGTAACTTTGAGAGCTTGCTAACATGGAGCTTCGCTGCCGTGTCAAAGGTGACGTTGTCGACCAGGCTGGAATTGGCACTGTTGGATTCAGGGAACGATAGAAGCGTCGCGGCAAGTTGCTCCATGGCGATGGACGCTCAAGACGGCGAGTAAGGCAATAACAGGATCGTAAACGGTTTTGTATTCCTAGATGATTAATATTGCCTATGTCTGAAATGTAGTATTTTTGGTTTGTTGCGATTTAGGTAACTTTATGTTTTATGTTTTTGTCGGTTGTTGGGTCTAATCTTGGTTAACGTGGGGGTGGGACGAAAGAGAGCTTCTACAGAAAGTACAGAAAGCTACATGTATGTAGGTAGCTGCCTTGCCTTTTTTTGGTGGGGCAAAGAGAATGGCATCTACGGCGTCGTTAATATTTAAACTCATGGAAGGTCCACACTGAAATAGGTACATATTAGTAGTACCTACTCGAGTACCTAGACCCAATTAAACTCGATCTATGTTTGCTTTGTAAGGGTCTTACTTTAGCTTTGTTTCATTTTCCGGGGGCGGGGCAGCTTTTACTTACTTCAGGTACATATTCCTTTCTCTATTCATTCAATAGCATAACAACTTCATAATACTAATAGTTACCTGTTATAAAGCATACTAATGCTAAGTTATGGTATACGACGTATTTAACAAAGGGAAATCTCTAACTAAGTTTAAATGTCAGTTTCCGTATTCTAAGATCAGGAACTTCAACTTAGAACATTACCTTTAGATTAAGTAGTCATGATGTATAATCATGATGTATATAATTCACTAACCACATCACGATTCATAATTTCCTCAAACTCCAAAACTAACTGACATTATCCGTACCGTCACCTTAACTTCCAAAAGGATGAATCTGTCATCTAAGGAGGCCATGACTAAGTAAAAGAGCTCGCCAATATAATCTTCTGCTGTGTAGTCTGCTGATATGTCTGTCTATAGTTTATTTATTTCAGTTACGTACATGATAACCTAGGGGAGGAAGATGATTGAACCGACCCTTTCAGCCACTGGGCAAGCGCCTCGGTATAACCTAAAGCAAATTCTTGTTTTGCAGCAGGACACTATTGTAGGACTATTACAAGGTTTGAGGGTTGGTAAATATGCAGTTGAATACCTAATCCGAGTATGCTCTTAGCATCTTATTGGTTGGTTTCTACAACCACCTACTAAAAGTGACGACACCATTGTTCGCCTCCTATCCATGATGCTTTATATATTAGCCCTTGGTTGGATAATTCTATATTATATGCTCCCCTTGTATCTCTTGCATTTCTTCTCACCTCGTTCAGCTACCAAATCACCCAGTAGGCACTCTTATTCGACAACTTCACCTTCCCAAATCGGAGTCTTTCTAGTTTGAAATCTTCAAGTATTACAAGCCTAGGTGAACTTGACATCACCATGTTTATTCCGCAGGAGATCCCAGAGGCTACTCGAGTAGCTACCATGCTACGTCTTCCTAAGACTAGTCACACGCCGTTGCCCACTGTGATCCCAGATATTCCCCGAATATACTACCAAACTTCAAGTGAAGTAGGTCATAGGGCATTATGGTAAGTTCTCTTACCAAGGGAAATCACTAATAGACACTTACATGACCTATCTTAGGGTTGTCTGTGTTTTGATGGGCTTGTCTTCGCTCGCGTTTTATATCATGGCCATGAGAGTTCCAGTGGTAAGAATCAATCCTCCTTTATGACGTAAAAGTAGTAAGATGTTAATCATAGCTTAGCAAAAACGCCTGTTCCATATAATTACAGCATTGGTTACCACATTCGGGTTCTTGTCCTACTATGCCATGGCTACGGGTGATGGTATAACCTCACACTCCTATGTATCCGAGAGATCAAAGCACGGAGCAGTCATAGAAATTGTTAATCGTGATATCTATTGGGCCCGTTATGTCGATGTGAGTATTATTAATCCTACCCAAGTATAGTGTAGCTAGGGGTTACTCATTAGTGTTATTAGTGGTCACTCACCACACCTCTTCTCTTGTTGGACTTATGTCTCCTCGCTGGTATCAACGGTGCGAGCATTCTGATAGCCGTCGTGTCGGATGTGATCATGATCTTAACTGGCCTCTTCGCCGTTTTATCCGGAGATGAGGCTCAAGGATGGGGGTGGTATGCCATCGCCTGCATCGCTTATCTCAATGTCGTCTACCAGGTTGGTTACAAAGGGCGACACGCAATATCGACTAGGGACAACAAAACAAGAGCTTTCTTTGGGGCCATTTCTCTCTTCACTCTCCTATTGTGGACTGCGTATCCTATGTAAGCGACCTTGCATTTCTAAGTTAGATCTTTTGCTAATGTCACTATGTGTGGGGTATTGCTGATGGTGCCCACCGTGTCAATGTCGACAGCGAGATCATTGCTTATGCCGTTCTAGATGTCCTCGCAAAGGGAGTATTCGGGTTCTGGCTGTTGCTAACCCATGATAACATGGCCCGAATGCTGCCAGCTATTGATGGTTTCTGGTCTCATGGTGTCTCTCATGATGGATCCATTCGTGTAAGTCTTCTCACTGTATGTTCTTTGACGACCACTGACAATTAGACAGGTAGGAGAAGGACGTACGATCGATGATAATTGAGCCAAGTGCGTACGTGAGGCCAGGCAACATGATATTCAAACAGACGTTGCAGGTTAATTGGCTCTTTTCTCCATTTTTTTCATCATGTCTTCTTCGGGGTTCTTGGTTAGGAGGCTGGGAAAATTGTGGTTAGGGGTGGAATTCGGAAAAGATAAATATTAAACTGCTATTTAGTTAAAAATAAAGTAGTGAGCAAAATTATTACGACTTGCTATGAAGTATCGAGACTTAATAAAATATGACGACCTGGTCTAAGATAGGTGGGCTGGTTTACATATACTACGACTGGATAATGATTAGTACAATAATTTATATACCTAGGAAGATATATTACATTATGAGCTCCGATTTTCAGTATTACCCTACATCTATTTCGGTCGCCCCGAGCAGTTCTACTCCGTATCCTGCGGCAAATGACCTTTCCACCTAAACAACGGCGTAAGTGAAGATCCAAGTGAGAAGAAAGGAGAAAGAAAGGTTGGATCGTTTACGTGCCAGTCCATGATATGTCATGATTTTCTACCAACGTTACGGAACTTGGTAAGATCTGGATTGCTACTTATAATAATATGATCGTATTCAGACCCTGACTTGCGCATTACTTCGTCGTAGTCCTGTTAGGCTATATCAGTATAGTCGTAGTCTCCACGAGAGCTAGTTGGACCCGCCTAACCAGCATTTGCAATAACTGCGGTAGCTCTGCTCAAATTTATGGATTTATTGCTTAGGCAGGTAGGTGAAATTTCTCCCTATATGCAGGAAAGGATCGAATGCGTATGCTTTAGGGTTTGATATAATAATGTCTACTACCCCGTCGCGACCGTCGCATTCTTGTACCGTGAGGGTAGTAAGGAGATCCAACTTACATGTGGATACTCGCCCATGGCATTCATTAGAATCTACGGCCAATGCATAGCCGGAGCCCACCGAGCCCTGTGAATTGTTGGCGCTGAGACTGCGATACCGTCGAACGCAATAGGTCAATTTTGGGGCTAACTCGAAGCCTAGGCGACCTTCTTGAGAGTAGCTATTGAAATAGGAAAACTCTGGTGGTCTCCTATAAAAGTCACGGATCATGATCTTTGCGATAAATGCCGGAGAACAGTATTAGGCTTCTGATACGCGATCACACTTCGACAATAGCGCCAGCCATGTTGCTATAACTTAGATAGAACCGGCCAGGACCGAGTCCACTGTCCTCAGCAGCTTGGAGATGACCATTCCAATAATCAACCGGTAGCTATGTTTCTACGTTCACAAGGTCGCCCTGCTGTTGACGGGCGTAGGAGAGGGTGACGTTATAGAAAGTAGTGTTCTTAACTTCTAGGCGATCATGATTGGGATAGAAAACAGGTGTGACACGTGAAGACTGTAATTGGTCATCAATCGTGCAGATAGTGATACAATAACGGCGTCCTCGAGAAAAAGTTGGCTGACGGTCAATAAGTTACAATTAAACATCGTAATGAAGTAACTAGGCTCCTGGAATATAGTATTACAAGAGTATAGGTCGCATAAGCATAAACATGAAAGATATCGGAATATATTCGTATTCTACGATCGTCAATCGAGATTCTGACATCTTAGCCGGTGTTGAAATATCTAGTCGGTAGATGTCAGGTATCTGGGATCATGTCAATTGTTGCATCTCTGCTCATCTTCGCCAGGTAGAATTGATACGCGAATATACTCATTTCCTTTTTCATTTCATAAGCGAGGAGAAGCATAGACAGAATAACTACGCTGTTTAATAGCCTCGGTATTGAGATGTGTACGGCGTAGTCACATCATGATATATGATGGATACTGTACGTCGCGTACTTTGAAAGAAAGACGGCTATTGGTGGCTTGGCGAGCCTTATTGCAGCTCATATCCATTCATCGTAACCAATGAGTACCAAGCCGCATTTTCTTTTTATTTCTCGTAGGCTATAGGTAGATTGACATCGGATTATCTGCGTCGCTAAAAGTCCTCACTGGCCACGAATAATAGAGAATGGGGAACTGGACGCATGATGTAGATAAATAACTGCATAAGGAGAAATGTTGACTCGTGTTATGTCCGTGCGGAAGTTGGAAGTGGGAAATGGGAAATGGGAAATGGAGGATAGGAAATGGTGCGATGGCCTGGAAGACGGACGGTCAACTGGCAACAACCACTGCCAAGTTTCCCCTTTCTAGCCTTTAGACGGTATATTACAAAGTATGGTACTGAACCTAAAAGGTTAGCTCTACGCTATGTAAAGTTAGTATTTCCTTCCGCTACACACATTTTCCCATATCATCTACATACATGTATGTACGGTTCTACCCTGCATTAAATTAATAAGCCCGCTAAATATCAAGTACCGTATTTCTTCATGTTTAGGTTAGGTAGGGTCTAATAATGGATGCTTGAGGGGGGTAACAGCTCTGGAAGTTACCGTAGTGATAGTTCTTTCTCTTAATACACAGTAGACGGTGGTAGTACCTTACCTGGATAGCCCAGACCACATATCGATCTACCACCACCTTGTCACGAGTAACAACTCCGTATGCGAGCCTTTTTTGTTAGGGGAGGTACCTCCTCTTCCCCTCGCCCCCTTCAGCTTTTTTTTTTTTTTTTTTTTCCGTCCGCGGCCTCTGCCACACACCACGCACCATACACACAACACCCCCCGACCTGCGCTGGAACTCTACAGGAATTGGCTTGATCACGTTAGCCTCGCTATTAGCAATGGATTTTAAATTGTCGGCATCCTGATATCCCTGTGACACAACTATCTTGCACCCCTGTTCTTCTTAAGAAAGCTGTCGCAATGGTTCCATATTATTGGTCAGATCTCGTCGCAACCTCCTGTTTACCTGCGACCTCGACGACCTCAACCTGACTACCTCTCCTTCTTGTTTTCCATCCGTTCTTCATCAAACTTCACCCAAATCTTCATCAAATCCCTTTTCTCTGGTCGCCATCAACTAGCGATTACTGTTAGATACCCTCTTTTTCATCTGTGTTGCATTTATTTGATTATTTAGCTCACTAAGCCGAACATCATGCCCGTCGAGCTTCGCAAGCGCAAAGCTCCTGCGCCGGCCCCAGAGCCGCCAGTTAAGAAGCAATCCAAAGTTTCAAAAGCTGCCTCCAAGGTTAAAGAGGCCGTCAAGGCCAAACCTACCAAGCCTACCAAGACAACCAAGACCACCAAGTCTGCCGATGCCAATGGCTCTTCCAAGCCCGCCAAACCCGTAGTCGGTGACACGCTCACCCTCGACGGGTTTGGTGGCGAGTTCGAAACCAATGACGGTAAAAAGACTACCTTAAAGGCCCTCCTAGATGAGAGTAAATCCGGAGTTGTGATTTTCACGTACCCAAAGGCTTCCACACCGGGCTGTAAGCTTCATCCCATGTAGTCACTATAAATTAGCGCTAGCTGTATCTGACCTGATATATAGGTACCAACCAAGCGTGTCTCTTTAGAGACTCCTACGAGCCTTTGACCAAAGGTGGCCTCGCCATCTACGGTCTCTCGGCTGACTCGCCTAAAGCCAACACTACATTCAAGACCAAGCAGAACTTACCTTACCCCCTTCTATGCGACACTAGCTTCGCATTGATTGAAGCCCTCGGTTTCAAGAAGGCGCCTAAGGGTGTCACTCGCGGCGTCTTCGTCGTTGACAAAAGCGGCAAGGTTCTCATCGCCGAACCTGGCGGGCCTGCCGCAACGGTCGACGCCGTTAAGAAGCTGGTCGCTGAAAACGAGGAAGCGGATGTGAAGGAGCCTGCTGACGAGGAGCCTGCGGAGAAGGCCACAGAAGAGGCTAAATCCCCCAATGGAGATGCTACCAAGGAGAAGGAAGAGGAAGATAGTGCGGCCGAGTGACGGATATAGTCTTTTTTTGCCCGTCTGCTTTTCTGTCTAACCTAGGGATTATCTTGCCTGCAGTCGTAACATGACGGTTTTGATATGATAGTAACTTCCGTGTCGATAATGACGTAGAATGACGAGAACAATAAAAGTAAATTGGGTATACGAAGTTTCTCGCTAAGGCGATATCTAAATTTTTTTTTGGTCTCGTACGTGGTTAATATCAAGAATCGCGCGATAAAATCCACCCATTCAATCGATTTATTGCTATTAGACGTGTAGAGGCATTTTATCTATCTAAGGTACGAAGGTACTGTCTTATGTAATACATAGAGTGTAATGAATGTGGTAGGTATGCGGGAATGAAGAAACCGAGATTTAACCATGTGGGTCATATTTGACCAACACGATTAATCTGATTGGATCCTAGAGTTTATCGCCAATTCAAACCTCATAATGATCTATGATCCATGATCCGAGGACCTTCAACCAGCTGAGCTCTGTCATTCCTCTTCAATTGAACCCACCATATTTCACCATGGCGTCTAAACTCGCCCCGGTCTTCCTTCGAAGGGCAGCCCGCCCGGCATACCGAGTACCTCGATCACAGTTCCGACCCTTCACAGCCGGTAGCTCTAGAAGAAGTGAGACTCTCGCAGTGGTATGTCTTGTCCCCATCTTTCTCGATCAAACCCAAGAGGCTCTATATCCAGTTGCGAAATAGACGGATGCTGCGGAAGCTTGCCTGTCAAACTAGCTTTCCTCCCTTCGTTATATTCGCTCTCGATACCTACCTGAGCAGCTTAAGGCAACTTAAAGCCCTCGTCAGCTTTATCTATAAGTCTTGAATGTCCATTATATATACACTGACGTTCAAACTTGCCTTGCGACAACAGCACCCGAAATACGTCCGATAACAATCCCGAGATACCATTCAAGTTCTCAGCTCAGAATGAAGAGGTCATCGCTCAGATCCTAAAGCGCTATCCGCCCCAGTACAAGAAGGCTGCTGTAATGCCGCTGCTCGACTTGGGCCAACGCCAACACGGCTTCACATCCATATCGGTCATGAACGAGATAGCGCGGATCCTCGAGATGCCCCCCACACGTGTATACGAAGTCGCCTCTTTCTATACTATGTATAACCGGACGCCGGTTGGCAAGTTTCACGTCCAGGCGTGCACTACGGTGAGTTTGCGTCGAATTTCTTGTCGCTTGCGTCTTTTTCACCTTATATTTCCTATACATATATTCTGAGAATTCGTTCTCCCGATCTTGTGTCTATTCGAGATACTACGTTACTGTACAATCTTGGACGGGACTACCCTAAGGACAGAGTAAAATCACTATCTATACATGAGTTGTTTGGTAGATACGTCATTGGTCTATATATGAAGGTCTCTATCAGAAATGTACGGCTTACTAACGAGGTATAATCTGGAATAGACACCCTGCCAACTTGGCGGATGCGGCAGCGACGCGATCGTGAAAGCGATCAAAGAGCAATTAGGCATCAAGCAGGGCGAGACGACGCCCGACGGACTATTCACATTTATCGAGGTAGAATGCCTCGGTGCTTGCGTCAACGCGCCCATGATCCAGATTAACGACGATTACTACGAGGACTTAACACCCGAGTCTACTAAGAAGCTACTGGCCGGCCTTAAGGAGAGCGCTACATCACCAGGCGCCAAGGTACCGAAACCCGGTCCGCAGAGTGGCCGTGATACTTGCGAGAACAGTGCTGGCCAGACGAACTTGACGAGCGAGCCGTGGGGTATCGAGACTACGAGAAGCGATCTGTAAATAGAGACAGCGGATGACCTCTTGGGGCACGGGCGTAAACGTAGACACTTTGTACATAAGCTCTATTTGTATCGGTTCATAAAAAGAAGACCGTCCCTTGCGCCCTTTCCACGCATCCTCTGTAATAGATATCCCAATCATTTGTTTGGTCTTGCTTCAGTTAACTGGCATTTTTATTTGCTTATTTGATAAATCTGCCTTTTTTGGTTCCATTTAAATCATTCAACCCAACCAGTCGTAACCGTTACCAAGGAAATTGGATTTGATATCGAAACCCAGAAGCTTAAAATCAAAAGTTTACTTGCTTGCTTGCCAACATTCGAACATGCAAAGGTACCTCATATGCCCAACTTAACTTAACCTAACCTAACCTGAAAATCCAACCGTCTCCGAGTCTTTTATTGTTCTCGCTCAGCCCGCCAAATATCAGTACGCCATTTTCTTCCAGGTCGCCTACCGGTGTACTAGCCAGCCATCCCCTCGGACCAGGGCCTTGGATTTCCAAGCTGTTGTCTTCATCATACGGGCCCGGAACGACTCTCGTCCATTTACCTTCTCCCGTTCTGCGCCCCACGGCATGCAGGAAGGCATCTGTGACGCTGGCGGCCGTCATGCTGATAGGAGGCACTTGGAAGGCCCAGACGTCGTTCCAGAACTGGCCGGCGCCTGCGTGGCCCTCGGTGCTGGGACCCCCTCGCCTAGCATGAGGACGAGGTACTCGCGTCCACCGCCGCCGAGTACGAGTTCCAAGCTGCTGACGCTGCGGTCCCCGGGCCACTCTTCTGTAGGTACCAACTTGGCCGTTTCGTTATCACTTGGAGGGGTGCGTTAGTGACGGGCGGGGCGAGAGTCTGCCACTCGCCACGCGCGAAAATGCCAATTTCACCTCTGCTGACGCGATCGTCGAACTCGTCTAGTACTAGATCGAGGACATCCAGCTGGCCGCCGAGTTCCTTCTCACCGTCGTATCCGCCAAAGCGGTAGAGGCGGCTCTTAGCGAGGGCGAGTGCAGCACCGCCCCGCGCGGGACCCGGTGCGGATGGGAGTTCTTTCCACGTGCGGCTGCGCACATCAAAAGCCCATACATCTCCCGTTCTGCCGCCGTCGGCCGTGCAGCCGCCGTGAATGATAAACGTGCCGAAACCGGCGTCCTCCTCGTCTACCGCGTGCGCGGCAACGTTGCCCGCAATCGGGCGCTGCGGGATCCCCACGTCAACCGAGTCGCCCTCGGCCCACTCCTTCCAGCTCTCGGTCCGGCGGAGGGGCTTGATGGCGAAGTCTCGCGGCTTGTCGGTAGCGACCGCGGCGAAGAAGCTCCGCGGGGACGGGACGGGGCTGTTGTGGTAGGGGTCTAGATACGCCCACGTGTGGGTCTTGGTCTCGAAGACCCAGACCCGGCCGTGCTCGTCGAGCGGTTCCGAGGCGGACTCCGCGCTGCGGCCGCCGAACAGGAAGATGCGGGAGCCGATGACGGCGCTGGCGTGGCCGACGCGGGCGCTGGGGACGTCGCCGAGGCTGTTGGTCTTGCCTTTGTCGGATGTGGCGGATGAGGGCTCCCCAGCTGTGGGCGGGGTGGGGGAGCTCAGAGGGACTTCGGTTAGGGGGTTTAAGCTCAGCGGCGATCTCGTCCTCCTCCGTGATGGGGGCGGGCTCGGGAACGTGTTGCTCGGGAGAAGGTTTGGCCTTGACGCTGAAGTAGTCGGCGGAGGCACTTCCCGTAGGAAGAACTATAATGTGCATGTCGTTGTCGACGGGCTTGCGGGAGGACTCGGCCTCGCCGCCGAAGATGTATGCGTTGCCAGCCACGACATCAATCGAATGTGACGATCGTGGAAGAGGCGGGATGGAGATATGTTGCCAGGTGCCCTTCATGGTATGGGCACCTTTACTTTTATCTCCACCACTTCCTCCCGGGCGTTGTAGATGAGGTAGATGAGGCATTGAGGGTAAGTTATGGGGAATAGAACCGATTAAATCGGTACCGCGACGCTTGAGTTTTGCAAAGGACTCCATCGTGGTGACGGTTGTAGTAGTAGTAGTGGTGGTGGTGGTGAAGATGAGATGGGAATGTGTAAAGCTAAGTCTATGTTAGGAAGGGTAGCTTAAGGTAGGTAATGATAGATAGAATTAGGTCAGTAATCCAATGTGGGCTGGTAGTTGGCCTGTGTAGGTTTGTATGTAATGTAATAGGCTAGTTTAATAGATAAATCGGGCTGTTCCTGAGAGCTCGTAAAAAGGTGTGACGTAAGACAGGTAGATAGGATGATGGATTTATGGGGTGAGGGGTGCTGTAAGCCACTATAACGATGGGTATATACGCTAATTAATATACGAGTAATCTCATGTACTTTTAGAATAATTGATCTTTTATAGATTAGGTACAGGTATATACAAAATGATATTGTAAATAAAATGTTTATAAAATAAAGCAAGAGTAATTCGAACAACGAAACAAAGCTCCACGATCAGCTTATTTTAATCAACGTCAACCAATTTGTATCGTGAGAGGCCGGAAAGTACCTAAACCTAATGGTATGGCTAAGGTGTTAACGCAGGCTAGACCCTTGTCTTTAACGTATCCACACACCAATAACGTTACCGTTGCATGGGAGCTAAGCCCTGCTAGTATCCACTTTTTGAGCTTCCGGGTACATCTCTTCTGTAAAACACAATAGATACAGGTACACTATGTATCGTAACCGCCAAGAACCGAGGTCTTTAAACATCCCTACGTTTAAGTATCGTCATGATCTCGTGAATCTCATCGAAAACAAATGATCGTCACCTTCAAATTCATGCTTCCATTCATTCCACTTTTTATATGTACGTTGGCTATGTACATTATGTAAATATATTGATCCCCAAGTAAACAAATAGTGATCGCTCACTTACTCCCCCATACCACCATAGCAGCTATTAGAAAACTGCATTATCATCCTAACTCACTTTAGCCCCGTAACCAACCATACACCTCTATCCTAGCGTAAAGAACTCGTATATCGTATAGCACCTATGGGCCATCCCGCCGCTTCCGCGTCTTGCCTCTCGGCTTCGGCGGTCTTTCTACCACCATCCACCCAGGAGGTGGTCCTAGAGGCGGACCCATACCCCTTCCCCCACCACTACCCCTGCCTCGGCCTCTGCCGCCAACATAACCTAGGATGCCGGGAGGACCAGCAGGGTGTTGCATTGGTGGAGGAGGGGGCGCCGGAGGTGCCATGGGCCACATTTGCATTAGTATAAACATGCCTGGCTCGACCAGATCCTCCCAGAGCTCAGGTAGGATGGTGACGGCTGATTGTTCTATGGGTGTAAGTGTGGGAGCTGGCGGCGGGGTTGGAGCATGCGGAACCGGAGGCTGGTGTGATGATGTACCAGCCATATGAGGCTCCATCCCCGGATGTTGTACGCCTACCGGTTCCGACGCAGCCTGGGGTGCCATTTCAAAGCCGGTATCTGTCGAGAAGGGGAGGTGGAAGGTGAAGAGATCGTAGTGCCCCTTAATTACATGAGGTCCGATCACGTCGACATAAACGAAACAATTTCGGATTAGACGTTCCATGCCCTAAGATGCTGTTAGTTATAAGAAGTGGGTATGTTTTCTAAGGAATCTTAAAACAATGCCATGTCTCTGCTCTTTTTATATGAAATTTATGACGCATCAGATGAGCGTCCTCCGAGTTCAGGCTCATTATTCTCATAAATCGACTAAAAAGAAGAAGAAGAAGAAAAGAGTAGAAAGATAGAAATGTTACTCACCGCCCAAGTCTTGGCTTTTTCCCAAGGGAAGATGAATTTACGACCCACGGCATCTTTGAAGCGAATAGGTAGCTTCTCCGGCGGCCGATCCGCCGATTTCTCCCAGCCGGGATCTCCGAACCTGAGCGGCCGAAAAGTCGGTGACTCGGTTTCCTGGTTAGTGTGTGGCCCACTTGCAGCCGGATCTTGGTCGGCCGGGTACGGCTGCGGCTCCGGTTCGTGATCCGATTCTGCGTCTTGCCCCTGCTCCTGTTTCCGCTCTTGGTCATCGTCTAAATATAGCTTAGGCGATGCTGTCCTAAAGCTTTCACAGTCGGATTCTACGCTTAATGCCCCGAGGCTGGGTTTGGGGGACAGAAGTTGGGTCTTTAGTTTGATGCCATGCTCGGATAAGGGCTCATTAAGTACGCTAGATGCAGCAGAATATTCGGGGGACTCCAGATTCTCATTTCGACTTTCGGGATTTGTAGGGTTTGTGTACGAAGGTGGGTTTGCATTAGGTATCTCTGCATTCTGAGGATATCTCCTGTCAACGAAATCCCTATGAACCCTTACAGGAGCTTTGCCCTTGTCTTTATGGTCAAGTACCGACTGGTGAGTATACCCGTTGTCGATCTGATCATCGTATCCGATCGTACATGAGTTTATCCTCTGTTGCGAAATCTCTTCCCTAGCCCTCGACCGGCCAAAAACTTCTTCGTCGCCTTGGTTAAATGAGCTAGTAGTATGGTCTTCACGTAGAGACTCTGACTCTGAGTCATCATGGACCAAACCTTGCCTAGGGTTGGCCATTCCGGGGTTAACGGGGGTACTTTCCGGATTATGCGGGACCGTTTAAGCCGTATATGAGTCGGTCGGGGGTTGCTTATCAACTTTGCTTTGTGACATCAGTCTGTAGCAACAAAAAAAAAATATTAATTATAATTATAGAAATCGGAAATAGGGCCGAAGACGGCATGTGTGCTACAGAGGAAAGGAATGCCGAAGAAGTGCGGCTGAAAGTTCTTGTACAACGCAATCCAACGTAAATATATATAGTACTGTATAGTAAATACTGTATTTAAATATTTACCTCTTTTTTTTTGTTAGGTATGCTTTTGTATGCTTGTAGTGTACTTACCTCTCCTACCTATGCTTGTATGTCTAGTACACGTTGCTAGCGTCATGGCGAAGACAACTGTCTTAGGCCCCGTGGTGGAGATTTCAGCGCTATTCGCGGGAATCTACGTACGTTTAGTGATTGGTGTTTTAGATGAGATCTACCATAAAATGTACCGCAATACTTAGTGATACTTATACTTGACATTATAACGTAATGCAACACCAAGTCCAATGGTACTACCTAAGGTACATAAGGTAAGCACGCTACAACGTCGGTACCTCTTATCAACTTATCATTGCTTGTATTACGTGCGAATCCACCAGGCCTTTTACCTTTTCCACCTTTTTCACCTTTTTTACATTAATCTATAGGTATATTACTTATGCATCTTCCCATGCACTTCTGAGGCTTAGTTAAGGCTGCCTTAGGCAAACATATAACTGCCCCCATCCGCCATTGATAAAACCTTCCCGCCTTCAACACACAGGTAAAATGCTACCGGGAAATGCTTGTCATCGCCGTGGACGCATATGTAAGTAAGCCGGCTATCCTACTCCGTGGGGAATGAATGGAAACTCATCCCATACGTCTAAGATGAAACTAGGACATGGACGCCACTCTTCACAATACCTACCTAAGTAACTAAAGGCTTTTATGCGGCGTAGATCTCGGCCCCGAACGCTTTAACTGCCTGTTCCTGCGAACGTAAGTACCCACTTACTTTCTGCTTAGATCGTCCATTTTCTTCAACCGGTCAAGCTTGGGGATCAAGATAGGGCTTGTACCTCTCTCTGCCTAAATAAGGCGCATGTTCTTACATTCCACTACCTAATGCCGACCCGGATCCCAGGCTGACTCGTCCCGGTAGTAGTCGTAGGATGCTATATCTCTGATATGTCTTAACTAGGTACTTATTATATCATCTAGAATTCGTAATCTATAGCATAAGCTCTATGCGCCTATACAATTTTGTACATAACTTTATATGGCCTCCACGACTATCCGTGCGTGCCTTCAATTTCTATAGCCAGGATAGTTATCTCGTAACATCGTAGATAGTTGTACATGTCCCTGAACTCGACGGTTCTATAGATCCCAAGCCCTTTCCCGTAGATTGGATATTACCCCGGTCATTATAAATCCCTAGATAGCCCAAAGTCACCTTTCCAATCGAAGTACTTTACTCGACGTCGAGGTATTTAGGATATATAATTCCTTACTAACCTCGACTACCCTAGTAAGGCAGGTAGGCAAAGAATAAGATGAACAGAGCCTATTAGAGCGATCACTCGTCAACCTCTTCACCCTCGGCGTCTTCGTCCCCTTCCTGGTCTGCCGTCGCCTCAACTATCGGGTTACCAATAGGTTTCAAGGGATTACGTAGTTCCCATTTTCCTTTTACTCCTTTCTCAATGATTGCGATTTCGGCGCGGGTAGCCCAATCGATGAGAGTCTTATCGTTTTCTCCACCGAATTCAATCGGCGGCTCTGAACCGGTGGCGGCCTTCTCGAGATGCTTGGCAACGTGCTCCATTCTATCATCCCAAGCATTCGTACCATCAAAGCGAGCATGGCAGCCGATGGCTGGGCACTGCATATGAGTTGGGAGGTCGCATCGTGTTCTTTTTGCCTCTTCCTGATGTGCGCGCTCGCGTGCTTCCCACTCAGGTGCAGGCTTCCTTTGCTTGACATTCTTCTTAAGATTCGCCGGAATATGCATGCGTCGCAGATGTTGGGTGTAAAGATCCTTACGATTGAAGATGGTCCCGCGGGGAAGTACCGGTATGCTGGGGCTCTGAGAGGAAGGGGGGTTAAGGCGACCGCGGACAGGTGCTGTAGTTTTGCTAGAAACCTTGGAACATTGGTCCTGTTGGCAGATCCAGTAGTTTAAAACAAGGTGCTGCGAAGAACAATGTCGTTTCCACTCATTCTTACTGGCAAATGTGGAATTACAGCCGGCAAAGCCGAAGACGCAAACGAATGGCCGAGTATGTTGCTTCTTGATGTGATTTTGCAGGCCGCTCTCATCCTTGAAGAAGACTTTCTTTGAGCACTCGGTACAGGAGAAGTTGCCTTTTGCTCCTTGGATAACAGGCTTGACGGGTCTACCAATCGTGCTCGAGTTATCGAGATCAATCCTGGGTCGTTTAGCTTCCGGCGTAGGTCCTGGACTGCCCTGTCGCTTTCGGTTCCTAATAGGCCGGCTTGTACTGGCCTTTGTCTTCTTCGGCTTCTGATTTGGTTTGTATTCGTCGTCTTCTCTATCTTCGTGCTTCAGAATGAGAGTCTCGGCTTCATCACCAGATGCCATTTCGTCATCTGACTCATACATATCGTAAGTCGACATGGGCTCAGGAATGCGAATTTCTTCTTTCACATCCGGCACAGATTCCTCAGGGCTCATAAGCCGCCGAGATCCGATTTGTTCTCGTATGCTGCACATGTCCATACAGGGACTGCTGTCGTCGGTTGACATACTAAAACCTCTTGAAGGGAACTCTGACCTTGGGTTGCTGTCATCAAAATAGTTCTCAGGGGATTCTTGGTAGGGGTTAATGTCGATTGGCTTCACACAATCATCGGCAAGACCCTGTACTGGTATAGATGGAGCTCGAGAACTGGGGCTTCCAAATTGATTGAAAAATGGAGACATGGTAGGCGCATCAGTGGGCGTTGGCGGCGAATGTGGTTGGTAGTAGTCACCCTCTCCGGGTGGGCTCAAGATAGTACTGCCCGTTGACGATGTGTGAGAAGAGAACGATGGTGAGTCTCGACGTTGAGGTAGGCCACATGAGAGTGGCCCTGTACTGTCATCTCTCCGGATTATGGTATCATGGAAGATTGGATCAACTCCCGCGTAGAGGATCGTGGATTTGTTGTGTTCTGTCAAGTAACGGTGAATCTGTGGAGGGGTCCATGGAGAAGCAGAGGGTTTGAGATTTGGATCGATCATGCCATCGATAGATGAGCCTTCCATGTAGACTGAAAGTGGCATGGTGTCCGAGTATGTAAAATTTTGATAGTCCATATTTGTGTCAATCTTCTCGCAATTGTGCATATACGCCACAAGCTTCCCTCGAAGTGTGTTCGAGATGGAGAATGAAACAATTTGGAGGCGTGGTTCAACGGCGTTGGGTCTTAGCCCAGACCTTCTTTTCAGATGGAATGGTCCTACGGGTAGTAACCATGAAGAGGAAGTGGTTTAATATTAGAAGATAGAGGCGGCCGCAAGGCAAACTTGCAGTATGAAACCGCGGGGAACGAAGCAAGACTTATGGAAGAAAACTTGATGTTCCATACGTTGCGGAACGTACTTCGTAGGCAACAATGGGGCGAAGCAGGTAGTGTGAAGCAACTTGCTTCCGAAGAAACGAGATACGCCATGGAGAATGATCCAACCTTACTACTAATATGCTGCCGGGTGTTCTGGGTCGCACATGTCTCTGTCTCTTGGGCAATCCTACTACTCTCACAAAGTGAACCGACCCACACGGAGCCGCAAGATATGTACTGTAATATACGTATCTGACAGGGGAGAGTGGCTGAAGGGTCATTGCGGTCATTTATCTTCTCTTGGCGTGGACCCCCTGCAGCGTTTATGTAGCACCGTATGTATCAGCAAGAAATATACTATGCATATAGGTACCCTGGCTTATTCTCAGCCAGTCTACGCGGACCAAGTTAGTCTGGGGCCGTTAAAAAAATCTCGCGGGGTTTGTGATAGGAAGAGGTAGTACACAGATACTTGTGTACATACAACGAACTACCTAGTCCGCGAACCATCCATGGGAAGTACATACATTAAATACGTACCTGGCAAAGTGAGTTCGCAGAAAGCCATCGGCTAATGAGACCGACCCATGGCTTGACTTAGGTATGTATGTATGGCTCGCGTAACCTCGACAATGCCCCCAGAAGGCTTGTGATATCGATTCAAAGTGGACCGAGTCAGATGCATAGAAAATAGTCGACATCGACTACCAGATCTTCGTTGAGCCGCATATTCCAAGTATGTCAATAGAATATGTTATGTGTATAAACTTTCCCGAAACGTGATTCGAGTTGGACGCGGAGAAAGTCGTGGAGGCTTGAGAAAATGGGATAAGGCGTCCGCCTAGGCATAACAGGCAACGGATAACCAAGGCGGAATCGTCTATCAACCGTAGATGATTTACCTAGACCATTAGGTCGTGTCTGCATAATAGATTTCCTATTAATTTCCTATTACCTATACTGGCTAGGTACTTGGGGATTCCGTGGATGTCCAGTAGCATGCTTAGAGAATTTTGCTTTTTTTTTCTTTGCAGCTGTCAATTCCTCGCATTGGTTTATTGCCACTACGTATGTTCGCCCGACTACCGTTGTAGCGTTACGGTCTTCCCCGTCCAGGAGCTGACTGCAGGGGGGGTAGCTTTGGGTTGGTTCGGATCCAGGGCCACTCAAGGAAAACGGACAAATAACATCGTACGGAGGAGAACTTGGCAGATCGCGTCCCGAGTCCTTTGAATTTGGGTATTATAATACCATGGTTACCAGCTGTCGGTTGACCGCCATATTCAGATGTAAGAACCAGGACAAATTAATCTGGGGTTTGATTGAGCCGGGACCCAAGTATCATGAACCTTGCCATAGATTGGAATTTTCAAACGTCGAGACGCCCAAGTACAGTTACTTAACCCAAGACTCGAGCACGTAATTCAATGAGCGTCTGCCGTCCAGTTCAAACAGGCCATTCAGCCCCCACCCCTCCTTCTTCCGTCAAGCCCTGTGTAGCGGCCTTCCAGATTGGTACCAACAAAGAAGAAGCTGAAGCTGTGAAGGCAAGCGCCGGCGGCTACCATAGACAGGGTTACCAATAGGAGTGTTGGTTGAGCGAGACATACGCAGCCAGCTGACGATCACCACCTCAACTTATATCCAAGTAGATAAGCATGACAACGATAGCAATGTCATACGAAGTCACTATCTATTGGAGCTGTCTGTCTGCTTGTACATATATTACGATAGTCTTGCGTCTAAACATCGTTTACATAGTTAACGAGACAGATATGTGTAGATGTGTAGGCATGTATGGGACATAAATGACAAATAATAAGAATTGTTAGGATTATTAGGATTGTTAGGATGTGAGGTAAGAATATGAGATATGATAGCGAATTGGGAGAACAAGTCGGTAACCTCACTTCGCGCTACGGTATCAAACAGGCCTAACAGGCCTAAAAAAACTGTCGGGACAATAAGTGGTAGGTGCGTCACCGAATGGGTATAAAATTGGGGGCCGGAACCTCAGCGGGCTCCATTAAAAGAAGGCAGCCAGGCAGGTTTACAGGGTAGTAGGTACCTAGCACTGTGTGTCCCCTACTATGTATGACCCTACTAGTACATATGTATACATTAGGTACATTTCTGTATACCTGCTTGGTTATAGAAGTAAGCTAGTAAGTTGGGGTAGATAGTTACATCATATATAGGCATATACATAAGAAAATACTTACTCCAACAAGGCGGAGGCCGATAGCTGACATTGACGTGGTGCCTTTTTTTATTTTTTATTTCCTCTAAGACATCTTTAATTATTATTTTCTTTTTTTTTCCCTTTCCCTTCCTGCAAGTGCCGGGGATGCCTGCAAGTAAGAACATAGATGAACATAGATGGTGTCATAACGCAACCATTTTACATGCGGACACATGGACTTGTTGATTCTTAGGCGCCCAATTGATTCTTCTGCCGGACACCTCAATGGCTATCTATCACACTTACCGAAGAGAGCCGCATCTGATGGCATGGTTGATGGCCCATGTACACGTGTAGGGCCCCAACAGCGACCCGAGGGCTAACTAGGACTGCCAACGTTCCGAACTCATCATGTATGCTATGCGGCTGCTGTATGGTTAAGATAGATAGAGGGTTGTCCTTGGATTTATGGATTTACGGACCACGGCGCGATGGATAGACAAGGACCTGTCACTCGGAAGGATTCGAGCGCCCACGAAACATGGATGAATCCATATCTTTGTTTTTCTTTCTTTCTTTCTTTTTTTTTCCGGGCACTGCCAGCCCAGACCGGCCAACGGGACTATGTAGGTAATTTGAAAGGATGGTCGGAAAACTGGATGACTGGACGACTTGATATTGTCTTATCCAATTATATTTCCGGCTTATAGAACATTACATCTACAACGGGCCGTTGCTGAGAACCTAAAGAGCTGAGCCTCCATGATGCGTAGGCGAGATGTCTCAGAAGGTAAAGTTTAGTTTCCTTAGACATTACCTTAGACATTATGTAGGCAGATCAAGATTTCTAGTAATAATTCCTTCTACCTTAAGCGCGCGCAATTATATGTTACACACGCCTTATCTACATAATAGCTCGGACATGTAGCCGGTGGCTGATCTTGACCTACGCCGGTTTTCCCAAGCATTACACATGGCATCGAGATGTAATGCACGTGGAATTCTTAGATAATACTGCCGGGCGAGAATAATAGATAGCTTGCTTGATTAGAATAATAAAACCAACGGTTAAGCTTCACTCCCGTAAGAATAGGTATTGTTACAAGCAGGGTTCATCGCATCTTTTGTCATCTGCCTCCCAACATAATCTCGGGTATAAAATATGTATACAATAAAAATAGATTCAATACTGCTAAATTTGCATTTCAACCCTTACCTAACATCTAACAAAGCAGATGGGAAGCATGTGAACGTAACACTCATTATACGAGCCATCGCGGCGGCTAACAGTTTTGTTGGGACGTAAAAGTACATATTACCCCTGACGTTTTATTACCTACCTACCTATGTATGATCCGCAATCCCAAGCTTTCAATACCTGCAGAATAACGGCATCCCGATCCTCATTAAAAGTGAAGATTAAGCCGGCTCGGGTGACACATATATGTGCTCTCGGTAATGCTATCCCCGTAATAGTTGTAAGGCGAACAATATACCTTTATCTTATTAGCTACCTAGGTAAGTATCTGATATTTAGCTACTTGTAGACGAAAAGATAGCCACGCGCTGTATACATGTCTGGCAAGCAGAGAGGTCTTTTCGTTTCTGACAGGTCATTAGCTATTGTCAAAGAGCCAAGCCAACTAAAAAGATTGTTCGTAACTTCATCGCTCGTTGACTCACGCAAGATCCCGGCTCGCCGAACCCAGCTCACAAGACTATTCTTTTTTGCAAAGTTAGGTACAGCGAATAGCAAAAATCGTATGCTGGTAGCAAAGTCCCCTTCGGAGCCAATTCCCCCTGGATGGTCGTCGAATCGTCCAACGAAAAATTCTCGATGCCCCTGAACAAATATACCTACTCCACAACAACTGGAAGCTTTAGCACTGCAAAATTTTCTTAGTATTGTAACAATACAGACCTAACATTGTCCAGGATGGGTAACATCAGAAAATTTAGTCGTTTGAGGTAAACTACACCTAGTGCTACGACATCAAGATTTCATAGCATTCTGGGTTTGACAAGGCATCTCCATTCATCATTGATCTCAAGGGCAGGGTAAAATGCGGTAGAGTACCTCCTAGGTTACTTAAATTAGTTTCATAAAGGATGAGTTTGATGCTCATACTACATTGCCATTTGCTGGTTTCTTATCCGGGTCGCCGGTGTTGCTCTGCTGATGTTAGACTTAAATGATTACACCCCCCTGGATATTAAATTAGGTGATGATTTATCTAGGTCTCAAAGATCCCCCCTAATGCCCTTACAGAAAAATACGTACCTGGAGGTTAAGCCTAATCGATTATTTTGTCATCATGAGAAATAGCTTGTGGAATTCTGTAGCCTTCAAGGAAACGCAGAGGCAAGCAGTCTAATGCGAACTTCGGGAAGACAACCCTCTTCGTAAATCTACACTACAGAGCAAAGAACTACTTCCACCGCATCCCACCTAATACATATCACGATTGAGCTTGCCATAAGGTGTCCTAAGTAGCAGACTTACGGTATTCCCCCTATCTTCTAGCTTATTGTTTGAAGCAATTTACCTATCTCTAGTGCCACGACTATTCGGAAGATCCGGCCCCTTCTATCGACCGAACCACGAAGCCCAATGCGTTTAGAAGCCTAATCAATACGTGTCAGTGACAACGAAGACCCCGATCATCTACCGAAGTAGACCAAAAAAAAACCTACTCGCATGCCTATTTTGTATTAGACCAGTACCGACGATCAGCCAGTTGATGACAGGAACACCTATCGCGCAGATCAAACCATTCCTAGATAGGAGTTTTATTTCGATTCCTCTCCCCTCGCTGAGTACTTTGCTTTACTCGCCACTTCCTGAACCAGAATGTTGTGTTGGGTCTAGAAAAGGAAGCATCTACGAATTCAATAGATAATTTCAGGATCTCTCAATACCGAGGCCATTAAGCGGCAATTTAGAATAACTGCACGATACAAACTGTGCAAGTTCCAGCGATGGTTAATCTACGAAGCAAGATTAGCTCATGCCTTTCGTCTCTTATCCTTCGTAGCTCTGTCCCCGTGCTCTAGCCGTCCATGCGCTATGGATGTACACTGGGTTCTCATAATAAAAAGAATGGAAGCTATTAGATGGGCTGCGTAGTCTTTTGCGGCCCCACTTCCATGTTTACATTCCTGTCGGGATTCTAGACAAGACATTTAGAACAAAGGACATGTTCAGTATGTATAGGTAGACATAGACTTAGACTAGAGTTCCTCGCGGAACAAAGTTGTTTCCTAGCTTCTTGGTCCACCTTGTGACAATTCTATCATAATAATGACTGCTACAATCAAGCGTTCGATTTCTTTAATCAGTTTGTTCCTCGTTACTTCTAAGCTAAAGATACATAGTGCCGTATGCGGGTCGGCTCTATGGAGTAAACGAAGTATCTGACATCATGTGTTAAGGGGTTTATCTACGGTACTAACTATCAGGTTAATATATTGGCACAGAACTACAAGTTGTATATGCTGCATACGAATTAGGTAGGTAAATATACCTAGGTACCCAGTATATAAGTCTAGTGATAGAAGATACAGATGTCAAGATAATCGCAATAGAGTCACAAGTGTACCTATGCTATGTATCACATGAAAGTGGAGGCCTTTGCTTAAGTTATTTCTGTTGTATTATATTATGAATAAAATATCAATCGATTCTAAGGGTAATTGTACCGTCCACCTTAACTCCTTTCCTATCCAAGCGAAATAATGGAAACCGTCCATTTACATGACGATATTATAGCCCGTACGAGGTCTGCATCATGAGTCACAATTCTCGCATACCTTGTGTTGACAACTATAGTTAGTACACTGCCTGCTTGTTACAGGCATGGCATCACCGCATTCACACTACAAGTACATTAGACCACTAGTTGTAGAGAAGAGGGGATATCACATACACAAATGACTATGGTCATTTCCTCCACTATCTCGGTACGCTTGGAAGCCACCATTTCCGACTCAAGACCTCTTTTTCTCTTTTGATTTGTACCCCGAGCGTGTGGTTTCCCAACTCTATTGTTGTTATCTATACTGGGATTGTTGGACGAAGAAACTATTCCCGAAGACGTGATGCCGGTATCTTCTGGATCGTTGGCTTGCGGCTTGGTAGAACCAGAACGAGGAGGATAATCACCTTTCCAGTCGTTAATATCTTTTTTCGCCCGGTTGTTGCGACCCTGAAAATGATCGTCGATGTGGTTAAACCGTTCAGTCCAAGCTTCTATACCCTCTTTCGTGATTTCAATTATCTCCTGGCAGAAACCGCACCAAAAGCGGGTCTCGTGATTTCGTCCTACGCGGCATGCCTCAAGCTTACGGTCTAAGAACTCTTGATCCGTGATGCGATGATGTACACTAAGATGGTGTTTGAATAACTCTCGTCGTGGAAAGTTCCTTCCACACGACTCGGAAGACTTGTCTGCTTGCTTTTCATCACATATCCAGTGCTCTAACATAAGGTGCTGACTGTTCTCGTGACGCTTCCAGTCGTTTTTGCTGCCAAACTTCTTATTACAGTCCGGGAACGTACAGCCATATGGCTTTAAATGCCGCCTTTCGTGCTTTCTATAATATGGTTAGCTTCGGTACAAAGCTTAAAGGAAAGGGAGACAAGGCAAGCGCTCAAGGACAGAGAAAACAAGAGTATGTCTTACTTCAGTTCACATCGTCGGTTGAATAGTTTCGGGCATTGGGGGCAAGCATGGGCCTGCTGGGAGGCACACCATTGGTCGGCTCCAGCTTGGTTATCTCTGTTTCTTGAGGATCTTCTTTCTTGTATCCGTGCTCTTTAAGTATGCCCTTATTTTGGAGCTGCTCAAGAAGCCTCGATACATATTCAGGGTTATTGAAATCTGGGGTTAGCAGCCCATGATCCTTAGGTTCAGGGGACACATGAACTTTCTCGCTACCCTTTATCAATATTTCCGGTGGTATGTTAGACTCGAGGGTTCTAAGGGATAGCCCGCTAGGACGATCCTGAGACTCATCAAGCCTATCTGTATAACTGTGATTTGGAGAACCGGCGTCATTGGCTAATTCAAGACCTGGGATTTCAGAATGAAGGCCGGGCTCGCCTTCTTTCAACTGCCTTGTGTTTGTAGACTCGGAATCGCCGAGAGAAGGACTAGCCTGGATAGAAGGCGGCTTGGGTGCTTCCATTTCATGATTAAATGTAGTATCCTCACTCTCCAGGTGTGCTTCTTGTGCGGTGGTGCTATTAGATACATCCAAGCGGCTCTCACTAGGTTTAATCACCAGGGGGGGTTCTTCTATTTGAATTTGACTTGGTCCTTCCACTGGGTTCGTGTCGGCAGATAAATCGATAACTGGGCTCCGGGGTAACTTCCAGTTATCAGAGGCATCATCACCACCTCCATCGGGAAATATGTTTGACCTGTCGAACTCGGCAACAGTGCTATTACGAGCTATGTCTGAGTCGTTCTTGGCTGGGACTTCTGGCCTAAGAAAATAATTAGAGACCCTCGCTAGTGTTTTGGAGCCAGTATTTCTATACCTGTACTTATACTGATCTAAGTCTTCGTCTTTTATCGACTCCTTTTGGTGGACACGTTTCATATGTGCTCGAAAATTGTCAGCCCGAGGCCAAATCTTATTCTTATTAAAGCAAGCGCCAACTTGGCATCGATAACGGTCACCGTCAGCGTGCTCATGCGGGTGTAGGCTTCTTTTGTGTCTATCAAGATCGTTGGGCGTACTGAAGCCTTCACTACGAGTACAACCCTTCACAGTACATTTAAAAGGCTTATCATGCCTTTGTTTGTGTTTCCTAGTGATATCATTTCAGTGAAAGTTCTCCAGGAACAATAATCAAACCTAGGTATTAAGCCTTACTTGAATTCAGACTTCGTCTTTAATACTTTTTTGCACGTTTCGCAGATCTTACCCTCCTCAGGGTTGATCTGGCGGGCAATGGCTGGTTGAGGAGAGGTCGTCGGTAGCTGAGACTGGGACCAAGGAATCTCGGGATTGACTCTGGACATCACATCCTGGCTATATGAAAAGCCCAGTTCACCTTCCGGGTTCCGATCAATAGACTCATCACAGACAGAGCCATTGGCAACACTATGTTTAGCCGCATAGCTCCCGCCATATCCAGAATCAGAAGGTATTCCTCCTGGTGGGACTGTATCGCATTCAGACGGACTCTCCCGATATTGGCCATAGAACATAAGTTGACTATTTCGTAGGTTGCCTAAGACAGATGAATTTCTGATATCACCCTGAGGAGATATCAAACCAGGAGGTGTCCAAGGGCCATCATTCCTATGGTACCATAAGGCTAGGTTCCTACTAATTTGCCCGGTTCTAAAAGAGGTTGCTTGGTTTTGACTAGTGGGGAATAATAAATTTTTATCCATATGTCCTAAGGAGGTAGTAAGATCCTGATGATGGCCAAAATTAAGTACCGCCATCGTAGCAGGTTGGGCATGTCCTTCCATTGGAGTGTCCGAAGATCCAGGAGAAGTCAAGGGTAGCTGGTCCGCCATTTTAGGGGATATATAATATGAGAACTTCTCAGATCGGTAGAGGCCTTATACGGAAGAATATACAAATAAAAGGCACTAAGAAAATGAGACCGTGAAACTTGGATTAGCACACGAGCGTCAAGTCCCTCAAGGTAGTGAGGCATATGCCAATCCGGAGTTAAAAAGCCTGCGGCTTAAAGGATAATCTCCAAGGGGTTTAAGGGAGATTGACGAGCTAGTTAATATTGGCGATGTGATGATAGGATATATCCTCCATGTGTTTTCACGGTAAGTATGGCCTATTTCCAAAAATGTGAGCATGCGGCTGGGCAGGAGTTTTGCGCTCCTCAACAGTGCGCGCGCAAATACCATATAATGGTACTGTGAAAATCTGAGTACTATCAATCGCTAACAGGGTATATAACAATTTTGTACTCGACCAAATGGTATCCTGGATTTATATTCCTAGGGCTTCTGGTAGTTCAGCAAAGTCAAGGCCGTCAAGCCGAACCGTAAGGTAACTTAGAAAGTTAAACGCCCTGAGGCTTTGATCGCGTGGGGATGGGATTAAATTCAATTCGGATATCGAAGAAAATAAGGGCCAAACGTCCTAAGAGACAAAGAGGAAATGCGTTGCGAAGGCGCGCAAAACCCTTTGTCGATGGATGCGCCCGACACTTAACTCAATAAGCGAGAGATAAATGCATAACCAACTGAAGACTGAAGAATCATGACTGATGGAAGAGATTGGGGATTGATAGAAGGTTAAAATGAGAAGGTGGTGGGAAGTAATATGAGGTGCAAGGCAACCATCAGGTCCTGACCGAAATCTACGGTACCGACCCAAAAAGGAACAAGTAACAAAAAGTGAGGCGGACAAATGCATATTTATTGCGTTGTAGACAACACTAGAGACACTAGATATACCAGCGTATTACACGCTTTGTAATAATATATAGTACTAATCTACCCACTTAATTCTGCCTGTTACGCAAGTATTTACCTAACTTATCAATGTACAGCCACGGGCTTTGTCTTTGACTACCTAACCTAATGTACCTAAAAGACCTCTAATCCAGGGCTACATGTACGTAATTTTCGGTGTACACACGGGTATTAATAATAAATAGGTGAAAATGCGTGGTGTGGCACGTATGGATCAGCCGCCTCCGATCCCGAACACTGTGGCTAATGCATGACTATTCGGTCCTAGACTAGCAGGACTAGGTAGAGGTACCTAATTATCCCACTTAGATCATCACATCGACGTAACCAGTAAGATGAATAAATATCGCAAACGATACAACAACCTTCAACATACTAACAATATTAAGAGTTTAAGAGCTACATCGATTAGCGGCTAATCTTCATAAAATTACATCCGCAGAGGGACTACACCTACGAAACCACACTTTAGGTCGGGATTTGAATTAGCTACCTACCTAGGTAGGTGGCTATGGATCAGTTATACATGTTTTGTTCATCAATATTTACCACGAATAATGACTACCTATCCTTCATAGTAGAAATATAAAGCGTTTGGTCATGTCAAAGCATCGATAGGTATGTACGTATTAAAAAAAAAAAACTATGCCGGATCATTGCAGCAACGGGGAGTCAGAAACCACCTAGGCTCGTACCACAAGGTTGTCAATTATCCGATCCATCTTCGATCATACATACTAGGTAGTTCTGATTCCGTGGTTCCCCGGCCAGAACTAATTGGCGCTAGATGTCGTTGGTTTCCGAGATCGTAATCTCGGTAGCGATCCGCTGCCGTACTTGAACGTACGTAAATGGAATTCAGGATACTCATTCCTCATAAACCGTAGATTAGATGCCAAGAGATGGGTGGTTTGTTTGCTACAGTCTAACGTCGGGCCGCGCCGTAGGGGCCAACATTAGCGCCATGTACCCATGAAAGGTGCCATCTAAAAGAAGCCTCGAGGCTTGATTCGTAGTGTAACATCAAGCATCCCGAGCAATCCACCCGGCTACAATGCAGCCACTAGCCGTTTGCCAGGTTGTAGGGTTGTAGGGTTCCCGGATATTGTCATAACTGACGGTAGCAGACATCTCGAAGCCTAGATCCTGAGATGGTCGGTTAGAGATGCCCCTATCGACTCTCCAGGGGGGTTCCATACCCTCGAGGTTTCTGATACGGATTTCTGTTAACCTCAACTTTCATGTTTGACGACTAAATAGAGTGAAGGCCTAACATTAACCACCGCCAGCGACTTCCTATTACGTAGGTAGTGTGGGGAGACTATGCGGCTCTGGTTGAAACATGGGAGCCGACCTACCTTCTAGACGCAAGCAATGTCTACCACATAATCTTGCTTTGACATGTCGATCGTACAACGAAGAGAAAAATGACAGATCAGAGTTGGCGGTACTCGATAAGAAATAACAATAAGGTCTATGTGGACAACCTATATGGCTAATGCGAGTTTCCTCCTGTAGAGGCAAGCTGCGTGAAATTCGGGCAGCTCAGATCTCGTCGTCGCAATTAGAAGAGAGCTTCTCAAAAGCTAGCATGATGTGTTTGCCCCTCGTCCTTAGGTTACTAAAACGGTTGGATATCTTTTGGAAGGGAGCAAACATGGCCCCTATAAAAGAAGACCGACATCTCGTAAGGTGAGACTATAGGACCGACTCGCCTTTTTTCCCCGTTCGCTTGAAACTGCTACGATAGTCTATTACTTCATGATCCAAGGTATGAATGAAACGCTTCGTTTGTAAAAACTGCTGGGTAATCTAACTCTATGCAGCTTCACTCCTGTCTATTCATAGCCAAATTCAACGCAGGTGAGTATATGCCATCCTAAGAGTATTTGTTTTAACATACTTAAGCATAATATGTTGGCTAACCATTAGAGTCTATTTCTCAACTGTAGACATGTGCGACTACGATGAATTCTTATTCGAATGCAACCACTCTGTCTGTCGGTTGAAGTCTTACTGCCATTTTGCGCGTAACGACCCGAATCATATATGTCTTGGAGTAAAGAAGCTTCGAGATTCATGGCTTCAGGAAGGACAGCTTTGCGAAGAATGCATCAGAAGCGGCTTGCGTTTCGTGGATGGAAGAATATGGGCCCCCTCACAACGAGCACGGTGAAATATACGCAAACGTGAGGAATATGGCCCGAGTTACGCACGACACACTACGCATCTAGTTAGACGTTGGGGAGTCTTTGCACAACGCTACGGGAATAACGAGAAATGACTACCACGGTCCAGAACGCGGGATAGCTGCTCACATGCAGCCCTGGGGAGTGTCATTTCGATCACTTGAGTAGAGGATGCAGTGAGTCAGGAAGTTTTGTATGTTGCTTACTACCCGTTACGAACATTGGCGAAGTGTTTCGAAAGGAGGGACAGACATGCAAAGACAACTGTCTGTGAGACGTTTCTGTATAATTGGGAGCGTTCTTGCGAATTTGTTGCCCATTCAAATCTTTAGAAGCTATTCTAAATATTACAATGCATTAGTATCCCAAGACTTCGTAACCTTCAAATACCGGGCGTCATATTCCAAGTAGGACGTAACCATATTATCCAATCGAAGGGTTTACAGCTAGTACCTAGCGAACTATAATCTGTTGTGTCCTTTCACCACACGAACGGTAGCGAAGCAATTTGAATTCAACTGGTAGTCTCAATAATTGAAAATAACTGGCAACACTATGCGAACAAGACACATATCTCTATACTAGTACATTTTTGGCCGGCTGGAAGACTACTCCTCATAGAGTTACAAATATTCCCTTGAAGTAAACCCTTGTACCAACTGTAAACTTTCTTCTCTTTTTAGCATATGGACTGCGTGACTATCGCAATCGTATGTTGGTTTTCTCCTCACGGAGGACTGAAAGCAACTTACATAGCAACCATTACCTTCTCTAGGAGAATGTGTGAATAAAATATTATAATACCACAGGATTAACACCTACTAGGAGCAAATTATTTTTGTCCGTACAAATGTATCAGTCGAATAATTAATCTAGATGGAGTGCCTTGAAATGTCATGACGCGGGAAGTTCGGAGACTTACCTCACTTACCGGTTCTCCTTGTCTGATTTATTTGAAATAGGGCTCGAGAACTGCTAGATAGGGCTGTTGGATTTGCACGGAAAGCCGTGTCGCCCCCCACCATTTCCTCTAATAACTTTCTCCTCGTGTGACAAGGCGCAACTTTTACACTTAATAATCGAGAATATACCTCATTAGGCCTTATGAACAATATTATGAGCTAATACCTCAGTTGTATGTTAGGTGAATAAGATAGGGTCTTTCATACCCTCCAAGGAAGGCCTCATAGACGTACCAGGTAGGTAGGTAGTCAATGAAACGCAAACAAATGTGTTAATGTTATGTTGAGTCAGTCGGATAAAGATCTAGTTGACGTTCTATTGCTAACTTCATGCTAACCCCCCTCAGGAAATCTTACGTATTCCGATAACCTACTCAAGGTTCGTTGCGCCTTGAACAACACCAATGACATTATACCGATTTGAGAAGAAGGTGTTCCAGTCCTTGAGGGTTTGCTTTTCCTTATCATCCAAGTCCTGCCATTCCGGCTTTACGTCCTCGGGTTTTGTTGAGGTCTTCGCCAACGCACGAGAAGCATCCTTTCCGGCGAAGACTGAACTAGTTAGCAAACATGCTACCTCTTTATCGTGCTATACAAGTCGCTTGATAAAGCTGCAGCTCAACGTGGGACGTAGACACCGGTTGACACTCAGGAAGCAGCAAACAAGAAAAGCCAACTTGCTACAAGAGTATTGGAATTCTAAGCGATAGAATCACGCGGTGCGGCATGACTCCGTAATTATGGAATGAGATACTGTCACATACCGTGGTAGGAGCCCCCCTCTCGATATGCCTTATTTTCACTAACATCGTAGACTTTGCCCTAATAATCGTAAGAAGATGTATAGTATAGAACGGATTGGTTCAAAGAGGCAATGATGTTTATAAATAATGAATAAGCATACCTTAATTGCCACATAAGCCTTCTGGCCCTCGGTGCCTAAACTAGAATATTAGCACTGTATTCTCTACACAAGAGAAGCTATCGTGGGACAGTTCCCCGAGTTACAGATAAAAATAACTCGATATAGCCGTCTAAATATAGATGTTGTATGGATGTCAACCTACCGTCTGCTTTTGCTAGCTCTTCGACAGAGATGGGGTCGTCCTTAGGAGGGTTTAGGGTTACAGGAACCTTGGGTTCAAATTTTCCCGCCATTGCTCTTGATAGACGGAAAAGCTCTCAAAGCTACTATAAGGGGAAATTTATAATGAGAAGTCACAGTGAAATGAATTGATGGTGCAATGAAAGGTAATGGATTAGATGTTAGCCGTCATGATTTTGCTAAGAATGAGACTGACAAATGCGACGGATGCAACAAGGAGCCGATGTTGAAGTTGGTCAATGCGCGCATAAAACGCTTGCAGCCGAGGCAGTTGTATTATGTACTTCTCATGTAACTAGTAACTACCTACCTAACCAATTAAAGATACTTAATTGGGAAGCAACTTTGGGGTCCTTGAGCAGCCTGACTATTGGCTGGCGACCAGCTGGTAAATTTACGTCATCGGCCAGGTATTGTAGAAGGAGGCTCCAGTCAAAAAAAAAATTAAAAAATTACGTTACTACCTCTACACAGTATTTCGGTATTTTGTGACCAATCTTTAAAAAAAAAAAGAAGTAGCATACAAACTAAAGAGACATCATTAAGATATTAAGATATTGAACTATCACTCAAATGGCAACTTCATCTAGTACCTAATATTTGCGAGACTTAAGACTTTAGTAGCTTTGAATACTTCAATCGTCGTTTACCATGTTATCTGCTTCGCGCACTCCCGTGATAACATCTTCTCGCAGCTGTTTCCTCCATGCTCGATCTTCTTACCAGAGGCGCATTAAAGGGTCTACCTTACTCCCGATACAATTACCAAAAAAGCCACTTGCCCTCAGAGGCCGCTCTAATTCGCAGTTTCAGCAATGCCGAACCAGTCCTCTTCGCATGAACCGGATCGCCAGATTCCACCCCTACCGCCATCGAAGCTTTTCCTTCGCGCTCTAAACAGAGTCTAAGTTTTCGTCCCTTATTCAGCGCATTTAGAGGCCAGAGCCTTCGTTCATTATTTCGTCAAAGCCCAGAAGAGCTTGTTATTGCTATTCTTTTGTAAGGGTCTTTCTAGTATAACGCCGATTTGGACATCGTTACTAATGCAACGAGTCTGTGCTAAGGCTATGCGGCGTAGCTGGCATATCAGTCTACGTGATTTACGCATATTTCAATTACTTCCAATCCAAGCAGTTCACTCGATTCCCACCACAGATCGCGAAGTCTCTTCGCCGCGCATTATTTTATAGCAACTATGCGCCAGACCAACAACTAGCCCTAAGTACTATAACTCGCTTTGGAGCAATGTTCACAAGCGGCCTCGATCCATTCTCCGACGAAGTCATGGGAGTCAAAATACAACTTGCTGCCTGGTTTGAAAAGATTGGTAGTTATAGGAATTCTATTGATGTGTTGGAGTCTCTTATTAATGACTGTAAAGATGGGTTGAAGTAAGGAGAGAAAGCGTCCGAGATGGATTGGTTGATAATTCAGGGAAGCTGGCTGGTTCTCCGAGTCCGCAACCCCAACAGCACAAGATGACGCCGAGACCGAAAACAGATACGAAGCCGGAGAATCTATGGGGCAAGCGGACAAGGATCCTGGGGAAATTAGTTGGAATCAGCGTTAAACTGGAGAACTTTATTCCGACGAACATGTCCTCCAAGGTGACTCGGCTGGCCAACACTTAATCTGGGCTGTCGAGACTGTCTTAAAGGAATTGCAGAGGCGTCAGGTTGAAGGTGTGAAGGAGGGCGAAGGTGATTGGATGACCCCGGAGCAAATCGGCGGTGCGCTTGAAGGTACGGATAGTCTTCATCGCGTTTTTGTTCCATCTTTTTGTACGATGTGTAAGGCACCGCTGACCAAAACTAGCGTTAGGAAATCATTACGAGTCCAAGTCCCAACATTACCTCTCAGCACCGCTCTTCCTGCAGGCAGTGTCACTCTCGCCCCGAAATAGCTGCCACACTGCCGTTCTAAGTAAGTGCAAACATGGCATATGCTACGTCGCCCCCCTTTTTACTTCTCTTCACTCCTATCAGCAAGTGTTGGTTTCTGGCTAACTAAAGATCTCGTAAAAGTGAACAACCTAGCGATCTCTTTAGCACAGCAACCCATTAATACACCAACAAATACCAACCCGACCTCTCAGGGTAGCAGATCCAACGTGGCTGCCCGTCCCACACGGTCTACACTCTTAGCCAGTGCCCGCGCTTGGGCTCTGCAAGCTCAAGAAACAGCGCAGAAAGTACAGGGTGAAGATAGAACTGATGAGTGTGACGAAGCTTGTGCCGTGGCACTTTGCAACCTTGGAGATATCGCGGCTATGACTGGAGATACCGAGGAAGCCAGGCGTAAGTTTAAGGAGAGTTTAAGTTTGAGCAAGAGAATTGCGTTTGACCCAGGTGTCGCGCAAGCCCAGGAGGGCCTTCAACGTTTATCTACGGTAACAAAACAGATCTACGTAGGTAGCCTAATACCTCTCTACTTAACGGAATTATCAATTTCTCGAGGCCAGGATTTTCAGGCAGCGAGACCAACAAAACTACCTAAAAGACTGGGTTGCAGCAGATGATGCCCATGAAGGCTGTATGCGTAGCCAAATTATGCATAGCCAAATTAGGCACAGAACTTTCTACTGGGTAAGTATAATGCAACGGAACATGGTTTGCTATAACATGGTTGGAACGAGGTTGATAGTAAAAGGGTCTCCAAATCACCTCGGGACCGAATGATTTTACACAAGTTGTTGCATGATCGTGACGAAAGTTATAGTGAATGAGAATAATTCACTTATGTTACCTATTGTAGAAAATCTATGATATAGGCTATCCCCGTATATACCATATACCACATACCAGCAGTTGCGGCGGACGCTAAGGCACGGATGTAGATTCAGACCCGATATTCGGAGATTCTTTAAGCGCGCCAGATGACATCATTTTCAATATTCAAGAGACAGCTACGGTACAGCTACGGTACAGCTACGGCACAAGACGGAAGCGGGATTAATGAAGGACTCGGAACTCGGGTGGCATTGATTCACATATATGCCGCTCTTGACTTTCGGATTTCGGTATAGTAACCCGACTGGCTTTGAATAGTTAATATCATGTCATGTTGTTATGGGAATACAGCTTAAATGTATTGCTTTCATCAACTTGCACGTATGTATCCGCCGGTTTCCTTTCAGCTGAATCCATATTCGCGGAATTAACCCTTGTAGACGGAGACGGATACATGTTTCTAGATAGATTCCACGTTCCAGAATCCTTCAACTATACACGTTAGTACCGTGGATCAGCTCACGATGCCGTTTCCGCGACTAGCAATAGGGCCGCGGGGAACGGCGGAGTGCATAACCGCTCATCTATTAGGACCCTGGACTAGACCGTACAGGTAAACAGCAAATGTTACCTACCGACTAGTATGATTGGACTCGCTAGTATTTTATGTCAGTCATGAGCATAATCAACTCGCTTCCACCTGCGCATCTATCTTTAGATCAAATAGGCCAAATTCTAAATTTTTTTTCTTTTTGTTGATTACATAGTATTTGAAAGAGAACTAACCTACTTGATTCATTATGTGTACAACCTTAATCTGACATACATGATGCTTAGATGGACATACCTTACATGATGCTTAAAGTTATTACTTGATAAATTCGCCGTTCACCTTCATTCTAAGTGGACAATCTGGGGGAGCCAGACAGGCGGCATCCATCTCTTACTCTACCCCCACCTTAATCTGCATATCTTAAACATCAAGATCTTGGCAGGGTCGAAACGTGTACATACGCTAAAGAATAGCCCTATCTCTACTCTACTCAATATACGAGTCATTTAACAAGGTATCAACTTAGTAAATCAGTTGGTAAAATATACTCTATACTCCTAAGCCCAGTCTCTTCTATGTTGCATAATTTCCCTCCCGGTGTTTACCGCTATCGCCTATAGGTAAAACGAGGTAGTTATCCGTAGATAGCTAAGAAAATGATATCTCCGATTATGTCTATCAGACATCGTCTTTAAGACCCTAGCCGCATGGATGATAGAGGTACCTAGGTAGTGACGCCAGGCACAATGCATATTTTCTAATTTTCTCACATTTCCACGGCCTCTAATCTAGGGTCTCACTACCCCGGAAAAGCTAGAAGTGGATATTTGGGAACCTCGGCAAGTAACGAAAGCAGAACTCCTCGGCTTCTTGGAGCGAACATGCCATACAAGTTCCAGCAACATCTGAGGTAAGATTCGGAAATAGTCAGCTTTGGAAAGCGGAGGACGTCTAGGCCATTTTTATAAGTCATCTCTATTTTTACTCAAGGCTTAGTCAATTATGTGCCCGTACCAGAGCATTGAGAACCCCCCAAACCCCAACCCAGCTTAGCTTAGCGCTGTCGAATAAGGGGTTAGCTGTCGATCTCTACAAGCATGTTTGTATGCCAAGAGATCGTCGAGCAGCACGCAAGGTAAGTCAGGGTTATGCGCCTACCCTTGTCCCTTGGGATGATGATATTCTGGAACTCGGGACAGGCTTCTTATCGCTCCATACCTCGAAATACCTGCAATACAATGCGGATATCTAGGCGGGGGGGATTGATATTAATATCTTGGCATATAGCTTAGGTGCTTACAACAGGAAGGCATCGTATTGCTAAATTCTAGTTTTACGAAGGATGTTGCCAAGGAAGAAAACTAAAATGCTGATTATGACGCATTCACTGGCGCTGCTGACGATAACTACCTTATTTACACGACGGGGAAGAGTATACGAGTATGTAATATACCAACTCGAAGATAATATAGTTTTATTCCGAGATGGGAAATAGTGGATAAATCCCCATATTTACCGGTTAAGGGTCTTAGACCAAACCCTGCGTCTAATCACTCCACAAGAAATATAGCCCTAACAACATTTGCAACTCTCAATAGCCTCATTGCACTGATAGATAAGGTCTCATTTTGTAGTTCCAACAGAGGGGATGCAGTTTACAAATGTAGCAGAGATCCGTAAGAGATCAGTAACGACCCATCGGTAGTTGAAATATATCTAAGTTAGAAATTTCTAACGGCAGACGGGTTACTTACTCCTCCGCATCGGTTTTCCTCAATGAGATGAATGATTCGCGATGTATGCAACGGGGTTGAGCGGTAAGACATATTCATTCAGTGTGTTCGACATCAACTCAAGATCCGATGTTTAAAGTAGAATCGATTGCGGATGTTCCGCAAACCCAACAATGCGGGCAGGATTTTGCGATCATGCGTCACAAATCGGATACTTGCCTACGTCAAAAGACGATATTTATTATTGTCTACGTCAAAAGTTACATTTAGATGGCCAGGGTTGAAGGCGAACTATTCTGCAGTTTCCTCGGGTTTTATTCCGACAGGGGGGGGAAAGAAAGAGAAAGGGGAGTCATATGTAAGGGTATGTGTAGGGTATGTGTATGTACTGCTCGCGAATATCTGCATATAATGCAGCATGCTTATCTAACTTAGGTACATTCAATGTTATCATCTAGGTACCTAACATATTATGTACTCAAGCTAATTTTTAACCTAACTAGTCTCTTATGTAAGCTTGCTTCCCGAGTTTCCTACCTCCGAACAGGACCTATCCTCCTCCGAACACCCCACTTACAAAACGCCGGCTTTCGGATTCTCTTCTATTGTCTTGGGGTTTAACCCCCAGTTTCTAATGTATTGACTTACAGTAGCGTGGAGAGTCTCCTCCGTATGCAGTTAGACGGCAGCTCCGCCTGCATGTTCAGGGGTGGTAAGGTACTTGTAAATACATGCCAAATCAAAGTGGTTCTTTGCAGCGAATCTAAGTTAACGGCGCGGCGCCTCGCCTACTGGGACTCTGCACATTGTCAGACAGGGTAAGACTTGAGCTAGCTGATCATTTACGCATGACGCACGTTGAACTCTCCCAGCTCCAAGGAATAGACAATCAAGATATATCCTCGACGCCATCCCCTTCCCGTCCCGTGTAAGTCAATTTCTACCCTCCCTAAGATATCAACTCTTAGAAGCTTCAATCTCCAGCCCGCTACTTGTTTCATCTAGAGTCGACTACGATAACGGAAATATTAGTTATATATATAAAAGGAACGTACTCTACCCACAATAGAAATGGATGAAATCGATACTATTGGTCTCTCATCTCCCTCTGAATCGATGGGGTATATATACGGCGATACAGATTTATACCTCGATTCCACAAACACTTCTTCTACAACATCTAGCCCGACAGAATCACCGGTATGCAATTTACATATGAGTTCGTTATAGCTATTGCTAACCGTAACGTTAGTATAATTTTACCTTTCAAGGGATGTATCCCAGTTCCGAGAATACAGACGGGTCAGGAGAAACAACTCAGCCAGACTCACAACAACCTCCTTCTAAACCTGCAGCAAAGAGGAAGCGCGAGAACAGATACAAAAACGCACCACCCTCTGTCCTATCTGTAAGCTGAGAAGGTCGCTCCGGGTGCTGTGACTATGAACCGAGTCACTAAGAGTTATCCATTACAGCGTCGAAGAGCTCAGAATCGTGCATCTCAAAGAGCCTACCGAGAGAGGAAGGACCAGCGTATCAAGGATCTCGAAATCTTGCTCGGCGAAGCTCAGAAGAAAAACGACGTCCTCAGCCTCGCCTACTCCAACTTACAAACAGAATATCTCAGGCTCAAACGCGAACGCGAACGCGATCAAGAAGCAGCAGCAAGATACACACAGACTGCCCTGATATACGATCCAACGATAGACGCGACTTCAACCGATATGGACTTATTCCTCTACGGCGGTCCATCAGGTTACTCCCTGTAAACCAGCAGGTAGTCCGGATTTCAGACGGACTAGATGCTTCCTATGGTCTTTTGCATTCGGGTACTGACAGTGACGGCACACCCTGACACGATCGATCTATGTTTCCGATTCTGGGACGTTTACCCCAGAGAGCATCACAAGCAACTACTGCTGTGATATTCCAGTGGCGCAGATACAACATCGGTGCCCGACTGATTTGATGACGTGGCGGCCAGCTGGCGCCATCACCGCATACTGTCGGCAGGAACTGGATGGGTTCAAATTCTAATGCCTCCGCATTTGTACTTAACCCTGTACCCGCATTCCGGTATACGGATTTGAAGAAGAAAAACCCTGTCTACCCTTTAGGCTTCGTCCCGGGAAATCGGGCCGGAGAAATTGTTAAATAAATACCCAAAGAGTAAGACTCTATACGTTTAATTCTGACCTTTTAGAATAGCAAGCAAATGGATACTGTTACCAGACTGTCTGAAGGGAGGGTTGTGCTAAGCCTCCCTGTTGTATGGACAGACCTTTTTTTGAATAGAGTTTTTTTCGGTTCAACACAAGGTTATGGTACTCCTTGTCATTGGCATACTATTTGGTGGTCATTGCTTCGTTGATAACTGGCTGAGATTTAATTCCTCTTTCTTGGAAGTAGGAACTCAAATGATAGTGTGGGATAAATGCTACTACGTTGGATAATCTTTGAAGGTGTACTGGTCGTTGATAAGTCATCAGCAAGCAGCTCGTCTGTGACTGTATCTTCAGCCGGTATTATTAAATATACATAGCTATTCAATTTTTCATGTCTCACATAGTTTGAAGAATTAACCTAAGGCTGATGAGGCTTACCCCACTGTGCTGTAGTGAAGTTAAGTTAGCTGATGGATGCCACACTGCTGAAGGTTAAACGAGAGGCAATGCTCTTTAGATTTCAAGCTCGGCTTGAAAGAAAGCGAAAATACTTACTGTTCAAGGTAGTGGAATTGAAACCTTGTTTCATGCCCATTGGCAAGTCACTATCAATACGCTGGTTATGTGACAGTATAGTGGTTGTTTGGCGTGTCTTGTCACGGCTGCACTTAGCCGTGATAAGCAGACGGCGTTTGTTATGTGGTTTGCTACACGACTAGACTCCGTGCCAACGAACGGCCTTTTTTAATACTGGTAGGCAATCAACTTAAGCATACATACACATATTGTATGGGGCAATACTCTTTTTACAACCGCAAGGCCAATTTATATATTCTCCTGTTCCCAGAATGGACATAACTAGCCCGGTGTTGATAACTAACCGTGACATATCCATGTGCTTCACCTTTACTGTACATTGAGGAAGGCTCGAGGCTTGAATTCATCTCGCACAAGTGTCGTAAGCTCCAAGGGGTGCTTACCCAACGTTCCATTCGCGATATCCTGATTGAGGGGCCTCAAGAATCAACACAACGATGCCATTGGTTGTTCAAGAAAGTCCTGAGAATAAGCTGTATATAGGCAAATGGTAATCATAAAGACTGGAGAGACCTGTTGGTAATAAACCAAAGCATGCATGTTAGCGATATGCAGGTATCTCGCAGGTATAAAGGGGGCGAGATCCCACCATCTATCGCATAGTCAACTTCCCCCCTTTTTTTCTCACAATCTTTACCCACCATTTTCCCCTTCGCGATCTTTGCTATCCTGCCGAACTATCGACGAATCCCTCTTTCGCTAGACCCTTGTGGATGATGAACATTTATTTATTTGCTGAGCAGGAGCTCCGGCCAACCCACCTGTGTCAAATGTTGGAAAGGCAGAGGATATTGTTGGTGAGATTCCTCGATGCCAATTCCCTCCAACCCCTGACCTCGAAGCTGAGCCCAGAGAAACAGAAGTATATTTCGTCTAGAATGTTATATGTCTATCATGCATAATTCATAAAATAAAAATCCTCGTATTGTCTTCAATACCATCCAGTTCCTTGTCGTCCGTCCTACATGGCCGTAGAGCTCGAAAGAAGCAACTTTGTCATGTCTAATTTCTTACTCTCTGCAGCTCCCCCCAATACATGCCCGGGGCGCATAGCCTATGTGCCGCGAACAAAAAGCATGCGAGCCATGTCGATATACCCCTGAATGGTAGCGATTCGCAAGTATATTGCTCCATATGTGTGACTTGGGCGAAGGGGGCGGTGCATTGATTTCTGCACCAGCTTCTGGAGCCGGCTTGTTACATGAATATTGCACTTTTCGACGACAGCTTATAAAGGTATGAGTGAGCGAGCGAAGGAATCGCCACACCCACACTTAATAGTTCCTCAAAAGTCAAACGTTCGATACTTTAAAACTGTCCGTTTATGGTGATTAACGGTGGAAAAAAAAAAAGAAAGGCAGGACGAGTAAGTTTCTCAAGTTGTATTGCAGATGCCGGTTACCCTATGACGAGACGGAGCAATGGGGGCCGTAAGAATCCTCCAACTTTTCATTTACCTATGATAGGATAGCCTCAGGTACCACAAGATAGCTACCGGGTGGTGACGCGCGTCAATTGCCGGTACTAAAACAGCTATCTATTTGAACTAGCTGAAAATTCAGGAGTCTCTATGTATGAGCGGCTGAGAGATAGGAGGTACCTAAGGCATACAGCCAGTATAGCAGCTATGCCGAAACGATAGAGTAACGTGAACGTCCGCCTTTCTTTCTTTCTCTTCTTTTCTCCATACTCACGCACGTAGGTAGCTTATATACAGAGGGTAAATGGAATATGAGTTCATTTGACAACCCTCAATGTACACAATATATGATATATCTAATAGCGTTAGACTGATACTGTGAGATTTATGCATATAGACTCAGATTAAATTCACTCTATATATGACCTAGGTACCTGATAGACTATTATATCTTCCTTGCACATCGGACGGCGAGATCCTTGAATCGATGCTCAAGATCAACCTGACAATCTCCTCGTGCTTTTCCTTGGGCTGAATCCGGACCGCCTCCCGTCTCCGAGCTCGGCCCCACCGTAGCAAGAGTCTTCAACGAGCCAAGAGCTTCGGTAGCCTGTCTTACTTCTTTGAGTAATGTCTGCGTCCGAAATGCCAACTGCTCTTCGGCGTCGATTGAGAAACCTTCGAATCCAAAGCCGCTACCTCCGGGTAGGATTCGGCTGCGTTGCTTATCCTTGTCCGCCGCGACGGCACATAGACAGACCTCTAGAAGTTCTAGGATCTGATACATGAGTGTGGTGAACAGCATTAGGCACCTGAGGTTCCTCGAGCCTTGTTGAAGACGCATCAGCTGGGTGAGCTTCAAAGTTGCGGTTCTGACGATTCCTATGATGATTTTGAACACTTTCAAGTCCTCCATGATGTAATTTTCGAGCTCGCTGATTATATGGCAACATTCTAAGCAGCATTGACTGTCCACTTCACTCCTTGGCCGTAGCCCGAGTGAGACCTGCAGTTGTGGGGTAGTTTCTATCTCACTAGCATGCTCGATCGGAGGAGCCATGGTAGGATAAGGCGCCAGGAAATCTTCTAAATTTGCGTCTATAGAGGACATGCTAATTTCCGTATCATTAGTATAAGTCGTTATGGATTCGGAATTAGAAGAGGTCCCGGTATTGCTGTGCTGAGCGGCTTGCATGTTAGAAGAGTCATCTGGGGAAGCCATGGTGATGGTATCCGAAGGCTGTATATCCCATTCGGTGGGTATTGACCATTCCATGTTCTCGTTTTGTGTTTGGTCTTGGAAATTGAGCCCCGCCGACTTGTCTGAAGGGGATAAAGAGCGTTCCATGGAGGGGGTCACCATATTCTGTAATCGCTGGGCTTGATGATCTTGGATCGGCTTCTTTTTGGCTCTGATACCTGGGACCTTTCCTACTCTAGACTCCAGATAAATACACTGTGTGCCTGTATTGCGACATCGTTCACAACCAGACTTTTCGCCAGAGCATTTGACCTATTGTTTTTCATTAGCCTTGGCGCTGTAAGTCGATGGTACGATGGTAGTTGTTGAGGCTCACCTTGGCAGCACAACACTGATTGCATGCGCTGCGAAGCTTAACTATTCGGTTGCGATTTGCGACCGTGCTCTGTGGGCTATTGATTACGTTAGGAATCGTTAGGTAGCTTCATATTTTAGACCACGACTATACGGACCTTGGGTGTGCTGGCATTGTAATGATACGGACTTTGATAATTATAATCTTGGGAGTTAAAAATTGCGACACCCTCTTTGAATTGTTTGACTTGGCACGACAAAGCTTGTAAAACATAAGACATAAGAATGCGAAGACTCAAGAGCGCCAAAATTAAGCGACGAGATAGCCCAGCTGCCTTATTTTTTTTTTCTTTCTTTCTTTCTTGACTACCTACGTTAGGTACTTAGGTAACTTACCTACCTCTTCAATATCTATGCCATCCCACAGATGACCGATTTGAGTTCGAGGAAGCGCCAGCCTTACAGCTAAACGTAGGTGGTGGTGTTGATAATGAAATGCGCCGTAAAAAAGCATATGGGGCGATAATGTATGTACCTAGCCGATCAGGTATGATTTTTGGCCCCCCTACGCTAAAATATGTCCTTGTTTGTTAAGCACAGGTAAAATGTTGGATGTATTGTGTTACCACACTTCTAATAGGTGATTGTCCTTTGGCGTTATTAATTTTGATAGGATCTAGCATAGTAATATACCAATACCAAGTCCAATAATAAGCCTTACGGTGATACCTACCTGGTAACATATAAAGAAATTAAGTTGATAAAGATGATAACATCGTAAGGCTGAGGTAACTATATCTAGTAAAAGGTAGTTAGTTGACGTTTTGAAGGTTTTCTCTAGTGAGATTTCCCCCAAGGTTATTAGGTATGTCATATTAAGCTACTATATAACCAAGTTTAATAGATAACTAGGGAGCTGCCTGGAGTATTAACTTAAATGCTACTTCGTATGCTGCGCTGCGACGCTATGAAGCACTTCGCATCCGCTATCTGTATGTAGCCTTACCATCTCCTAAATATGCAGTATAAGCCACTTATATGTATGCAGAGATATCTATTATTATGAATGTTTTATATAAATTAGGCTCAGACCGCCTTCCCGCATCTTCCCCGCCTTTTGCTACTATATTAGTATATACATGCTGCCCGTTGGGATGTCTTGCCGCACATTGACGCCTTCATCCCTTTTCAGCTCCGCTTGTTTAGCTTACTATGATTACAGTAAAAAACGTAAAACGGATTGCGCCCGTTTGCCCGAGCTTCGAGGCTAAATATCATTTCATTTTATATTGAGCACTCTTTATATTAGTCCATAACCTACATCGCGATAATGTCCCTTTACATATGAATTTTGAGCGAGGGTGTTACTAATCTAAGTAACTCAAGGTATTATTATTAAGCTTGTAATTAAGCTTAAAAATGCTAACCCTAGTAAACATGAAGAAGCGAAGAACACGCTCGTATTCCCAACTTGACTTTGAAAGCCACCTAACAACACAGGTGACAACAATCCACCTGTGCTTTCCATGACTGCCAGCCCTGTCATTGCCAAAGCCTTGTTCTTAGAACTGGCTGCTGTGAAACTCTTGATAAAGCTAGGGGCAGGCAACCCTAAAGCTAGGATAGCTACAAGAAGATACACTTGCCACTCCAAAGTTACAACTGCAAAGCAAGGAACTATAAGTAGCGCTGTCGAGATAGCAATAAATGCATAGATGAGATCACCTATGGTGTGAGAAGTCCCGCTATTCCCGCGCTTCTTTGGGTTGTCAATAGAGTTATTCTGACAACGGTCCCCGCTTTCGGGTACCGTGGGCCATATTGCAGCTTTGGCTCTCGGAATGGCGTATATCGTGGCAAATAGATACGCCGAAGCAACTGACGCGGCAATGGAGATTAAGTACCCGTTCTGCGTACTGGTAAAGCCGAAATGAACTGCCGTGTGAACCATTATTGCTGGGAAGAGATATGCCTGTGCCGTGTTGTAGAGGGACAAGGCTAGCCCGGGTAATAGTAACTTGGGTTCATCACGATAATGATAGATTGGGGATATAGAAGATTGGATAGCTTGGATAGCGAAGCCAGGTATGGACGAACGGGATGGAAGGGCCCTAGTAACTGGTGGCAGGCCGGCAGTGTCATCTTCCGGATTCTTCATATTCATCTCCGCCGGAATCCAAATAGATAAGTACACCAGCGAGATGCCGAGAATAGCGACAGCGACGATAAAACTCGCAAAGAAGTTCGAAAGGAGAGACATGAGCACGGGACTGACGGACATTCCAAGCATGTAAAGAGCTAGAGAAGTCCTCATTAACTTAGAGATTCGGCGCTCGTCATCTGATTGCACATAGATTGCCGCAAGCGTATAATGGAGTAAATTATCAGTGGCAAGACCCTCGAATAGTCTCCCGGCAATAGCAACGCGGATGCTCCTCATCAAAACTATCGATACCTTTATTAGCATAGGTCCTTCTATGAACATTAACATTCACCTACCTCCTGTAGCTAAGACCAAAATGCTCAAAGCTCTGAAAACCAGCCAAAGGAACAACCCAATTTTCGGCTGGCCTTCGATCAGTTGCTGCAAGGGCCCTACCGCGACGATTGCGCACACATTCGCGATGGTTGTGGCCAAAGCAACGACTTCGGCATAGTCTTTTTGCTCCGCTGGTTGGCAGTGTGCTGGATCTTCGCACATCAGACTAGCATATGCGAAAACCGTGCTTGCAGCTGTGGCAGCGATTGCGAATGCGGCTGTAAATGCAATAGGTAGGACCCGGTTGATATATTGGACAGGTATAGTGCTTTGATGCTGCGATATTGAGCGTGGGCCCGGTGTGGTGTCTCCGGAGTGCGCTGAACCCTCATCTCCAAGTAGGGGATCTTCTTCAAAGGGGGTTGAATTTGCCATGGCGGCAGAGAAGAGAATAGTCTTTTGAACTGTTAATGGTGATATAAATAGTTATATGTATAAACATGTAACGGAAGAAATATAAAATGAAAGTACCTACTAGATCGGTATCTAATAGGTAGTTTCCTAAGGAAACGTAACGTTAGGGAGGTATATGCCTCTTACCCGAGCCCGGTAACCGAAGTGTTAGATATATCCTTACCTCTCAGTTAGCAATACTAGGAACACGACTTTCCACAGAACTCTCTACTACACTTTTCAAAAAATCAGCTTTAATTTTTAAGTCGTCAATACTCATGAACATGGCTGTCGTCGAGAGCCAAATGTCGTACCTGGAGCCCTGGAGCTTATCCAAAGAGTCACCGTACATTCGTGGGCTAGTCGAAGAAGGCTACCCGAGTACGAACTTCAAAAACGAAGAGTATAACGTCCGCATCACTGATGCTAGAACGTACAAGGATAATTTCAATCTGGACACCCACGGCTTTGCTTTTCCTGATGGTGGCATCATACCAGAAGAAATCCTCCAAGGAATCAGGTCTAAGGACAAGACATTAGTGAGCGCACAATACTATCCTCTCGTTGATACGTTGGTCAAGGAGAAAACTGGCGCTACTAGAGTCATTATCTTCGATCATACGTATCGGAAGAAGGATCCGGCGCTGTCGCCGAAGGAGAATCCAAACGGAAGAGAACAGCCGGCAACATTAGTAAGTGCTTGTGATGTAATGCATGTATCTTGACGACGTCTCTAACGAAGAAAAAAAGGTTCACTGCGATCAGTAAGTGATGAGAGATAAATATATGTCGAAGCCTTCTCTAACTCGTTTAGATCTGCCAATGGAGCTGTACGCCGAGTCTATCGTCACGCGGGAGAGGATGCCGAGCGCCTTCTACAAGGACGCGCTCAGATAATCAAGTATGTTATTCGCCTCAAGACCCTTTCAACTAAACTTAGTAGTATTATAACTGATTATTTTCGAGTGTTTGGCGTCCTCTTAATGATGTAGTAGAAGATTGGCCCTTAGCATTGATGGACTATCGCAGCGCGAAGACGTCGGAAATCCACCCCACCAACATCTTTAAGGAGAAGGTCGAATTGCAAGGACAGACAGTCAGCATTAATTATTCGGAAGACCAGAAATGGTATTATTTGGATCAACAGAGATCGGACGAAGTGACGTTCATCAAGATTTGGGATAACAAAGAGGGAGTAGCTAAACGTAAGAACCTCGAACCTTGGAGCTCATTTCCCCCTATTTTCTTTCTTTTATTCAAATGTTCCGAATCCGAACCCGAATTTTTGCTGATTTTCATAGTATGTCCTCACTGTGCATTCCCGCATCCCCGGGCGCCGAAGGATGCGCAGCCGAGGGAAAGTATCGAGGTGCGATGCTTGGTGTTCTATTAATCGGTAGTAATTTATAGTGGAATTGAAATATATTAATATGCTGTTGCTGCAGTAGCAATATTTCTAGATATCCCTTGCATCGTCACATCGTAATACGAGATACATGCGTGTTAGTACAGTGTTCTTGGTGCCTAACATATCAGTCTGTCGGCTACCGAGATCAGACCCTTTCACCCTTTTCTCTTTGAATTTCGCGCACCGTACAGGTTACACTGCTTACGCAAACACCTCAACGCGGTCGGTCCCTATGATACTTGCTCGAGGTGAATCAGGCCCCCAATAGGGCTGCCTCTTCTTAAACGGAATTTATTTCCCTTCATTCACTAACTACTCATGTCAATACATATCTACAACTTTAGGAATTCAGAAATAGATATCATCATAACACGTTTAGCAAGATGGCCGCCCCTTCAGGATCCGTTCCAAAACAGGCTATGCCCTTTGATGATAAGTTGTTTCAAATCATCGGTGCCGATGAGACGCTCACAATCGCTCAATATGAGATGACCATCTTACCCGCCTTCCCACCTGACTCCATCATTCACGACAATGCATGTGGCCTAGGACCGGTTACTCAAAGCATTCTAGCTACATCACCACCTGACAATATTAAAATCCACGCTACAGATGTTGCTCCGCCAATGGTGCAAATCTACAACGGCATCGCGGCGGGGAACAAATGGCCCTCCAAAGCCGTTCTCATGGATGCGCAAAAGCTAGAATTTCCCGATTCCACTTTTACTCACTCCTTCCTATCTTTCGGCTTGCCCATCATCGATGACCCCGTTGCGGCCGCTAAGGAAATGTACCGTACCCTCAAGCCGGGGGGTACCGCCGTCACGGCCTTCTGGCTATCGATTCCGCAAGGAACGTCGGCTCAGGAGACCCGTCGCGCGGTGTGGGGCCCCGACGCACGAATTGCCATCGAGCCCAAGATGAAGACTAACGACCGCGAGTACATCCGAAACCGCCTGGTAGATGGCGGATTCAAATACGAGGATGTGAAGCTGTATGAAAAGTCTGCATTTTTGCCCGTTAAGGATCTTGACGAGTTTGCAACCGCCATCTGGAGCGCCATTGGCCAGCCGGCCGGTGGGTGGACAGAGGAGGATGAGGAGAAGTGGGATGAGGCCGTGGCAAAGTATAAGGAGATTCTCATGAAGAAGGACGGATTTCACGTAGATGGAGATGGCAAAATTACTTTGGAGGCTATCGCTCATGTTGCTATTGTCAAGAAGCCTAATTAAACTAGCTACGATGATCCTAGGTACGGACTCTTTGATCGAGTCTTTTAACCAACACTAGGTTAGGTAAACAATAGTATAAGGTACCTATTCATACTGGTAGAATAAAGATCGCCTTGAATATAGGTACCTATATCACCTACGTCAAGTAGGGAAAATGGAAAATGGAAAATGGAATAGGTACTGGATAGGTAGGTAGTTTCATAATCGGATCCAACATTCTAGACCTCATCCACATTCTTCTTCCTCCCCCAGACACATCTAATCCGATAATATGCCCCGTTTTCCACCAACTCATCAAACAACCTATCCCCCAACGAATCCATCTGCTCAGTCGACAGGCTAGTCTTCAACCCCGGCGTCACTGCATTAATAAGTCAGCCAACCCAACCTTCACCCACTTCACACGTAGCGAACCCAGAACGTGAAAAGGGGAATTTTAATAAGAAAAAAAAAAAAAAAGAAGCTTGGACGTTTACTTACTCTTCGCATGTTTAACCAGGCCCTGCATAGCCTGCGCCGTGCACCTAGCGCTCGCAGCCGCCAACCCCGGGTCCCTATTCCTAGCTCCGAACGCCATATCGACGACGTGTTCGCGCACATCCACGGCCCCCGCGCCCTCGACCCATCCGCGCAAGTCGCCAGCGTAATGCCACCCGGCCCCCGTCGCGTCGAACAGCCCGCGCACCAGCTCCAGGAACTCGCCGAACACGGGCCCCGACTCCGGGCCCACCTGCTCTGCCTCTACCAACTGGATCCAGCCGCCCGGCGTAAGCAGCGCGAACAGCTGCTGCACTACTTGCGCTAGTGGGGTCGGCGCCGCCCCGGGCAGCGTCAGCCGTTGGTGCACTAGGTCGAAGGTCCCGTGCTGGTTGGCGGGCCACGGGGTGCTGATGTCGTGCGTGTGGAAGCTGGTGTCGCCGGGGAGCGAGGAGGCGTGTGGGAAGAGGGTCGGGTTGATGTCGGTTCCTATGAAGGTGTGGATGGTGGGGTCTGGGAGCGTTTTGCGCAGCTCGCTGATCCAGTGACCTGGTATTTTGTGTCAATTTATCTTGTTCCCATTATACTATCTCTGTTCAAGTTGGTTTTTTTTTTACTGAAAGGGGGGTTGTGGTAGAAGAGGGAGGGAAATGCTAACCGTCTGCAGTTCCGGAGTCGAGGATCTTGAGCCCGGGCTTCGTGAAATCGATAGGCGGTAGCACTATACGTCCATCTAGCGCGTCGATCAGGACTAGGTGTTGGTTCATGAGCCTTTCGGCTTCGGCGGAATTCACGGGAAGGAAATAGGACGATGAGTCTGGGGATGGTCCGCTCGACATGGCTGCTGATTGATGGACTGCGGTTATAAGACTTGGGAAACTCTCATAGATTAGGTGTGTTGGTTTGGATATGATCGTAGGAACCCAAAACTATCTACTACGTAGGTATACGAACAATATATAGATAATAAGGAGATGCGACTCGATAGGAGAAACATCGATGCTTCGGGGCCCGGAATATAGAATTTCTTCAATTCCCGAGCATCTAGAGTAGTATGGTTCCCGAAAGTAATGAATTCGATTTATTTCAAATAAACTATGACATCGTTCCAAGATTTCAAAGTATCATTTACCTATCTAAGCATCGCATTTGGATGGATATAGCCCCCTTTACAGCTTAGAGGATGTGTATCGGATATATGATTTCCTCACCTTTGATGATAATCAATCAAAGCAGCGTCTTGTATACCATCTAGATTGGCATGGGCACGATTTCAGTCCACGGTCCTACAATCGTAAAGGGGAAAGGACTCTCTGTTCCCACTCTTGTCTTCAAGTAAGCCAGGGCAGGGAACTTGACCGACCACACCAGCCATCCCGTAACCCAAAGGTAACCCACTGTCTTCCTCCATCTACTCTCACCCTCGCCCATCCCTAGTCCCTTACACCACGCCCACTTAACAAAGTCTTCGAAGGTGATGGCAGTTGCCTGAAGAACAAAAAAGTAGAATATTGGGTAAGCACGTTCGGCGACTGTCACGTTGATAGGCGAAGGGAGGATGAGATGCGAGCGAGCATGAAAATAGCCAGAGACGACGAAGCTAAACCATAGCTGGGTATAAGACGATAGATTTGTGCCGTGCTGGATACCAAGTGCATCGACGAGTGCGCTAGACCAGGTAGAAAGGGCCTAGTTATGGTTATTAGAAACCGAGACAATGTGGAAAGAAGGGAAACATACTCTACGGATAACCTGATGCCAGTATTTCCCCCAAAGGTTTCGGACTGTGGTTGCTTCGCTGATCGGATTGAACAATGGTGGCCAATCCTAATGATTGATTCGTCAATGATCTGTTAGGCGGGATAGCTATAATAGGACAAATTCCTTACCTCGGGCTCATTAAGTCCCAATCCAACAAATACAATTGACCCTAACGCATACTGCGTAGATAGAGCAAAGTAAGGTGTTGCGGCAAACACAAGAACTGTCGTTACGCGCCAGCCTGGACATGCGTAGTTCATTGTTATATATTTAGAATTGATATCCCCGACGATGCCCGTCTCGGGGTTTGTGTAGAAGAACCGTATACCTAGGTTGAAGCAAAGATCTGCCAGGAGGAATGACTTGACAAGGTGGAAAAGCTGCCGGCGCAAGAACACGGACCTCTTCATGTTTACGACTTGCGGGACGTTTTTGACCTGATGATTCCAGCCGATTCCTCTCTGGTTCACAATGAGCATGAGAGCCCAGTGGAGTTTCCGCAGACTGAACGCCGGATAGCTCTCGGCTTCCTTCTCACCAGCCTTCTCCCGCCAGAAGTGAGATTCCGGACCTTCTTCTCCCGAAAGGAGGATCTTTTCCAACGTGGCAAGTAGGAAGCTCCATTGAATGCAGAAGAGCTGCGCTAACCCTATTTCGTTGGTGAAAGGGGGCTGGGTCTGTGTCTGGACCAGCAATCCCAGGAGAATACCAGAGAATAAGAATCGGCGAAGGGGGAACTTGGGCGAAGCCAAGGCCACGAGCTGAACGACGTAGAGAAGAATATATGGAGTGATAGAACCTATCGGGTCAGGAAAGATATCATTCCTCCTACCGCGATCGGCAAGTTGTGGTGTCGGAAGTGTTTGGCTATTCATGATTGCTATAGCATAGAATAGGCATCCAGATAAATTGTTTAAAAATTGAATATGATAAACACATTCAAGCAATGTTATGGACTTGTTCTATAAGTAGGGACCTATTGATAAAATTTCACCCGCCCTAGGAACCTCTAGTTCGTTAGCAAAGCCGATGACCTTATACGGCACCCGGGACGGCTTGCGGCCGGGGGGCCGTTTCTCCTTCCCCGTTAGCGGACGGGTCCCGAAATAATCGATATATTGATTGATTCATAAATCCACATGTAATTGCTGATATACGAAGTTATCACAATCTCTGGTAACTCCGAACTTTTTCCATTTATCAGTAATCAATTGCATAGGAATTCATTAGTCATCTATATAATATAGCAACTTCATTAGTTTACTTGTCCGAGCCTAACAGCATAGGTTTTTCAATTACAAACATGACGCTTATTGAAGAAATATCAGTAACCCAAGTGTTCACACTAACAATCGCTGGAATCCTTACGAGGGTCTTATTTAAGACCTCAGAGCCCTATAATCGTTTTCGAAGGGTTGGGCTTCCATGGTATTTATCGTTCTTCCCCTCAAAGCCAGTCCATGAACTGGTAGAAGATGGATACCGCGAAGTGTGTAGACCCCTTTTGATGAGTACCCAGGTAGATGGCCGGAGACTAACCTCTTGACCAGTCGAAAGAGCCATTCGTGGTGAGGTGGTGGGCCGTTGACTGGCTTGTGCTGGGGGCACAGCATCTAGCAGATCTCAAGCATTGTGAGAGCAGCAGTCTCAGTTTCCTCCGAGTGATTAGTGATGTGAGCAAGACTACCTGAATAGCAGCGAGAAAGCATCCGTTAATTAGTCCTGACAGGCGCTTTTCCTGGGTCATTCCGTGGGAAACCTCTATCACGGCGACAAGATGGCTGATGTCATTAAAAGGGGGATGAATACACAGCTATGTATGTTTCGTGTGAACCTATTATGTGAAGACGGGAAGATAACTGATGACGGCAGCTGCATTGACCCCTATCATGATCGATGAGATAGGAAATGCATTTGAAAATCACGTTGGCAAGGTTAAAGGTACTTCTATTTACCTGGAGCACTACCTCTAGTATAAAGAGTAGTTTAGGTGCTAACTCGTGGGGTTTAGAATGGCAAGAAATCCTAGTAGCTGACACGATCTCTGATCTGACTAACCAAGTAGCTTGTCGGGTTCTGATCTGTCGCGAGCTAAGTCGGAACGCGGATTTCTTCGACTATCAATAAAGTTTCAGCACTCCATCTCTTACATGCCATGGCCATCATCTCACTACCCTTGGGGCCACTACGCGGCATCTTCTCCCGGCTGATTACTCTCTCACACAGATGGAATCTAAGGAAGACCGTCTCCGTTCTGCAGCCAATAGTGACGCGGCGCATCATAGAAAGGTATAGAGGCCGGTCGGAGGAGAGGCAAAACGATGGAATCGAGTGGACGTTGGATTTGACTGCTAAAAGACACATGAAATCCTATCGGCTATCGCTAGAAATTATTCATAATTTGTTCGCAGGAAGTCTAACGCCAGGAGCCTTAGTCACCGAGATGCTATTCCAAGCACTGATGGACCCGAAACTTATCCGGGATCTACGAAAGGAAGCAGAAGAAGCCCTTGCCGAACATGGCTGGACTGACAAACTACTCCGTAGGTTATTATTACAGGACAGTTTTATAAGGGAGCTTAGTCGGGTTTATCCAACTGGAGCAAGTAAGCATTTTCTATGGCCAAGTATTCTTCACGATGAAAGCTAAGAGGAATAGCTGGATGTTCACGGCTAGTGGTGGATGAGACATTCACCTTTTCGGATGGTCTCACGGTACCGAAAGGCACGAGACTTACCTTTCCGATCCGAGCGATCATGGAAGAGAACAACAAATTAGAGAACCCTACCAAGTTTGACGCTTATCGATTCCTGCGTCTTCGCGATTCAAGCGGAGATGACGAAATAACCGAGTATCAGTGGGCGGCTTCCAACTCATCACCAGCGAATTTGATGTAAGTGAGAACCTATAATATTAGAATTCAAAGATTGATATCTAATTAAGAGGTTGAAGGTTTGGATACGGAAAGCATGCATGTCCTGGGAGATATTATGGCGTCCGTCAGGCGAAGCTAATATTTACCAAGCTCATCGTCGAATATGATTTGGAATGGCCCGTTGCAGGGACCAAACGGCCACAGAGGGAGACTATTGAAGGGCAGTTTGGCCCGAACCGGAGTCAGAAGATTCGCTTGCGGAGCAGGGTGTCAAATGAATAAATGACAACCAAGTATTATTATATTAGCTACCTATCTAAGTTCTTTATGTTCTCCTATCTTAGACATTGGTCGCATTTTTGGTTAATGTGTCACAAATCAAAAAACACCACGTACACTCTTTAGTAACTTGGCAAATAAGAACTGTTAAAGGTATTTCAAAGCGACTTAAAGTTAGTATTTTAGAAGTTAAGTATCTTGTATAGGGTGTTTTTAGATTTTGTTAAACGGTATGAATATTAAACAGGTACCTAATGTACAGAAAGAGTGTACGTAGTGTTTTCTAGTTTGTGACCAGCTTTCGGCTACCGAACGGTCCCCACAACCGCCGAGATTACCGAATAAATCGCTTCGGCCCCCGAGCCTTTAGAGCCTTACAGCCCTACAGCCTTAGTAACCAAATCTTCAAGTGGTAATAGTGTAAGAGATTTAGAATTTTATCATAATATACCTATTTAGGTATCTTCTGCAAGAAAAAATTGTAAGCACTATCATCATGGCTACCGACAGCAGGCTGAGTCCTGCAAATCCCGAGGCGTATCCCCTAGCCGACATTGACAAGGGAAATGACAGAACTAACACCAAAACCAACACCGACACCAACGATACCGACGATCTCAACATTGTCGACGTTGACTCTGCCAAAATTATTCCCGCTTTCAAACCAGGCTGGCGTTTCTGGCTTATCTATGTCTCCCTTTGCCTCATAACATTTGCGGCAGCCGTCGACAACACCATCGTCTTTACCGCTCTCCCCGCCATCACCCGCGCGATAGGCGGCGGCGGCGATTACGTCTGGATCGCGAACGCGTACGTGATTGCGAGCACCGCCGTACAGCCGCTATTCGGACAGACGAGCAATGTTTTCGGGCGGCGCGTTCCGAGTTTAGTCGTCGTTGCTCTGTTCGCCGTGGGGGAAGCGGCATCGCGGGAGGCGCCAACGGCGTCTCCATGCTGATCGCCGGCCGCACTATCCAAGGGATCGGCTGCGGTGGCATATTCGTCTTGCTCGATGTTATAGTCTGCGACCTTGTCCCCCAGCGCGAACGGGGCAAGTACCTTGGTCCGCTCATGGCGGCTGGAGGTTTAGGTTCCGCACTTGGCCCTTTGATCGGCGGAGCGTTGACAAAGGCGAGTTGGCGATGGGTTTTCTACATCACCCTCCCCTTCTCCGGTTTGTCGCTGGCCACCATGCTCTTGTTTCTTAAGATGAACCATGTTAGAGACAAGTCCTGGAGGAAAAGGCTCGCTCGGATGGACGTCCCCGGAAATGCTCTCTTCATCGCTTCCATCACCGCCATCCTACTGGGCTTGCTGTTAGGAGGAACGACATTTCCGTGGTCTTCCTGGCGCATCATTCTGCCCCTCGTCTTGGGGTTTATCGGTTGGGGTCTATTTCACGTCTACCAAGCATCGCCGTGGTGTCATGAGCCAACAATTCCACCCAACCTTTTCTCAAATCGGACATCGGCTGTCGGATTTCTTCTAAGTTTTCTGTCGGGAGTCTTATTGGAATGGATCGTGTATTTCTACCCCTTCTACTTCCAAGCTCTACGGGGGGCATCACCTCTGCAATCTGGAGTGAATACCTTGCCTTTTAATGCCTTTCTCATGCCGGCTGGCATGATCGGCGGTGTCATAATGACCAAGACAGGTGTCTACAGACCCCTCCACGCAGCTGCATATATCATTCTCGCCATCGGACTGGGGATATCTTCCTTGCTTGATTCTACCTCGTCAACTGCAAAATGGGCCATCTTCCAAATCGTCCTTGCTCTAGGTCTCGGATGCACGTTTGTCACCCTTCTTCCAGCCATTCAAGCTGCACTTCCCGAATCTGATGTTGCGACCGCTACGGCAACTTATTCATTCTTCCGTAGCTTCGGCTTTATTTGGGGTGTGACCATCCCATCTCTCATTCTTAATTCCCGTATCACTAAAGGTCTAGACACCGTAGAGGATGCCAACGTTCGCGCTCAACTAGCCAACGGGGGGGCATATCAATTTGCCGCAGATGGAAACGTGCAAGCTTTGCCGTCCCCGGTCTATGAAGAAGTAATTAGCATCTATACGGACACTTTTCGCATTACATGGCTGGCGGCACTTGCATTCGCTCTGATGGGATTTCTACTCGTTTTCCTTGAAAAGCACGTTGAGCTCAGACAGGAGCTGGAGACGGAGTTTGGATTAGAGAACACGCAGAAGAGTGACGATGACAGGCAGGTCGAAGTTGGATTGAAGTAATGACTTAGATCTTAACCACAATTCACATCTATCTATTTCTTCACTTTCTTCCTGTAGCAATAATCGCGATGCCCTCCAGCTTCCCCCTACCCCCCGGAAACCTATCTCCTAGCCACTCAAGCATCCACCGTATCGCCTTCTCCACCTCATCCTGAGTCATATCCGCTGTCACCATCTTAACAGACGGGATATTCGCAACATTGAATCTAGTCATGGCCTCCGGATCCTCGAACTCGTAGAACGTCTGCACCTCCTCCACGAGCACATCCCTGAACCCAGCCCCCTCGAGCTGCTCCCTAATCCTCTCGACAGACGCCCACGCGGCAGGGAGGGGGGGTAGTTTTGTTCCCGGACGAACCGCGGCCAGCGCCTCCTCGATCAAGTCCATCCACGCGACCGACCGAAAACTCGTCATCCCGAACACGCCTCCGCTCTTCATCACCCTCCTAGTCTCCGCCAAAACGTCTTGCGGCCGCTCGACCATGAGCAGCAACAACCCCGCCGTGACGTGGCTGAAGCTCTGGTCCGGCACGCCGGCCGCCGCGAGGTCCTGCGCGTCCCAAACCGCTGTCTCGACGCGCTTCCAGATGTCGTTCCCGCCGGCCACCTCGGAAGCCTTGCGCTCGTTCACAATTTCAATCATGCCGGGGCTCAGGTCCGCGGCTACGAGGCGTGCATCTGGAGGAAGGGCGGCGCCGTAGGTATTTAGAAGGCTGCCGAGGACTTGGCCCACGCCACACCCAGTGTCGAAGATGCCGGTGGACGAGGAGAAGGGTAGAATCACATTTATCTATGTATATATCTTAGTTCTTCCATTATGTCTTTCTCTCCTAGTTGAACTAAAGTTTTTGTCTCGTACTTTTTCGAGGAGCGCTTTATTGAGAGTTGTAGTTGGGCCTTCCGAGGCGGTTTTGAGAAGGGCGGCCGCGGAGGCGTCCCAGGATTCCGTCGAAGCTATGTAAATACTAGGGTCAGATGATTCGTGATCAAGTTTTTGGGTCTTGGAAGTTCGTACAGACGAGCGTTTGAGAGGACATGTTTTGTGCTTAAGCAAGAGACAAAGTAGAAGAGCGTAGTAGAGTAACGCGCAAGTTATTCCAGCATAGTCACCCTAGTGCCTACTTGCTTAATATAATGACTACCTTAGAATATAAGAGTCGCTCTCAGCAAGGCTTTCTAATTGTCGGCGCCCGTGTTACGGCCGCCGAGTTTTGCTAATTTTCAAGTCCACCTTATACCACATAGGTACGGAACACCATCACGATCGCATAGATACTACTTACCTAGGTACCTAGGTATGTAGATATTCTTAGATCAGAAGGTAAATTATTATATCAGGTTTATGTTTCATTTTAGTCCGACACGGATCTATCAAGGACCTCTCGATTACATACTGGGTAGCTTCCAGTGCCAAAATTGCTTTTCCTTATTCAGCCGGTCAATTTCATGCCCAGTCACCCTCCTTGGTAACTCCCGCGCAATGCCCGCTCCCGCGTTAGAGCCTTGGAAAATAGTATTTGGTATCATCTTGAAAGGACTTGCGCAATCACCAGCGGCGAATGCCCCTGAAACGTTAGTTTGATAAAAGGGCATTCTAGTGACTATGTCCCCTCTATCATTAATTTCCAATTCCAATTGACTCACGATTTCCGGATTGACTCTTGTATCCGGCTGGTGGACGAGGAAGTTCTTTGTCTCTATCTCGCCGTTGTCAAGTTGAATGCGGATACCCGAACTTTCAGGGTCCTTGCTTAAAAGTGTGATTTGGCGGTCGATAACCTGGATATCCTCATCCCCTCGACCTGACAGGATGTTTCGTATGCCTTCTCCTAGCTCCGCGTTTCCATTTGTGTAGACGGTCACTCTATCGGCAAATTTCTGCGCATCTTCCACTAACATCGCGGCATGGTATGGAGTACCTGCAAGACCCATGGCAAGTAGACCGGCCGAACTGCTACCCTTAAATTCCAGGCCACGAGTAAATAAGCAATGGAGTCTGTAAAGAGTCTTGTTAACAACGGTAAGTGATTAAGCTCGAGATACACACATTCGGTCGGGAAAGTTTTCCTCGTAGCCCTTGATCTCGGGAAAGACAAATTCGACACCCATCGCCAAGAGTAACTTTCTTCCTCTCCACGACTTTCCGTAGGCGTCACCCACTTCGAAGAAAGTCCTATTGAGCCCTGGTTTCTTGATAGTGGTAATCTGTGCATTGACGAATCTTGCGAGGCCTGTCTTACTCAGTTCCTTTCGGCTAACCCGTCTCAGTTCGTCCGGGCTTTGATTTTCCCATGTTGGGAGCACGTGTGTGGGTGTTTTCCATTTGTTGCGAGGAGCATTTGAATCGAATATTAAGACGTCAATTTGGTGGCGCGCGAGTGTTAGAGCGGCAGAAAGACCAGCGTGAGATCCGCCGATGATTAGAACGTCTGCTACGGAATCGTTTTTGATTGTGACAGTGAGTTGAGGGTAGAAAAGTTCATTTATATTGTCTCGCAGAACATATGATAAAATTAGGGTGATGAGAGACAAGACAAGGATACGAATAGAATACGAGGTTTGTGAAGCCATGGAGTAGATCTTGTTAGTTGACCAGTCATAATTTTAATTTTGGTGACGCGTCGGGTACCTATAGTACCTATATGTATGGAAGCTCCAACTTATAACATCGCGATACTTATTGGTAGTGAATGTAACGGTGACCGGTGAGGCACTGGTAAGTACCTCCTATTCGGCGACCGGCGGGTGGGGGTTAACCGGAAGCCGGCTTGTGTATCCCTAGGTACCGAGATATGCAGGTGACGCAAAGGCAAACAATATTGAAGCTACAGACAAAGAATCGAAAGCCGAACAGCCTGATCTATATGAATTTTTCCCCCAATTTTCTTGACATATAATATGTAAAATCGCTTTTCTATCCGGCTAGAATCTTCAAGAGTTTCTATAATCACAAAACACCAAAGCCCCAAAATGCCACCTCACGCGAAAACCCCTACTCCCGATCTCGTTGACGTCCTTATCATTGGCGGAGGGCCTGCTGGGCTAACTTCAGCGGTCGCTGTTGCTCGCAATGTGCATACAGCCATCGTGTTCGACTCGAACTCGTATCGGAACGAGCGTACCGCGCACTTTCACATGCTGCCTACTTGGGATGGCAAGAATCCCATAGCGTTCCGCGACGCAGCTAGAGTCAACACGCTTGAAGGTTACGAGACAATCTTCTACGAGGATTTGAAGATCGAGAAGGCTAAGAAGAATGACGATGGGTTGTTTGAAGTCACTGACGAGAATGGTAAGGTTTGGAAGGGTCGAAGCTTGGTTCTCGCAAGTGGTATTATCGATGTGCCTCTAGACATACCCGGTTTCGACGAGTGTTGGGGACGAAGCATGTAAGTAAACATTTCGCTTGATATTCCAAGGCTCGTATTGATACATAGATATCAAGCTACCACTGCCTATTTTGCCATGGTTATGAGCAGCGTGGAAGCGAATCTTCTGGTATTCTAGCCATCAACGATGTCGCACCGATTCCCATCGCCCTTCACGTCTCCCGCAACGCATCTCGGTTCACTAAATACGTCACCATCTACACGAATGGCGATACCTCCAAGACCGATGACTTTAAGGCAGCAATTGGCCCAACTGCGCCTTTTACTATCGACAGTCGCCGGATTACCAAGTTTGCTCTCGGCCCGAACCAGCTCGGCATCACAATCACTTTCGAAGATGGTACTACTAAGGATGAAGCGTTCCTCGGCCACAAACCCTTGAGCAAACTGAAGAGCGACTTTTTAGCTAAGCAGTTAGGCCTCGAGATTACACCACAGGGTGATTTAAAGGTAAACCCACCGTTTGGTGAGACGAGCTTGTCAGGCTGCTTTGCCGCCGGAGATAACTCGTCTTTCTTGAAGACGACTCCGAACGCGGTCAACACTGGAGCGAATAGCGCTGCGGGAGTGGCTAGTCACGTTCAGGCCGCGATGTACGGACAGAAGAGCCTGAGCGAGGCAATGCAGGCAATGCAGAAGAAGCCTGCTTAGGTAGGGAGGTGATCAAAAGTATGCGTGTTACTGGACTAGCGGAATGATGAGTAGTCTGAGGCCTGTAAGAGACGTGATGACTCTGATGTTATGCTCGGAATATAGCTAAACAATCATTTGAAGTTTATTCCCTCCCTATCTTAGGTAGTTGGAAATGTAATGAAAGAATATATAATTCCAGTCAGGTGAAATGTTTCCTTACTTCTTAGATGATGATTTCTTTGTTAATGTCCGAAGGGATAGCAATTATATAAATAATTTACAGGTACATAATGTAAGCAGTTCAATCACTAATGGAAAACGCCACTTAGTACCTCATAGCCACTAAATCCGCATAGCTTTAACCTACTAGCAATAACTATATGCAAACCTATCAATTAAAACCCTTAGTAGTTATTAGCAAAAACTAACCTATATTATTAACTATTACTACTAGGTAATTATCTGTTAAATCATATCGCCTTCATCATTAATTAATTAATTATTATATATCATTGGTATATAAGAGATTCCATAATACTTACATTCCAAGCTACCACTACAATCATCTTGCCTAAATCTTATCTCCCTAAACTTAGGTATCTAAGGTACCTAATAAACACTCGCTTCGCAGTTTCGAAGGATTGTCCATAACTAATTGAGCTCAAACCGCCGTCTCCCACGTTTCGGTGCCATACTTATTACTTACGTCCCCATTCTGCCTAGTCATCTCAATAGTAACCGTCTTATTCACCCCAGGCTCTCGACTAGCCCCGCTACTTCGCCCGGCCAGGCTTTCCGACTCAGAAAGCTTCTGGAGGGAGTCGATGGCGGTCTGTCCCTGGGCGCCAGGCGCGGGCGCGTTCGACTTATTACTACGCGAGCCTCTTGAACCACCGGAGCCGCCGGTCCCGGTGAAAGAAGGCAGAGAGATGGCGCTTCGCACGCTGGCCACGACGGAGCCGATGGACCGGCCGCGGAACAGGTGCTGCGTAGTAGGCAAGCAGGCGGCAATGAGGGAAAGCCCTGCCTCGATCATCGACCAGTATAGCACCGTCGACACCGACTTATTCTCATCCATGGTAGGGTCCAGGCTATACTTTATCTGCGTCATGTAGATGCCGAGGCGTGCGGCAGCTGCGCCGATGGCCACGCCACCCAGGAGGAAGATAGCAGTAATTGCGATCTTGCGCGCTAGTGTAAGGTGTAAACCCCAGATCTAAAGAAGTGAAGTGGTTAGTATATGATCGGCTACCTTTTTTGGTGGGTTACTTGATTCAACATACCCTAGGCATTGGTAAAGCGATGATGATCACATCAGTTATCAGATCGGTAATGAGCAGCGATTCTACCAATTGCTGGGTTCCTTGACAATAGGTGATGATTTCGGCGACTGAGCCCCAATGAGCACCCCAATGTGTGCCACAGTTAAATGCGATGGCGAGGATGTAAGCCAGAGTCCAGGCAACGACGATACAAGCGCAGACTATGGTGATGAGATTGAAGCGGTCGCTTTTACTCGTAGTGAATATGCGACGGTAAAAGAAGATGATGCTGAGCTTTATGAAGCCATATGCGGCGATCATGAGAAGCTGTGTGATGTACTGGACTTTCTGCACCACGGTGATTTTCGGATCGTGCCAGGTGAGGACCAATTCAGGATTAGAACCTGGAGGTGGAGGCGTTGGATACCCCACAGCCTCTTGCTCGACGCCTATTATACGAGTTTTATTAGAATATTATTAGATCAAGATACTGATAATACTAATCGATCGAGTAGGTAACTTACCAGCTATGAGAGCGGCCCCCATCCCGCAGACTAAGACAAGCGCGGGAAGGATGAGGAAGTCATCGATTCCGAGCTTGGCTTTCTGGAGCAGGCGGGTATAGAAGCGGAGTATAACAACGATTATCCCCAGCGCGGGGAGGGCCGCTGCGGCCGCTAGAATTTCAGCTCGTGTGGCATATTGAAATCTCGTACCCGAGTAAGCGAGGCTATTGCCGTCCTGCGACATGGCTCGATGAGGTAAAATTTTGACAGTAATGCTGGGCACGAATCACGTATGAGTTTGCGAGGAATATAGAACACAAAATGTAAAATGAGAGACGAAAAAAAGAGGGGTCACAGATGAGATAAACTGGACGCACAAGATCAATATGCATAAGAAAATATGCGCCCTCAGGCTCTCGGGTACCGACAACTCCTCTCATGTTGGTTGGTTGTTTTGGTGTGGTTGGTGTGTGTAACGAGAAGCTGAAGTGTTGGAAAAAAGCACGTTGCATCCGTGAGCAATACTCGTTTCTAACCATATTGAGTAATTTAATAATTCAATAAAGACACATCATTGGATGATGAGAATTGGCATTGGCAGAGATCTACCTTCAGCCTCATCCTCGTCACATTCACCGTGACAATCAACTGCGCTACTCTCCTAGGAACTCTACTATACAGAGAGACCGATCATTGCAGAGTTGTTAGATTGCTTCATCTAGATACCATAGGCTTAGCGACAGCTTGTCGACGCCCAATTACGGAAGGGAAGGCCAGAAACTAGATAAATTCACATGTTACCACTAAATAATAATTCTACCATAAAATCCCCAATAACAGAAACCCCAATGTTTGTTAATTTCTATACCCGGGATCCCTCAGTTCCTGTGTTGGTTTTGAAAGCGACCCACGTTCAACTCCGGTAACCGCATACCGGTCTCCGGCTTTGGAAGGATTAATACAGCGTTAGATATTCGATAGTAAATTAAACGCGAAAAGTAGATTTTAAGTGAATATCAGTCTTATTGTTAGTTCCTTGGACCAATTATTAGTCATGCCTGTCATCCTTACACTCCCGCCCCCGAAATCGCCTGTATGGTACCTAGCATATGGCTCAAATCTAAGCTCAAGAAAGTTTATTCATGACCGAGGAATCACTCCTCTTGGAATCGCCGTGGTAGCGGTACCGGGCTTCACTCTAACGCTAGATAGCGCCGGGGTTCCTTATTCTGAGCCGGCATATGCTAGCATATCCCCGGGAGAATGTGTTCATGCCGAGAAACCTATGCCGCTAATTGGGACAGCATATTTGGTCACCGATGAGATGTATAAGAAGGTCATTAAGTCAGAGGGCGGCGGCATCGCATATAGGGAAGTCGAAGTGCAAGCCCTCGTCGAAGCCTCGACGGATAGGCGAGTCATTACTGCGCGAACGTTGGTCACTGTATTACCAAGAAGGGCCTTGCCCAGCTTGAGATATATGGTAAAATTATCACCAAGTCTCGGCTTCAACCAGTGATTCTAACAAAAGTTTCTTCGCACAGAATCTCCTTCAAACCGGTGCCAGAGAAGTGCATATACCAAAATATTACCAGGAGTATCTTGCGAATCTTCCAACCTACCACCCACCGAAATGCGGGTACCGGAAAACAGGGGCAACACTATTCCTAGCATTTTGGGTCCCTGTGATGGCGATCATGGAAAAGATAACCAAATCATCTCTGAAAAAAAGCGATAGGGGTAATGCACCACTTTGGGTTATAGCTTTAGTGAGATTAGTCGTGATTACGATGTGGTGGTGGCATGATCATGTTCACGCTCCGATTTGGGGGCGAGGCGACGGCCTGGAAGATGATGCTCTAATAAGGAAAAGCGAAACTGCTTGAATAGAATGCACTTGAAGTAGATCGCATGAAACCTTGAATGCGAAATAGTTGCCGAGTCCTGAGCATACCTAGATATGAATTGCTTAGAGGTAGAGAAGTGCCCACTAGGCAACGTAGGGATGGCCTCGGAGGCCGACGATGACTACCTGGGTAGTATTATAGAGTCGGTACCCCAAGACATGTTCTCAAGTAATTGATTGTGTACGAGTAACTATACCTTTTTTAAGCGGATTCTCCGGGCTTTCAAAGAAACTAATGATGCTATCCTTCAAAATATTCAGCTCTCTTGCCCTTTCACTCATTTGGCTTATATTCTATTCTTGCAAATGTCTTCTTGGCACCGGACATAACGGTCTCGAGTCATACGCCATAATTGGTAAGATTCAGTCAAGATGTCGAGTTCTTTGTCCCTCGATATCTCTCTACCTATCTCCTGGGTATTACCTGATATTTAGCTAGACAGAGTTGTTAATACTGATTCTAGATGGCCATAACGATTTCCCGATCTGGATCCGGGCCTTTTATCACAATCACATATACCAGAGTAACTTTTCTGATAGCATCGAGTTGTTCGGCCAAGTCGACTTCCCACGCCTTAGGAAAAGTCAGCTGGGAGCACAGTTTTGGAGCGTTTATGTTGAATGGTTAGTCAATGTGAAGAACCTTAAAAGCGAATTTATATTCTTATTATGTTGAATTCAGCCCACGGACTTCGCAGAACTATTCCGATAGCATCTACCGAGAAATTATCCATGACACTCTTCAGCAGATAGACCTTGTATATCGACTCATTAAGGAGTTCCCCGAATATCTCATCTACGCCGCCTCCTCCTACGATATAAAATCTCAACTCGCCTCCGGGAGTAGCCGTGTATCAAGTCTCATGGGGATCGAGGGTCTTCATCAGATCGGTAATAGTGCCAGTATCCTCCGCATGTACCATGCTCTTGGTGTTCGATATGCGACCCTCACACACACATGCCACAACATCTACGCCGATAGTGAAGAACCTGAAACGCCTCTTCATGGCGGACTCTCTGAGAGAGGGAGACAGCTTGTCCGAGAGATGAATAGAATCGGCATGATGGTTGATCTATCACACACAAGCTTTCAGACTCAGAGAGATACCATTGATATTTCGCTCGCGCCGGTCGTGTATACACATTCGAGCGCTTACGCCATACGCGAACACTCTCGAAACGTGCCTAACGATATCTTGCTTTCGCTGAAGCAGAATGACGGCCTCATCATGATTACATTTTACCCCGAGTTTACTAGCGCCCAACCTGATAAGGCAAGCCTCGAGGATGTCGCAGATCACATCGAGTATGTGGGAAATTTCATCGGGTATCGACATGTGGGGATCGGATCTGATTTTGACGGTATGGACCATGGCCCTTCGGGATTAGAAGACGTGAGCAAATACCCAGATCTGGTGAAAGAGCTTCTAAATCGAGGAGTATCAAGGGAAAATCTGACATTAGTTACGAGCGAGAACATTGTGCGAGTGCTGGAAGTGGTTGAGAGAGTTGCTGCTGATATGAGCACTGTAAAACCGTTAGAAGATGATACGAAGCCTTTTTTCTAGACGCAATACCATCGTTAATTTAACATGTTCGAATATGTCTAAAAATTATTATAGACTCTATATCCCAAGGTCTTTATTCCTAGCTTAACGCGGCTTCTAGTCTCCTTAAAACCCTCGTTTAATCTGTCCTGATCCACAGCAAACGTAATCCTCGCCCACCCTTTCTCTGCATCTATCACATGATAGCTTCTCCCAGAGCTCACAGATACACCAGCTTCCTTACACAGCGAAACTACTCGCGCTTCATCTTCCCAAGACTGCGCATCGGGTGCTAATTTTGCAAACACGTATGGGCCTATGTTGGCTGGCATATACTCAATTCCACGCTGTTTAAAAAAGGATACTATACGGCCGTAAGCCTTACCAAGCCGTTCCGAATTAAGCTTGATTAAACCTGGGAGCTCGGGTGATGTGAGCAGAGCAGTGGTGGCTATAGCCGTAAGAGAAGACATCTGAGTATTTGATGCCAAAGCTAAGCCAACTGCTAGTGGCCGGTTGGCTTGCGTGATGCAGCACCCCTATTGTTCCATGGTTATTTAGTAGCTACCAAGACGCATAGAGAAAGCAGAACTAACCATTCGCAACCCACTTGATCCAAAGTCCTTGCTTGTACTCCAGATAGTATGAACCCGTGACTGATCGCAACCTAGAGCCTCGATGTCAAGCTGTAATACTGACACGAATGGCTCGGGGGTGGGTTGGTCTTGACTTTCAAATGCCGACAAAGCATATAGTTCGTCAGAGATGAAGTGAATATTCTTTGCGTTACAGAACTTGATACATTCTTTGATTACGGATTCCGGATAGCATCGTCCGAAAGGGTTATGAGGATTCGTGAAAAGGAGACCCTTGATAGGATACGTAGACTCCGAAAATGCTTTTTCAAGTGATGGAATTAACTGCGTGGTGAATACATTTTCGAAAGTGTCGACGTTGACGAGGACGGGCTGCACACTTGCTTTCACGTTGAGCAGCCAGTCGAACCCATCTATAGGATTGAGTTAGCTCATCAATGATCCCTTCTAGAAGCTTGGATTCATACTCCAGAAAGGTCCGGGAACTAAGACAGCATCACCAGGCTCACAGATGTTGTAAAGCAATGCGTCGAGGGCGAATGCTGCCCCTGGTGCTGTAGCAATGTGCTCTACCTCAACAGGTACGTGAGGCTTAAAGTATGAATTGAAAAAACTAGCCAATGCTTTGAGTAATTCCACATCGCCAGCGAAGCCATCGGGATATGACAAGTGCTTTTGTATATCTACCTGTTAGTCAAGTTGTAAAATATTATCGGGATCGCACCGTACCCTATCACTAAAGTTTCCAGCCACCGCTCTCTTGTAAATCTGCAAGAGTTCATTCCGGATCAACCAATTCTCGGAGGTTCCGAGATCAATCACAGGGTTGGAATTGTTTTCCCGCTCTGCAACAGCGCTGCTGATGCGAGGCCATATCTTCTCAACATTGGCTAAGCCTCGTTGAGATAATCTAGAGTGTTGAATCGAAAGCATCTTTAGGAATCGTAGCTAGTAACAGTCTTGCAGATATAAATCATGAGTAGAAGAAAGTTATTTAAGATGAAGTGAGGTTATTTGGCCATTATTCTAGAAAAATAGGTCTCAACACTGTTCAACGCTCGGGTGCCGAACCCGACTTCGTCGGACCGCCCACGGCCCTACTACTACTGACCGAGCCAAGGGGCTTCTACTCCGAAGCAGCCTCCTGGAAGCTCATATTAGATACCAGAGAGCTTAAACAACCCGTCATATGTCAATCGTCAAGTCTAAATTTCTCCAAGTCCTCCAAAACTATGGCATACCTATGGGCATACCCAATTTCGCTGGGTATCGGATATCTAATTTCACGGATCTACCAAGCAATTCGCGACCGAGATTGCAATGCGACTCCAAAATTTACCCGAAGGCAACGGATAACTAGATATTTCCTAGGGCTTCATATCATTTTAACGTGTTTGCTTGTAAGCTCCAGGTTATCCATCGCGGTGGAATTCGCTCCTAACCTTATTATCATAGATCGCGACGTCGATACTGACAGCGGTCATACGCAGCCGAGGCCATATGTCAAACAGGTGGAACTCCGAAAATTATCTAGTACGTTCAAGCCAGATGATTCAAGTATAAGACTAACCTAATATCCAGTCTTCCACAATTAGTGTCACGCTTTTTTATGCGGCAGGACTCCTTCCCGACCCTGATGTTCCTTATACCGTAACAGAGACCCAAAGCCACATGTGGGCGATTAGTCTTATATTCGAAATTGCGTTGCTCTATATTCAGACTCAAGCCCTTCCGAGACCAGTCTCTGTAATTCCTGGAATAGCATCCTTCCAAGTTGCCCTTTCAGGGCTACGAATAGTTGTCCTCTGCACTTTGGTCGGGTTATACGTTCTTACAAGACCTATAAATGTCACAGGCTCAGCCGAGGAAAGAGAAAGTCTGTTTGATGAGCATGCACAGAATAATACGATGTACGGTTCGTCTCCGAGCCAGGCGAAAGGAGCCACCCCGGTTAGATCGGGCGATGCGCAAACAACAACGTGGTTGGACTATCTCTTGGGGTTTGGAAGGCTCTTCCCGTTTCTCTGGTATGCCCTGAGGTTCAGACCCCCGATCTAAATTCTCTAACGGATTGATAGGCCCTCAGATTCTCGAAACCTCCAGTTAAGAGCGACTTTCTGCTTCTGTCTCCTAGTAGTTCAACGACTTGTGAACATCTATGTACCACATCAGATGGGGGTTGTAGTCGCAGCTTTAGGACCTGGCAGTATTCCCCATAAGGAGATATTACTTTACGTGCTTGCTCGGGCATTACAGGGGCAGCAAGGTGTGATAGGATCAATCCGAGCACTCCTCTGGATTCCAATCAGCCAATCAACATACCAGCGCCTCACTACGGCTGCTTTTCGACACGTCCTTATGCTCTCTCTAGACTTCCATCTCAGTAAAAGGATCGGCGAAGTGATCAGCGCTCTCAGCAAAGGAAGTGCGTTAAATACCTTTCTTGATGGGTTGGCTTTTCAACTCTTTCCAATGGTAGCTGATATGTGGATCGCTGCCGTTTATTTCTATTTCGAATTCGATGCTCTTTACTCCGTCATGGTTATAGCTATTACGTGGTTCTATCTCTTCATCACAATTTACATGGCCAAGTATCGCGGGCGAGCTCGACGCGAGATGGTATGATGAGAGAACGTGAAATGGAGGCCGCTAAGTAAGATTTTCAACAACTTTTATATGTGAATCTTACTAACGAAACTGTAGGACTGACGCCCTGCTTTTGTATGAGACCGTTCATTATAGTAGTGCCTTGCCAACAGAGATATCAAGGTTTGGGAAACTTATATCTTCCTTCCAGAAAGCGGAGTATAATGTTTTCTTCTCCTTGAATCTACTTAACGCAGTGCAGAACGGTGTCTTTACAGTCGGAGTTGCGCTAGTCTGCTACCTTAACGCCTATCAGATTTCGATGGACATGCAGCCGGTAGCAATGTTCGTCACATTGCTGACTTATATGGCTCAGCTGCAAGCGCCATTGAATTTCTTTGGGAGCTTCTACACGCAGGTACAGAATAATCTCGTAGACGCAGAGCGAATGCTAAATCTTGTAAGTTTTCCAACTCTTACGATTACTCTATCCCAGCTCGTGCTGACATTTCGCAGTTTAAAGAAGAGCCAACTGTAGTAGACCGCGAGGGTGCCGTAGAACTAAGAAGTTGCAAGGGAAATATCTCGTTCTCTGATGTTTCTTTCTCATATAACAATAATCATCGCGCCCTTCACAACATTTCATTTGATGTCATGTCTGGTACCTCTACGGCTATTGTTGGAGAGAGTGGGAGTGGAAAATCCACGATACTCAAGCTTCTATTTCGATTTTACGATGTGGATAGCGGTGCGATAAAGATAGACGGCATAGATATTCGTGATATGAAGTTGGAAAGCCTACGCGACTTCATCGGCGTCGTACCGCAAGACACCATTCTCTTCAATGATACTGTGATGTTTAACCTCATGTACGCAAAGCCTGATTCTACAGAGTCGGAAGTCTACGAGGCATGCAAAGCAGCAAGCATCCACGATAAAATCATACGCTTTCCACAAGGATATTTGACTAGCGTTGGGGAAAGGGGTTTGAAGCTCTCAGGGGGAGAAAAGCAAAGGGTACCCATTATTCGCTCTACCAAACTGGAGGTGTTATTACTGACATGATTACAGATTGCTATTGCTCGCGCATTCCTTCGTTCGCCTAGAATCTTATTATTAGACGAGGCTACGGCGTCACTGGATTCACAGACTGAGAAACAGATCCAATCGGCTTTAGCAAAGGTCTCGGAGGGTAGAACTACTCTTATGATAGCGTAAGTCTACGCCGTGCACCACAACCATCCTTCAAAGTTCTAATGGATTATAGCCACCGGCTCTCGACGATTGCCAAAGCAGATCAAATCATTGTTTTACACCAAGGCGGCATTGTTGAAAGGGGGAGGCACACGGACCTCTTGGCGAAAAGGGGTTATTATGCGCAGATGTGGGAAAAGCAGATGCAAGAGGAGGAAAACAAAGAGTAAGGTACGCTAGGAACTATTTCTACCTGGTATTATATCCAGAAGTTGTATCTGTCCAAATCCATTCTCGTTTTTAAAAATCGTTCCGGTCTGAACTGTGTAGCGTCCTTTCCCCCAGTAAGGATTTCGCTGAATACGTCAATAATTTAGAGGCTTCAATTACTAAAATTCCAATGATAGCGGCTACGAAATTGGCCTCTGAAGCTCGTTTAGAAACAAACATAAACATTATAGTTTTGAAGAGGGCACAGTGCTGCTATTTGGTCAATTCTGGACTACTAGATAGCTTACTCCTGATCTTACATATGGACAGTAGCGCTTCCAGGGGTATTACTCTTTGGAGTCATGTGATGAAACCAGGTAGGAAGTAGTTTCAGTGCTGGGGCTTTTATTTCGCTTACCGGAAGTCGCCCGGGCGGGCGTTACCGCGGGCTCCGAGGCACGTCGGAAGGAGGGCCTTATATGAAAGTTGTTTCAGCGGGCTAACTTCCCAGCTACCTAGGTAGGAAGGTTACTAGGAATGCTTACTGCGCCTTATGAAGGGGAAGAAGGAGAGTAGATTAGACATTATAGATTCTCTTAATCTTGAGCTGCTCTTGTATTTTCGAGTGCAGTCATATATCGGAACCTTTACAAGTTTCCAAACTTCGGTGCTTTCTCCATTATCTCTTTGACCGCTGGTCTCTCTAACATCTTCTTGCTCCATGTTTCAATATTAGGCCAATCCTTAATATCCACACCAAAAAAGGTGAACATCCAAGGCATTGCAAAAGGGAAGTATGAGAGGTCGGCGAGGGTTGGCCGGTCAGCGATTGCTATATAATTCTGATTAGGCAACGAAAGTCGCTTCTCTAAGATATCCCACTGCTTTAGCGTGTTCTGATGAAGTCTACATAGCATCACAATATCAGCTCTGCCCAAAGGAAAATAAGGGGGTATTGTGGATAATTTACTTCTCAGTAGTTCGCGGCAATTGGACGGGATTCTGGCGGTTGGGATAACCTCGAAGAAAGTAAAGCCAGTACTTCGCAGTAGCTCTTAATTTTCAGAGTCAGTATTCCATTCAGGCATACCTTAGGTAGGATTGATTCCAATTGAACCCACCCTAGTCCGGCAGTTTGATACGAGGTCCAACTTAACACCGCGCCTCTCTCAGCTGCTGTTCTCCCGGACCATTCCCCTTTAGTATCCCACCTGTCTGCAAGATATTGCAAGCATGCTGTGCCTTCGAAGACAATTACATCCTCCCCTGTCTCCGGATCCCGGTCTTTCAGCGATGGCACAGTACGCTCGGGATGGATTCTGTAGAACCATTCCTCAGTCGTATCAACTATTGAAACACAATGAGGCACCTCTAGCTCCAAAGCGAGTATGAGAGGTTTGATATAGTTGATATAGTTTGTTTCGTTTGCTGTTCCGTCAGCTCACTTTCAAAGACTAAGCTAGAAGAGGCCGGTAATTCCTACCCTTGACTACATATAACACTACCCTGGCGTCGTTCTGAGGATCTCCATCAAGTATTTCGCCCAAGGAATTGAGACTGCTATCAATTACGGCTTCCATGATAATTAGATACATATGGCACTAGGGTACAATTGAAGCCTAAGGGGCGAGATATAGTTCAGAGGTAGGTATTTAATTTTATCCTGTGCTGATTCTAAGCAAAATACCTCAGCACCTAATAAATACGGGAACCGATAGCTCGGGCCGGCTCTCTTCGCGGAACACCGAATTAACCAAAAAATTCCGAACATTACTAGGTACAATAGTTGAGAGTTGGCTTTATTAAGACCCCGGGCTTGTCAGACAGCCCTTCGGTCTCCTTTAGATTTCGGGGTCCACATCGGATGCCGATATGTATTAATTGGGGCCGACCCGGATGTCCGGATGCCGGATGCCGGAGTGGAATTCTCTACCTAACTAATACCTGGTATAGGAAGTGCGATGCGCATCAAGTCTCCATGCATCATGAAGAGATCTGTACCTAAGTCTTTGACAATGAGTTCTCAGAAAGTTAATACTCTCCTCGAAGAGCTCATCAATAATTTGAAACATTGCATTAATGGGCTGAAAAGCCCGCTGGTTTCATCTGAGCTCGAGAACGCCCTGCACAACCATGACAGACTACCTGATCAGCAGGTTGGGAATCTATCTGCTACAGCTGTTGATTTATTAGGTGAAGCAGAGTTACTCCTCAAACCCGGCCATTTGATTCTGGCAGGGCATTTCCTGGGTTGGTTGTCACCACTAGGCTATAAAAAAGGTTGCTGGACGTTGACCTCGTAACACAGGCTACACTGACACAAAATGTCTCCTTGCTGCAGTGCAGCTCCGTATTCCCGATACCCTCACCGGGGGTCCTCTTACTCTAGACGAAATAGCAACTCGCTGTTCTGCCAACCCCATCCGGCTAAAGCAAATTCTTTGCTCGCTCTACAATAATGGCATATTCGCTTGGGATGCCGCGACGTGCACTTACGCGAACAACCACGTCTCTCGGCTCCTCCTCGCCGACCATCCAACCCAATGGCACAATTGGGTTGACCTGTACGGGCAAGAATTCTACGATATTGCGAGAGGAATACCAGGCTCGGTACGGGCGGACTCACAGAGAACTGCGGCACAAATAAATTTCGATACAGACCAGAACATGTTTGCTTATTTTCAGCAACATGGTCTTGTTCCGCGTCTGCATCAAACTCTTGGGGGTGGTGCTGCCGCTATGGCTCCGGGAATACTAGAAGACTATCCTTGGGGCGAAATCGCAGATAGAACTATCATGGACGTAGGAGGTGGAAGTGGTGCGATGCTGACATCTCTCCTCCGAAGGTTTCCGGGTATGAGAGGAGGCGTGTTTGAACTAAAACACGTTATCTCTCACATTGGCCCATTCTTCAGGGCCGGAGGCCAATTCGAAGATATAGGCGATCGCGTTCCGGAGGGAAACCTCATCTCTGGGAATTTCTTAGAAGCTGTCCCAGCGTCTGAGGTGTACATCATGAAATGGGTATTGCATGATTGGGGAGATGAAGATGCTGTGGCGATTCTTAGAAATATTCGTAGGGCTATCGTTGAGAATAGGGACGGAAGCCGTTTGATTCTACTTGAGTCGATACTAGCTGACGGGCGATCAGCAAGGCTATCTCGATTAGGGGACATCAACATGATGACGATGACGGCTCACGGCATGGAAAGATCAGAAGCCGAATGGAGAACCCTGGCAGAAAAGGCGGGTTGGAATCATTTCAGAGTATTTAGATTGAGACGATCATGGGTGGATGCGATTGAACTGAAACCATAGGTACCTATAAAAAAGACTTACGACACTGTATGATAGGTAAGGTAGGAAACTATACCGTGTGCGGTATGTGACTCTATTATATATTCTGGGTAGCTCATACCAAAGCTTCGGGCCCTATTTACACTAATTAACTCGTATACTGAGTCTCTAAGGGAAAATTCATATATATCAAAGCGCTGATTCGTAGGTTTTAGCCCGTTTAATTTAGCCAAACTCATAACTGTTGTAGTCGACTTACGCATTCAGCCGGTAGATATACTCTAGATACTACCCAAGTACCCCTGAAGCTTCGTATCGTATGTCTTAGAAAATTAGATATAGTAACTACCTAGATAGACATGAATGTAAATAGAGAATGGCACATACGTTTTAAAATAAGATATCAACGCGTGATATGTAAAATCACGTCCGAAATAGAAGGTTACTGATATATTCAGGGGGTGACCATCGGAGGAGGAGAAAATCAATAAAGAGGCCGGCAAAATGTAAACTGGAACGTACCCCTATGCAATAGCTCTATACAACATAACCACATTTGCCTATTCCGGGCCTTGGCTTATACGATACGTATATCAAGCTTGCTACGTCCCATAATAAAATTTTATAGTGAATGAATCTTCGACAACTTTTCTCTAGCTTTAAGCGATGGCAATACCAGGCTTCCAAAATGAATTCAAGGATATTACTCGTGGATCTGACCTTTTACTGCGATGGGAGGCTAACGCGACCGACTACCCCCTTGTGCTCTACTCCAAACTCATCAATCAGACGAGCGACTTTGGAGCGAATTCGTTAGAAGTTAACATCACAAGTAAGAAAGTCATGTAATAGGTACCTAATGCATACGAAGATGTATCTTACATGGTATGATAGTGGAACTTAATACTACTTCGTTTCTCTGGGAAAGCATTCCATACCCGCTACCGTATATTGAGACAGCGAAATACGAAGTAGAGGTGTGGTCTCAGAACCAAGTAAGATCGAAGATTTCAGCACCAGCTATCGCATCTTCGTCTTACTTCGCCATTGCCAAATCGGATGATGGGGATACCATGGATGACCCGGTAAATGTGAGGACTCGAGACCTTTGACTATACCATCCATAATTTTTACGGACGTTAATGGAAGATACAGCCCTTCAATGGAACGACAATACTACCATCAAGACCTACCAACCAACCAACTTCCAATCACGGAGTCAATAATAACACCGCAATTGCTGCTGGACTTCTCGTACCAGTCTTCGTCATACTTGCTGTCTTAGGATTCGTATTGATGCAACGACGGCAGAAGAAAATCATCGAACAGAAGAAGAAACAGAGGGAAGAACTCTATATCGATTAGGCGTAAGATCTTATTAATAGGGCGAGAGGGAGAGCTTCTTGGCAAGGCTTATCCTCTGATGCAATCAAGAGACGACTTATTAAAGCCGTCGAGGTGCTCGGGAACCTTTACGGGAAGGGTGCAGTCGAGTTTCCAGTCTCCGAGGGCAGTCGAATGGCATTGAACCAACTGGAGCCGATATAACTAACAGCAGTTACTAATTCCATACTGACAGAAGAGAAGGGGCATTTGATGGAATATCTGCTTCCTTACACAAAACCCCCTAGGGATGTCGCGGTGAATACGAGAAGGGACTTGCGCTCTCAGCGCCGTTATAAAAAAACGGGAGATGAGTAGGGCACACGCCTACCGTCAGAGGTTGATTTCGTAACCTCAATGGATCGGGCGTGATACGCCGAAAGGATAAATAGCTGTCAAATCATATCTAGGAACGACACCTGCGAATACGCTCAAGGAATCATATACGTTCGCCTAACGGAATTAGAGTATATGGAAATTGAGAGGATCATATGCCACTTTAGATTTGCGGCGTGGGTAATACATAGAGAAAAAGGGCGGTAAGCGTGAGACGATCGGGCTTAGAAGCTAGTTAGATAGTCTATCTCGTAATAAAAACAAGATAAAAGATACTTGATGCGTTGGAATTCGATTTTAGTCTCGATCGAAGGTATACGAGGTACGAAATTATATCTAGGATCTTCCGCATTTGATGCATTCACCACCACTATTGATTGTAAAGAAGGTTTGAAGAGACATTAGGATGGTGGGCGCTGGCTACCTCCTATCGATGCGATGTCAGCCTCTACTCCGTAGTAGGTAAAATAATCCGATGGATTCGTCTCTTTGATCCTATTCGAAGTATATATAGCATCAATTAATGATAACTCGTCAACTTTAATCATGTTATTTGGTTTGGGAATTCCACTGGGTATCTACGTACCTATTTATCTTAGCTTTGTTCATTCGTTAAGATAGAGTTGCTGCTCGACCCAGCGGTTCCGTAGCTATGGATGGATAACATAGCTTGAGCTGGAGAAGTGGAAGAGTTAGCAGATCATTACCATAATAAGTCAAAACGGGATGCAGGGAATATGATCGACAGCAGAATTGACATTGACCCCGCTAGAGATCTTGATCAAGGGGCTGATCATGACATTGAAATAGTTAGAAGCATCGCCAGTATCTGCCAAGAATACACGTTAGCCAATTAAGTCTAGACCCTGGAATAGCATCCAGCTGAAGGGTAGCTTTATATGACGCTACAAGCTGTACCTACTGATATTTATCGGCAACGGCTCGTAGACACCAGTAAAATTCGGAGCTAGACTTTTCACCAACCAGATCAAACGAAATGAGATGGGGGTGGTTCACCTGAAAACCAACTTGTTTCATAAGTAGTCGTTTGCGAGGCACGCACATGGCACATTCTAATCCCTACACAGCCACGAATCAATTAACGTGGGGATCGCTTGAACCTCAGATAAGTGGATTTCTTACCCATCTCATACCTACCTGCAATAAGCCAAGTATTTCTTCACGTATGTTCCTCCTCCGTAGGAATTAGTAACACTGGTCAGGATGCTAGGTGCGGTGCTAAAAGAGATGGCACAGCTGCAACTAGCATCATGAAGAGGTACTCTGGTGAATGCGCACTCAAGTTAGAAGCATTAGGTAGATTTCTGCATCTCTCACCACACTGCTAGCTGTGGTGCCTGTAAAGGTTAGGGATGCGAATTATGCGCATAATTGACCAATTATGCGATATTATACATATAATACGTAGTATGCGTATAATACGCATCATATAATTGAATAATTATGTAATCACAATATAAAATTTTTTGGCCTCTATTTATATTAAGTAATTTTACACAACAATAACAACACCTATTTTGACTTATAAAATCAACGATTTAACTTAAAATGCAACCAAAATTCAGGCCTAAACAATAAATCAAAACTAAAATAAAACCCAAAATGGAATTAAATCAGCTAATTTGATTAAATCTGACGTAAAATAGCCTTAGACATAATGTTCATTAATGGCGTTATTCCGATTTAATACTAGTGTATCGGATAAAAAGAGGCCACTTTCCGATTATGCGCATAATTGATCAATTATGCGGTATTATATAATATTATACGGTATTATACGCTAGTGATATTATATTTTTCGCATCCCTAGTAAAGGTAATGCATCGTCGCTTAGCTCGGCCGAACCCCTATCCACCTTTCGTTATTAGTCCAGGAACCTGGGATCTTAGCGACAGCGTCTTGCTCGTTGACAGCCGCGAACCGAACAAGCCAAGCCGGATGTCGACTTCTAGTACCGACCATTGGTTAAAATTTCCCTTCCGTAAGCCATGGTGTTATCCACCCAGGCCTATCACATCCAGAATCCCCCAAGAATCGGACCCTTCCCAAGAGTGGAAGTTGGTTTCCGTACTACATAAACATAGTTTGAAGTAGAGCGGGATGCTACCAATAGCACCGTCGTCCTTTCATCGAAACATGAGCCCACCATGATATTAGGAAGCTTACTTACGTATGCGCAGGCGCGGTAGCAGCGCCGCTTGTCTGCAGCGTCTAAGTCCACAGTCATTGGACATCGAGGAACCTCATGTTTCAATCCAGGGGCTCCTATCCGTTGATTTTTCTTAAATATGCCTGAGCCGCTGTGTTGGGCATGGGATGTCTTCCCTTTCCCTTTCTTTTACGCTGTTTTGCTGTTATAAACCCCTGGAGCATTCAGCTCTCGACGTAATATACGTCATTCTTTTTGGTTGTTTCTAGTCACTCTTTAATATAACTATACATACTATAGCCATAGCGATGGCTCCATCACTCCTTAAAACTGTCGGCGCTGCTGCTGCTGTCCTAGCTGCTAATGCCGGCGCTACCAAGTCGTACCAAGTTTCCGAAGTTTATAACTCGACTAATTTCTTTGATAAGTTCAACTTCTTCAGCGTAAGTGCTCAAGTAAACAACTTCTCGCTCGACTCGCCTAACATTCTCCTTAGGGAGTTGACCCCAACGGCGGTTACGTCCAGTACCAAACCCAGGCCAACGCGCAGGACCTTGGCTTGGTTAAAACCCAGGATGGTGAGGTATACGTTGGTGTAGATCATGCTGGCAGCTACCAAGCTGCAGGTGCTGGGCGAAAGAGTGTTAGGTTAGAAAGTAAAAACGTTTACACCAAGGGTTTAATCATTGCCGAATTTACTCACCTCCCTAAGCCCGTCTGTGGTTCCATGGCCCGCATTCGTATGTCTCCTTATGTTTATAACGTCACACTATGCCTTCGAGCCTTCGTACGAGCCTTAAATCTTTCTCTCTGCTTAGCATTAGTTGTATATCTTTGCATTGGAGCTAGCTAACTTGAATTATTAGTGGTTCTTTGGTGACCCGTGGCCAACCAAGGGTGAAATTGATCTCTATGAGAACTGGAACGATCTTAACTTCAACCGCCACACCTCCCATGTCGACAAGCCTGATGTTGTCGGGGACTGCACACTTGTCGCAAGCGACATGACAGCGAAGATCGACTCCCCCAACTGCTACGACTTCGCTGACGGACAAGCAAACTTCCAAGGTTGTTCCGCTTCCGAGGTCTCTTCTACCTTCGGGTCCGCTTCCGGAGGTATCTTCGCGTTGCAATGGACGGATGATTTCCTTAAGATCTGGGATTGGCCCCGTAACGGCGCCCCCAAGGATATTTCAAGCGGCCAGCCGGCTCCCGATTCTACATGGGGTCAGCCGTCTTATGTGATCAGCAAGTGTAACGTCGACAAAGCCTTCAAGGAAATGAAGATGGTTTTGAATGTTAACTTTTGTGGTGTCGCCGGCCAGCCTAACCAGTGGGATAGCAGCTGTAAGGCTGCGACTGGATTTGACACCTGCAACGGTTATGTCGCCGCGAAGGGCGGAGACTTCGAATCTTCCAACTTCAAGGTAAAGGATATCAAGGTCTACGAGCTTAAGGAGGGCCAAGTCCAAGTTTCAACCTCATCAACGGTGTCTAGCACGTCCAGCACATCTGCCACGTCTAGCTCTGCTTCGATCGTCTCAACTGCCTCGACCGCCTCCGCTACCTCCTCGGCGTCGACCCAATCTACCAGCTCTGGCGCATCTGTAACGACGACTTCTTCTGCCTCGCAAAGCACTGCGACATCAACCGCCTCCGAAGACGACGATTCTTGTACCGATGAGAATGGAGAAACCTCGAGCTCGTCTGTTGTCTCGCCCACCGTGAGCGTGTCGGCCACTACAACCGAGCAGGAGCTGACCACCTCAACCATTTATTCAACTGATATCCACACCGTCACATCATGTGCCCCGACAGTGACCAACTGTCCTGCGGGCGGTTACGTCACTACCAAGATTATTTCGGTCGGAACCACTGTCTGCCCTGTGACCAAATCAGAAGGCTCCAAGACTGAGCCAACGCCAACTGCTAGTGCTCCCGCTGAGTACACCACCAGTGTAGTTGAGGTGACGAATACATACACGATCACCTCGTGCGCGGCCACTGTCACAAACTGCCCCGTTGGTGACGTCACCAGTGAAGTTACCCTCACGACAACCGTGTGCCCTGTGAGCAAGGAAAGCTCAAGTGCTGGCCCTAGCCCTAGCTCAAACAAACCCGCCGAGACACCCAGCACTGTTAGCAAACCCGCTGAGACACCTGGTACAGTCACCAAGCCAGCACCGGCCGAGAGCACCAGCGACGTGAAGAAACCAGAGACCAAGAGTACGGTAACGGAGACGGGCGTAGTCTCGACCCCGAACCCTACAACGGCTAGCAGTGAGGAGATCAAGTCATCGGCAACCGAGGGCAGCAGCAGCAGCGGCAGCACCACTATCACCAACGGCGAGTCTTATGTTGTCGTGACGCCAACCGTGGCCCCCGCCAGCAGCATCAACCTAGGCTACAACGGAACAATAACGACATCGTTCATAACCCCCGGCGGTGCGACGTCGACTGGGGCTGCAGGCTGCAAGGGAGCTAACTGCGTCGTGGTTGTTAATGGTAGTGTTAAGACAAGCGTGAGCTTTACGCTTATGGGTGTGGTAGCATTCTTCTTCCTTGCTATGTAGACATATTTCTACGGAAGGGAAGATATTAAGGATGATAATATTGTAGATCTTTTTTTTTCTGGGGTTATGTTTAAGTTGCAGGGGTGTAAAAGGCTTCCTGGTTATCCTGGGTAAAGTGTTAACTGGGTTCGTTATCTATTATACTATTATCTGATTTACTATCTGAATTTTTACCTGTTAACTGGCCATATATCTTTATGTATTGTGATGTTGTATGTCGATAGGATTTTAGATTCAAGTATAAGTAACAGGTAGTTACATGTTGATTGGTATAAGTTATCATTGGCTAGATGCATAATATGTATTTTTATAACCCATTCTATTTATAACCCGGATCTACTGGTCTTGGCACGTACGGAAGTGATTGACGTAATAAGCTTCTTTTCTTAGCTTACAGTTTGACTTTCAACTTTCAACCTTTACACCGGCTTGTGTCTTCTGCCTTGCCGCGTGCCCGTGGGCGCAAACCTCACGATGCAATCGCGTCGGTTTCTACGGCCTTTATGGCACTCTTTACCGATACGAGTGTCTCCTCCTTCTCCCTCGATCTTCCCCTCTCTCCGCCTTATCCAACGAACTCAACCATTCTCCCATACTCTCTTCCGCAAAAACAACTGGCCACGCCCTCCTCGCGAGACTCGCAACTATAACCTTGATCCTCACTACCGGCTCACCCAGGCCAAACCTCTCGTAACATCCGATCGTCTCAGGCGGTTCGCCCGTTCCCCGAGTCTACACACTGTTATCGCCGTCTCCGTTGCGGGTGCGGTGGTATTCTACTATATCAACGTTCAGACCGTACCAGTGTCAGGCCGCCGCCGCTTTAATTGCTTTAGCGAGGAGTCGGTGGAGGCGGCGAGCGAAGCACAGGTCAAACGACTTATATGGGAGGTAGAACGTTCTGGCGGACGTTTCCTAAGCGACTGGGATCCACGCATGATCATGGTGAAGCGCGTCATGAGAAAGTTGATACCCGTATCAGGCATGGAAGATTCTAATTGGGAGATCAGGGTGATCGACGATCCCCGTACGTGAAAACCTCTGAATTGATCTGCCTCGGCGGATTTATGACACGAGACAAGATGAATCGATGCGCTAACAGCGATTAGACACCGCGAATGCATTCGTCCTTCCTGGCGGGAAGGTCTTTGTCTTTAGCGGCTTGATACCCATTGCCGGAAACGACGATGGCCTTGCGACGGTGCTAGGCCACGAGATTGCTCACAATCTAGCTGGGCACGTGGCCGAGCGCATGTCAGGACAGATTGGGATAAACATCCTTCTCTATTCTCTTATATTTCTCACGGGTGGGATAGCGATTCTAGGTACACAGTTCATTGGAAGCGCAGTCCTAGATCTTCTATTCTCGAGGCCCATGGGCCGCATGCAGGAGAGCGAAGCGGACTACATCGGTCTAATGATGATGGCGGAAGCTTGCTACGATCCGCGCGAAGCCATTGGTTTCTGGAAGCGTATGGAAAGGGCACAACAGGGAGAACCGCCTGAATGGCTGAGTACTCATCCTTCCGTATGTACACCATACTTTATGGAATATAATGAATCCTGAGTAGGCAGTCTGGCTAATGATATGCAGAACAACAACCGAATACAAAAAATAGGAGAATGGTTGCCTACTGCTTTGGACAAGATGCAGGCGAGCGATTGTAGGGGAACTTCGGCGTTTGCAGATTTATTTAGGAGGGCTATGGAACGGGGCGTACTCATAGAGTAGGGGAAATATTAGTTAAATTAAAGGCAGAAGGTTGAAGCTTCGAGATACCTGAGTGTTACCTACATTCATGTCTCTTAGATCCAATCGCATGGTAATGACTTTAAGCATATTGGTGAATCTTAAATATAAGTCAACTCTATCGTTGAAAGACTTCATAGTAAACATCCCTGAATCATGTGTTGTGACCTGTTAGGACGAAGCAGGATATGAGACCGCCAGTATCGCTCCGTGTTAGGCACATAATTATGTAGATCCGCTATCCCAGAAACATGCTAGTTCTCTCCATTTTACCTCTGCGGCGGTAAGGTTAGTGTATCCGGCGCACCAATAATATTGAAGGTAATTGAACCCCTGCTGAGTCTGTACCTTGGATGATGTTATGCCGAGGTTCTTGTGAATGGATTAAATCGCAGCGGGAAGTTTGCGATAAGCTGGCTTTCTTGTTTCTCAACAACCGCGAAGCTCCTGAGTCACCACAACACACGGATTTACTTATTCCATAGCGTTTATCATATAAATAAATAATTACTAGACATATCCTTCGTCTATCACAAATATTATACCAGAGAGACATCTTCCCAAGTTAAGCCGAGTTCTCCAAAGTCCAGCGCCGAATCCCGTATCTCTCCACCATGTCTCAGACATTCACAGCGAAAGATGTTGCCGACCACAAGGACGAGAAGAACGGCATGTACATAATCGTAGATAGCGGCGTCTATGATATCACAAGTGAGGCTATTCCCGTCCGACTCTCCTTTTCGCTACCGTCAACCGACTGGACTAACAACACTCTTCTCATCATAGATTTCCTCGACGAGCACCCAGGAGGAGCAAAGATCCTTAAGCGCATGGCCGGTAAAAATGCGACGAAACAGTTCTGGAAGTACCATGGCAAGAATGTTTTAGACAAGTACGGTGGTAAGCTGAAGGTTGGGGAGTTGACCGAGACGGCGAAATTATAAGATAGCGGGGAGTTGTATGACAGATTTAGTGCCAGGGGAATTATCTATATACCATAAGATCAGCAAAGTCGTGGTCACATACGTGATAGTGGTGTTTGGTTTGCATATACAGATGTACAAGTTATTAGTTTATTATGGGTTTGAAGTAATCTTGAGCATCATTGCTATAACATACTTGGGCTTTACAAAAGGTGCATATCATATCTACGAATCCGTTGCCCACAGTCAACTCCAATAATACTCATCCCTCTAGACCGGATCCCTACTCTAGAGCTCTATGGGTTTACTTGTCGTATGTTGGCTGTCTAAGTGCTGATATCCAAACATAACTTAATACTTTTAATGGTTGTGCAACCAGCATCAACTTGACTCAATTCTGAATCGTGACCCTTAGTCCTAGGCTGCTTTTACGTGTCACAGTCGTTATGAAATCCGAACGTATTGCAACAGCTTTCCTCATGATCTGATACGACTCCAATGTTAGACCACCCTGAATCTTAAGCAAGATGGACCTAGAACTTTCAACGTCTTATATGGCTAGCAGCATATGGTAGGGGTTAGCTGTTCAGGTCGAGGAGGTTCGAAAGGCTAAAATCTTCCAGAATGGATGTCGATCTCTCATAAAATTATTCGTAGCAACATACCGGAGAGCGGGAAAGAAACTCGCCGTTTGACTGAAGAGGCCAAGTTACTGCGACAAAACTTATAAATACGTCAACCTTAGGCATAAGAGTGGCTATTAATTTTAGAGGGAAGTTGTTGAGAAGATTAGCCAGGTACCTGATAGGCAAAATATGTGAGTTTTGAGATGAGCCAGTTGACTTGGTTCCACTAGTATATGAAGTTAGTAATCGGTATTGAGTCTCGAGTTGCAAGTTAGAATCGAAGAAGTAATGAAGCCTGTTTTATAAATTAGCGGCTTCTCAACTGACTTATGAAAAAGTCGAACTTGGTTTAAAGCAAAGAAAAGAAGGAAATCGAATCGGCTGAATATATTCACTAAAAAGCTGTATTAGAATTATCCTTGTCGAGACACTTATCCTCTTCGCCAAAATCATAAGCCTGAATGATATCTTTCGTTGCTGCTTGGAACGCAACGTTCATCCGCACGGCTTCACCAACTTTAGCCCACCCACCCATTTGATAGAACATGTTTGCGAGTATGTCATTGATGGCGGGCTCTAAGCGTCGCACATTCTGTTGCAAGAAAGTTTTTTTTTTTTTGAACTGGCCGACGCTTGCGATGGATTTTGTGATCTTAGATAACTGGAATCGACCCCATGGCTTACAATGTTTGAAGAACCGTCCAGTATCTTTCACATCTCTGCTTCGGAGACTGCGAGTATAATTTTCAATAAACATAGGGTTATTTGTATGGACTACATCTGGTGTATTTTCGATGCATCTCTATAACCCAGATGTACTGACCCCTTCGAAACATGTCATGATAGGCACTGTACTAAGCGGTCAATGCTAGATAACCTTACTCAGCATTTGCAACTCATCTTGTGTCTAATTGCTTCGGGCCACGAATATTTCTGACTGGCAAGTTTTGAGCCGGGAATCTTAGCAAGTGGGCTCAAGTATAGGCGATATGTCCCAAGTCCTATGATATAGAAACTAAAAGTGGCCGGAGGCTGGTTGGCCAATCTAGATTAAAGATTACGCGTAGGTATCTTAACATCGTTGAAAGATTGCTAGTCGAGCTGGTTTCGTGTAACATGATAATGTTATCGCTAACGTCAAGAAAATAGAACTCTATTCCGTAATTTCATGATATACACCCTGTGCGAGCATTCGAAGGATTCAATTGGCCCACTTGGGTCTTGTTTAAATGCCAGGGGTACGCAAGCTTAGAGACAAAGTGATTGAAGTTCAAGGCTTGTTTTCTTCGTTTATAATCGTAATCCAAGATGAAGAACCAGCAGTATTCTCCATCGTATCTGTATCTCTCAATGCCTGTTATTGCCGGATAGCGATGTCTTCGCCTCAAAGTTTCATAGACCAGGAACGAAAGATTTAGCCCACTGCTAATTGGTATACTAGCCTAACGTATCCGGGATCTGCCTGGTTTGGACTGAATTAACGTTCTGCCTAGAAACTTTGGTTTCCAGGTACGAGTATACTGATCTCGAAAGCCCATTGAATACCTAAGTAGCGAGTTAAATAGATGTGTAATTGGTAAGGTAGATATTGATAATAGGTAAAGTGACATTTTGGTAGAGATTTAGAAAATGGATACGGTTCGTTGTCAGTTGTCTTGAGATGATTTCCATATCCTTGCAAGGTAAACAGAAATATTCCCAAGAAAGGAATGCTCCACAACGGCGCTAGGTTCAACGATGCGCGATTGAAATTTCCAAAAGACTAGCTTACGGTTAGTACTGTGCTATTATCATGTACTCAGCTACTTAGATGTATGTGTTTACGTCTAAATATTCTACTTGTGCTATAAATTAAATAGAATTGCTGCGAGCCATCAACTTCGACAACGCGTCTATGCGTCGTCTACTTAACTGTCTGTTCTATCACTAGTAGATCGCCAATAGGGCACATCTACATCGTAAGTCTGGCTCCATCGACGATTTAAGGCTTGGCTTCGCTAGGATCTGTGTACATGTAACAGTACCATAGTATGGAGGAAAGTCTTAATGTACCGAGGTGTCATATAAGTCGTAAAACTGAATTGATACTCTTGGAAAAGGTAACATTTAAGTGATTCAATAAATTCACGCATTACTGCTACCCTGTTTTCTTACTGTAGTGTAATATTTCTGGAAGCCCTGGGAGGTTACGAAAGGAGAAATAATAGAAGAGGCTTTTTAAGACAATTGGAAGTCTCTAAGTGGTAAATAGTACTTGCAGTTAGCATTGCTTCTTGCGATAACGACAAGGTACCTATCACTATCGCATGACTGTCACGAAAAGGGTTTAGGCCATCACAAGCCGGACGCGGACTAGTGCTGTAGCAGGCAATGGCCGTACGCCTGCAAACCTGACATCACCGCACTTGGACCATAAACAACGGCCCTAACCAGGTAGTGAACTCCACATCTCTCTCTTCGACTTCTCCATCCGTAATTCCAGTTCCTAAATCCTACGATACCGCCCTTCTCCAGAATCCACCAGCTATCGGTTTCCGCAACGCCGAAGACCTCCGTAGCAATTCGTAGAGAGTCTTCTGCATAGTGGATTACGGATATTAAACTGTAAGTAAATATTCCTTTTCCAATTGATATTATTATGAGTATACAATATGCATATCTTTATTGCGTGGCCAAAATCGGGTTTACTCGCGAGCTCAGACCCTCGCCGCCTTTCGCATTCCCCATTGCGCCGATCAGATGTTCGTTAGCCATACCTAATTCTGCCAATTTGCGGCATTACAATAAATACAGCTATCCACTCAGTGGATCCGGTGACCCCGGTGCCTGTAGACCTCCACCTACAAAATCGCGCAGAGCTTCAAGCCGCCCTGGTTGCTGCACGCTTACCGAGCTGCCGCCCCGGACAAGCTTTTTTTGTTGCCCTCGTCTCCAGGTCTAACGCCGAGAGCTCATCTTATTATTTTCCTTTTTGACCCGGATCTCTCCCACCTTTTTCTAACTTCTTGTTCTGCTCTTTTACTCCTTCAACTCACTTGTCCTTGTGGAAATCTTCTCACTCGATCCTATCCAAGGGCCTGTGTTGTTCGCAGATTTAGCTTCTCTGACTTGTCAAGCAACAGTTAAGCTCATCCACCACCACCAAGCCACTTATCTGCATTCCGCATAGCAACCACAGAAGTTATCCTTCCGACCGCTTAAGAGGTAAGCCGCATTTCTATGAAATCAATCAATTGGGAGTTTGAAAAGCTTGCCAGCAACAATATCAAAACATACAAACATATATCATCATTTCATTCGCGTTACCGAATTTCGTCCGAGAGAGCTCTGCGATCCTGAGTCAGATCTATTCGATTCCAATGAATTGTTACATGCGCCTTTTTAATTGCATCTTACCGCAACGCGCGAATTTTCTTGTGTTGGGACAGATGTACTAAGATCAAATTGTTCAATTGATCTACTTGCAGCTCCCATTGATAGACGCTGGACTTGGGATAACATAGTACTAACTCAATTCGTAGTTTGTCAATATGCCTGCCATCAACAACGCCGTTGTCGCTCGCGACACCCTCAACCACATCGTCCGCCGTGAGAACTGGGCTGTACGTGAACCAATCTTATCATTTCCACCTAAACTGTTGATTACATCCAAACAGATTTGCTTTAGGGAAATGTTATATACAATATAGGGACATACTAACTTTCAATAGCAACAAGAAGCTGGCGTTATTGTCGTCTTCTGCATCGTTTTCGTCGTCGCTGTTGGTCTAATCGGTCTCTGGATATCCAAGGCTGTTGCTAAGCGAAGAGCCACGAAGGCCGCCATCCCCGCGTAGGGGCTGTTAAACGAGAACATGCGGGGAGGTTTGGAGGGTCTAGGAGGAAAGGGGGAGGGGGTTGGTACAAACGACGGAACGAGACATCAATAACGTGTTACCTATTTCGATTCGACAATCCGTCCGTCCTTCACGAATATGGCGTATCGTATTCGAGGGACCTGGGACCTAAAGTCGGTGGTCCAAGAAAGTTGGCCATGTCTTGTGTTACATGCTCAAATACCACTTAATGAACTCTTATCAAGAGGTGTTAGTCTCGATAGAGTCCGAATACTCTTAATTTCTCTAATGACAATCAGTTTAAGAATATCCGAGGCTTTTCGTTGTGGTTATAAGTGATTTACTGTCTACATGTCCTTTCTTTGCTACTCCGTCTTAGTCACCCATGTATCCATGTTTCTCAAGCTTCGCAATCCAGAAGGTGTAAAAGAGCATGCAAGATCTATCCTTTATACTTTAGACATCAGTAGAGCTCCATCTTCTCTAGATGTATTAGTCCGTTAGCCGGCTACGTACATATTAGTGTTAGTTCTTATACCCACCTTCATGCCTGACTTCATAGCTCGAGGGATGATTGAAAATGAGTACTTACCGGAGAAAATTGTCTTAACTTTACTCCAGCGTTCCGAAAGATTTCCGCCGTTTCCGTATCCATGCTGTATCCTTGACTATATACTACCTCGGTGATACCAACCTGTACAATTTTGATACTACACGTCAAGCATGGACATGTGTTGCAGTACAGAATGCTTCCGTCGCGGATCCTCTCACGACCGGCTTCTAATAAGGCATTTTCCTCCGCATGAAGGCAAAGACAGGTAGATAATGCCGCTCCGCTGCTCTCTCCCGAGTTACACCGCGGACAGCCGCCTTCGCCGCAATTTAATAGGTGCCGTGGGGTCCCGTTGTAGCCCGTGCTGATGACGTGATGCTTGGAATCTACTAATACGCACCCTACGGCGCGTTTCATGCAATTACACCTCTGCGCTGCGAGTGACGCTAAAGCCATGAAGTAGCTATCCCAACTAGGGCGCAGACGGTCAGGATTCGTCAAATCCAGCTTACCCAGCGTGGCATACAGGTGTGCAAGGTCCGAAGAGGTGTTCAGCAACCGGATCGCGGCCCGTGACATGAGCGGAAGAACACCGTATGAGACATCATAGAGATGCTGATCAGATTGGGATACAAACTCTTCTAGACTGATGGGGTCTTGGTTTTCTGTCTCCTGTTTCTCACTACTTCGTCGCTGGTAACGCTGCCACCGTACAGTCAGAGGCGCGTCGACGCTGATTAGAATGAAGAATGGTCGTCGACTCAAGGTCTCGAGGACGGCCTCATCATGAACGTCTGTTGTGACCCAGCGCGAGCGCCAGTGCTTTGTTACGAAATCCAGAAGGGCCGTAGTTGTAGAGAAGGTATAGGACGGGAATAGCTTCCGAGATAGAGGAAGACCTTTCTTAGAGGCATCGGAGATGATCAAATCTAAATCGGAATCGGAATCGAATGTGTCCGAGTGAGTCTCACTCTTAGGTGCTGACAATTTTAAGTGTAGCTTCTTGAAGCCGTGATGCTCTATCAGGTACTGAGCTACGGTGCTCTTACCGGCACATTTCGCTATGATTTAGGGTAAGCAAGAACTCTTCAAGGAGACAGGCCGGCAAGATAATAAATAAAAACCTTACCGCCACAAATTCCTATCAGCATCTTTTTACGGAAAGAAATATATATAAGTTTTTGCAATGATGTAGTGCAACATCAAAGTGAAGTCTAGAAGACATGGACTGCATCTAGATGTCGTTAGGCAATTTCTTCCCAATGTACCTAAAGTACTGTACCTAGAGCCTGTGAAATGGGGCCCTTGCATCCACTGAAGACGCGTCTTGTCGCGTGGGAGAAAGGAGAAAGAAAGCCACTACCGGAATTTAGCCAGCCACTTAGATGTACCTTATGTACAGATCCTCACTTATAAAGCAGAAAACTACTTAGATACTTACGGTTTAGGTGTGAATATGCATATTTTGTGCATGAGTAGTAGGTACCTAAAGTTCAAATAGAAGCCCATTGCCAAGAGGGGCCTAGAAGGAGCACCTGCAGCAGCTATCCGATGTTCAGGTGCCCCTGGCCGCCTAGTAGGCAGGGCAGGCTGGAAGGTCACGTCAGCATCAGCGGAGAAGGTCCGTGTTGCAGCCCTACATTTACATCAGCAGCATCTCACTACTCATGGTCACGCCGTAGCTTTCGGGATATAGCCATGTGATCCTATTTGTACAGTAATTAATAAGTTAGAAAGTATATTATTCTTAGACAAAATATTTAGTATTTATTGTCTTTACATCCATCATCCGATCTTAGTTATTTTTATTTCTTGTTCCCTGTTGTTAAATTGTTACTGTAGGTAGTTTTTTTTTAAATGATTTGGTTGATGTAAGGTACCTAATATATCTCTAGGATAGGCAGGTTCGATCTCCATCATATGTCATCCCTTCAAAACTCCAACCCACCTTCGAAGCAGAACACATCGCCCCGCTCTCACCAACTTAGAGCCGACTTGATTTGAATTGCCCCTCCTACCTCATACGTCCCCTCAATATTCAGAGAATATTTACTACATCTTTTTCTTATGATATCTGATATACCATTGATTCGTAGTAAACCATCGCACGACCATAATTCCCAAAACGCGGTTTAGGCGCATTTCCTAGCGCCCTCACGTTCATCACCCTACATACCTGTCTGCCTAGGTATTCACTATCACTACGCCGCATTGGCTAATACCTGTCGGCGACATGGCTGCACTCAAATTTGCGCCCTTCTCGTCTGAGATTGAGCTACCCTTTTACTCGGCCTTGTTTGCCTCCAAGTTAGATCATGATAAGCTCAGTGACTCGGCACGACCAGTTTTAGGGCTCTATGAGCCTCGCCCTGGCACTGCTCCGGACGACAGTGTAAAGATGCAGGTGCTGGCCAGCGCTCTTACTAGTAATAAGTACGTTTTTTTTTTTTTTTTTTTTTTTTTTTTTTTTTTTTTTTTTTTCATTGTATCCTACGTCTCTCACTATTATAACCCAGCCTTTATAGCTAACTACGTCGTCTGCAGTGTGCCGTTAAATGCTGTGAGAGCAGAAGGTATAATCCGAAACACAAACACCTTAGATGCTTTTAAGCAAGTAGATAAGACAGAGATTCATAAGGCCGCACGCCAGGTAATTTCTTTCTTTCTAATCCATCACTTAGTTATCACTAAGCCGGTACTAATACAAGTATTCTTAGATATGGGATGCAATCAAAGATGGAACCATCTATTCTGTCCCTTCGCTCCTCTCTCATTACATTATACTATCTTATGCAGATCTCAAGAAGTACAGGATGACCTACTGGTTTGGATTTCCAACCCTACACTCGGATCCCCAGTGGAAGCGTACCGGGGATATTCTTCGCTTCACTCCAGATGAGACTACCGCCTTAGTCGACCGCGTAGGGACTTGGCGATATACTGTTGACCCCAGAGAGCATGGCTTCTTCCTTGCCAAAAAGGTTCAGGGAAATAGGAAGACTATTATGCAATCTTCGCTTGAGGTTCCAGCGGAGGATATCGGATACAGATGGGAAGTTGGATCACTTCGCGAATTTGAGACTGGGTTCTTCCGCGGCGTTCCCGAAAGTGACAAATATGTGGCATTTGTTGACCCTTCTACCTACGACGAGCATCCTGCATGGCCTCTCAGAAATCTATTGATTCTTGTGAGACAACGATTCCATCTAACCAACGTTCAAATTCTCTGCTACCGGGACATACAAGCACGAAGACACGAGGCCCGCAGCATAGTTCTTCCTCTCGCTATAGACCCCGTGGAAAGCATAGAAACGACTGAAATGCCGAAAGCGACAGGTTGGGAACGCAACGCAGCTGGGAAATTAATGGCGAGGTCCGTGAGCCTAGCAGAATCTATGGACCCGACTCGATTAGCAGACCAATCAGTTGATCTCAACCTCAAACTGATGAAATGGCGGGTTTCACCGGATCTCAATCTCGACATCATCAAGAATACCAAATGTCTTCTTCTTGGTGCTGGTACGCTTGGTAGCCACGTATCAAGAAATCTTATGGCATGGGGTGTGCGCAAGATCACATTTGTTGACTATGGCGCAGTATCCTTCTCCAACCCTGTGAGACAGCCGTTATTCACATATAATGACTGCTTGAAGGGAGGAGCTCCGAAGGCGACCCGAGCAGCAGAGGTGCTAAAAGAGATTTATCCCGGAGTTGACAGCGAGGGTCATGTTCTTTCGGTTCCTATGCTTGGCCATCCCATAGTAGGGAAGACCCAGGGGGATTTTGAACAGCTGAAATCCCTCATAGATGAACATGATGTGATATTCCTTTTACTGGATAGTAGAGAGTCGAGATGGCTCCCTACCGTGATGGGCAAGGCCGCCGGAAAGATTGTCATGAACGCAGCTCTTGGCTTCGATTCCTACGTAGTCATGAGACATGGTGCTGAACCCAAGGATGATAGTGAGGAAACATTGGGCTGTTACTTCTGCAACGATGTCGTGGCACCTGGAGACGTGAGTTACCTATTTGGAGTCGCCTTTTCCTGCTAACCTTTGAATAGTCACAAAAAGACTTGACTCTTGACCAGCAGTGCACGGTAACACGGCCTGGCATCGCTGGCATCGCGTCAGCTCTCGTTGTTGAGCTTTTGACAAGCCTCCTGCAGCACCCCCTGGGTCACCATGCCCCAGCCCCCGCGAGTTCTTCATCAGGCATATATGACAGTAATCCCGGTGACGAATATGCTCTTGGAATAGTACCCCATCAACTCCGTGGGTTTCTGCACAACTTCCAAACTCTCAAAATCAAAGGCCATTCGTACCCGTGCTGCAGTGCATGCAGCAAGCCAATCATTTCCGCTTACAGAACACAAGGGTGGAGTTTTGTCAAGCGTGCACTTGAGGACAAGGAATATATAGCTGAGCTCAGCGGTCTAGCTGAGGTTCAGAGAAAGGCCGAGGCAATGGCGGATGAGGTAGACTGGGAGGAGGAGGAGGAGAGGGCGAAAAAGAGGGTGATGACGAAGGAGTACTCGTATAGAACCTTCTCCTTCGCGTTCACCACGACCGCTGCACACGACTAAGGAAGACACGAGTCGACCGTTTCAAATTTTGGAAATGGCCTCGATGGTCTAAGATAAGGTGGAATGGTAGCCTTTCATCGAGTAACTCTCAGGAATATTCAATTCGCGCGCCGCCTTATAGGATATCATATGGGTCGAGCACCCTTTCGTCTGAGGAAGTCGAGATATTCGGACCGAGGTTAGTGCGGCTGCATAACACCTCAGATGGCACAGCAGATACTATTGTGTCCATTGGGGAGATTCTCAAAGAGGGCCCACCTTTAGTATGATAGCGAATAGTCTTGATGTGTTACGTCTTGCATTAAAGGGGACTACTTGTATAATTGAGGTCTCATCGAGGTCTAGAACGGGGTAGGGATGATTTGAAACGGTGGAGTTAGGAATTGCAAGACCTTGAGGAAATTCGGTCTAGGTTTAAGGACACTCGAATGAGTTTGGAGTTTTCTGCAGGTTTACAATGCCGCTAGAAGGACGGCGGCTAACATGATATTGCACTCATAGACAGGTACCATGCAAATACCAGGGGAATTCTCAGTCATGGGGCTAAGATGGGATTGGCGGTACAAAAATAATTGCTCAGGTGTTGATACTGAGATTGGCTGGCCAGAACAAACCAACTATCCAGAGTCAGGTCATCCCTGATAACGCGGCCGCATAGTAAACAGTAAACTTGTAGAAAATGGTTGAAGCTAATAGGACCGAGAAAGTTAACCTCATTATGACGACAACGGTCCAGACCTAGTATACAGTAGATGACTCAGTTAGCATACTAACTGACTTCTCCTATAAATCTCGGCTGGGGGTTCCCCAGTGTATTCGTTTTAAGAAATCTACCTAGGTACACAGCTGAAGAAGAGGTGGTGTATTTACGCTGCTTTTGTATACTTCAGAACTGAACTAACGGGGACCATTATCAGGATGATTACTAAGTGAAGGATCTTTCTAGGGTATGGGATCCTCTTGGATATTTGACATAATAAGGTTATGGTCGTAAATATAGCCCTCAAGAACTCTCATAAGACTTGGGTATGGTTTTAAACTACCTATCTATACTCAAGCCCACCCCACAACCCCGGACGAAGACAACTTTCTGACACTTGTCATTGAATGTGGACCTACTTCGGCTAGACTTATCCGTAATTCCTGGTGGCACTTTCAGGATGGAAGTTGTTAATTACTCGAGTCATTGGAACTCCACATATGGGTAGCTAGTGTAAGATAGTAGAAAGATCTGACAGCTTAGAAGAGAGATTACAGGCATAAGGCCAACAACTACCGGCAGATCACTCCGATGTCTCTCCGCTACACCCGTCCCGTGGGATACACTATGGTTTCATGATTATAGTTACATACTTCCGCACTGCTCTAAAGGCTGTAGTACGACACGTTCGGCCCACCAAGTCGTAAAATCGTGGGGTTCTTATACACTCCGCGAGTCGTAAGGCTTTGATTTTATTCTCTTAAGGTCACGTTTGAGATCGAAGTTGACGCGGCAGGCAGTTTCTATTATGATTATTTGAGTTACATGATGGTCTCCAGTATTACCAGAATAGTATAAAGTAACCGATCGTCTCGCCCCTTTGCAACAGAGGACATCATCTACACTTCATCAGTTCTAACCCTATCTCTTTTCTTACCCACTATATCCAATCTTAACTTTGAAGCTTATTTCATTGACGACATCAAGCCCTTCCATGATCCCTTAACCAGAACCCCAAAGTTTTTACACCTCTCATCAAAATTTTACGGGCAGTTACCCAACCAGCCAGCAATATGGCTCAGCTACAAGAACTTGAGAGCGCCGCGTGCGATGTTATCCAAAACGTAAAAGAGATACAGGATCTCAAACATGCGAGACTCTCGGTCATCGGAGGGTTAGCATTAATGCATTACCTCCCTGAATACCGCTCGACAGATGTAAGATAACCTAATACTAAATATCTATGACTCATGAGCTAATAGCATTTCTAAAGAATATTAATTTTATTACGAATATATCGACCTCTCCAAGTTCGCTAAAAAAAAAGTTGGTAGAGCGGCCAGAATCGCCCTTCTTCCAACGTTCACAGGCACTCTACTATAGAGCACCTTGCGGCCAGGAAATCCGAGTTGATATAAGCCCGGAATGGCTTGTAAGTTCTGAACCTTGAGTAGAATCTTCAGTTAGCTAATTGCGACAGTCGCCTTACCTCCCAGACTCAGCTGTAAAAGTACAAACATATCACGCGACGAAGTCCCGTATATCTCCCTTACCGATCTCATCGTATTCAAGTTGGATTCGAGCGGGCTGCGATCTAACCCCATAAAGAAGGAGCGCGATGCACAGGACGCTGCGGCTTTGGTCGATTTCGCCACGCACAAAAGCTCCCTACATCTTTCCGAGAAGCAAGAGCAGGTCGTAGAAGAAGCGCTCTGCGACGTAGCGAAATGCGGCACTAAGGAAAAGGGCTGGTGGGAGAGACGCATGGGCTTGATAAAGCAAGCTGCCGATGGATCTCCTTACGACAGCGGAGGCCGTGAGCGCAAGCCGAACCGGCCTCATTCTAAATCAGACCCTTCGCCATCTAAGAGTCCGCTTACAAACGACCCTAACGCAGCTTGGCACTATGAGGCTGGATCACGCACACATCCGGCGGTTCAACTCGCTGCACAGTAGCCGGGGCGCGAACAGGCCGGGAATCCCCCGCTCCTCTTCGCAACGCATGATTAGGGACACGGGCTTCACCATGACACAGCCGAAGACGACACGACAGCGAGCTACCAACTCGGCGTAAGGCGGTCCGGCCTGAGCAGCGAGATCAACGCCGAGCCGAACTGCTATGGTAACGTAGGCGAGCAATACTACACCCTCGAGCCGGGCGAGAACATGTCGGGGCGGGCTTCGCCGGCAGGGTACTTTGACGTTTCCCGTACGCCGCCGGGTGGCCTGGGAACGGTGACAGAACATACCGTGGGGTTCGACGAAGCTCTAAGTCGGGATACTTCGATCTTACCCCTGGAGCTATACCTAGCACCATGTCGCAGCCTAGGAGGCCCCCGGGTTTGGACAAGAGGAGTGTTACGTTCCTCCTATAGACGGGAGCAAAGACCTTGCGACATGTTTCGCCGTGGATATTGTCGCGAGCTATGTATTATTTTGTAAGCTTTCGTGATGCAATACCCAGTTTGTTTGTTTGTTTTCCGTCTGTATTTTTTTTTTTAAGTTCTTCGTTCCAGACACTTCCTTTTTATGTATGTCCTTTGGTTAAATGATGGCAGGGTGCAGCTCTTGTATGATGATGATGTATACATAGGTAGATGCTGCGTGTTGTAGAAGCAATAGTTTTGATAAAAGTCAAATAAAGTTTGAAAAAAAAAAAAAATGAATAAATAATACATAAGATATGATAGTTATACGAGAAACATAAAAGTCACGATGTTCTCGTGTAAATAGTAGGGTACCATACAGTGCTTACAGTGCAGCGTGAATGCAGTAAAACACCTAACTGATGCAGAAAGTTAGGTGAGGGGAATAGGGGCTCGAGCACTTGGCAGGTGACTCGTAATAATGTGCTTTAGTGCCCTTGTGGCTTGTGGCGCGGGGAATGAGGATCATCTGTTAGTGAAATCTTGTGACACTTTGAGTAACTACGGCGGACCATTATGACATTAGTGCCAAAATCAAAAAAATTGGTTAGATCTATCCAAAAAGGCTAGTATACAAGGTATACAGTATACTATGCGGGATATATACAAAATTCTTATATTATTTAGCTTTTTAAATATTCTTATTAAAAATTTTGTTGGATTGACTGGGGAATCGATTCAGTTACTTTGTATCACCAATTACCCTTGTAGTAAAAGTGATGTCCTATTGTATTGATTGATGATGAAAGAGGAAGATCTACGAAAAGTGGGGGAATCTAAATACAATTGGATTAGGGTGTGGGTGGGGCCCAACCCGTGGTCACATGACAATGCTAGGTGCCATTGTCACGTGACTATAATCCCAACAAATTTAAAGAAAATATTATTATTTTAATTAAAATATAAGAAAACTATTAAATTAATTATATTATTTAAATTTATTTTATAAAATAATATATTATATATTATAATATATATGGGATTTTAAAATATTATAAAAGTATCACGTATTATATAAACTTATTAAATATTATATAATACGTTATATAATACGTTAGCTAAAAATATATACATATAATTTATATCATTATTTTTAAATTAATTAAACTATAAAATAATATTAATTATATTTTTTAAATAATATATTTAATAAAATTATTTAAATAAATTATTTAAATACGTATAAATATTATTATTAAATTTAAATATTTTAAAGTTAAAGTAAAAGTAATATTTAATTAATTAATTAATCTTTTAAACTTTTAAATAAAAAAATTATTTAATATAACTATTTTAATATCTTTACAATTTAAGGTTAAATTACATACAATTTAAATATTAATTTTTATTGTTTTTTTAATCAATATATTAATTATTTAAAAAATATTTGGATACATATTTATAAATTTATTATAATATAAGGTTAAAAAAGGTTTAATTATATATAACGCATATTAATTAAACTTACACTATATTTTTGCCTTACTATTACCTTATTAAATACTGGAGGCCACCCCGAGGGGCGACACAATCCTTAAGTTTATTAAATAAAAAAAACTTTTTTTAATATTTTAAAATTAAAAATATATAAAAATTAATAAATAATTAATAAATTATACATTAATAATTAATATTTTATTATTTATTATATTTATTATCTTTTTTATTTCATTTTATAATATTAATACTTTATAAATATTCTTTTTCCTCTTCTCCCCCTTTTCTCTCCTCATTTCTTCTTCTTCTTTCTTTTTTCCCCCCCTTCCCCCTCCCCTTCCCCTTTTTTTTTCCTTTCCTCTCCTTTTCTTTTTCTTTTCCTCCTCTCTTTTCTTTCCTCTTTTCTTTCCTTTCCTTTCCTTCCTTCCCTCCTCCTCCCTCTCTTCTCCTCCTTTTCTTTCCTTTTTTCCCTCCCTTCCCCCCCTTTCCTCCCTTTCCTCCTTCTTCTCCCCCTCCCTTTCTCCTCCCCTCCCTTTCTCTCCTCTTCTTCCTTTTCTTCCTTTTCTTCCTTTTCTTCCTTTTCTTCCTTTTCTTCTTTTCTTCCTTTTCTCTTCTTCTTCTCTTTCTTTTTTTTTTTTTCTTTCCCCTTTTTTCTCTTTCCTCTCTTCCCTCCCTCCTCCTCTCCCCTTTTTTCTTCTTTTTTTCCTTCCTTCTTTTCCCCTTTTCCCCCTCTCCCTCTTTCTCCCTTTTTCTTCCTTTTTCTCCCTCCCTTTTTTCTTCCTTCCCTCCTTCCCCCCTCCCTCTTCCCTCTTCCGTCCCTCCTCCCTCCCTCCCCCTCCTCCCTCTCTTCTCCCTCCTTCCTCCTTCTCCCCTTCCTCCCTTCTTTTCCTTCCTTCCTCTCCTCTCCTCCTTTCCCCTTTCTTCCTTTCTCTCCTCTTTCTTCCCCTTTCTCCTCCTTTTTTCTTTTCTTTCCTCTCCCCTCCCTTTTCTCTTCCCTCCCTTCCTCCCCTTTCCCCTCTCTCTTTCTTTTCCTTTTTCTCTTTTCCTTCTTTTCCCTCTTTTCCCCCCTCTTCCTTCCTCTCTTTCTTCCTTTTTTCTTCCTTTTTTCTCTTCCTTTTCTCCTTTCTCTTCTCTCCCTCCTCCCTTTTCTTTCCTTTCCTTTTCTTCTTCCTTCTTTCCCTCCCTCCCCCTCCTCCCTCTTTTCCCTTTTCTCTCTCCTCTTTCTTTTTTCTTTTTTCTTCCTTCTTTTCCTCCGTTTTTTCTCCTCCTCTTTTCTTCTCTTTCCTCTCCCTCCTCCCTTTTCTTTTCCCTCCTCTCTCTCTCCCCCTCTCTCTTCTCTCTTCCCCTCTTTTCCTTCCCCTTCTTCCTCTCTCCCCTCTCTTTTTTTCTTTCCCCTTCTCCCCCCCCTCCCCCCTTTTTCCTTTCTTTTCTCCCCTTTTCCTTCTCTCTCTCTTTTTCTCTCTTTCTTCTTTCCCCTCCCCTTTCTCTTCTTCTCTTCTTTTGCTTTTTTTCTCTTTCTTCCTTCTTTTCTTCCTTTTTCTCCTCCTTCTTCCCCGCTTTTCCTCTCCCTCCCCCCCCTTTCTCTCCTCTCCCTTCTTTCTCTCCTCTTTCTTTTTTTTTCTTCCTTTCTTCCTCCTTTTCCCTTCTTCCCCTTCCTTCCTTCCCCCCTCCTTTCTCCCTCCTTCTCTTCTCTCTCCCCCTCTCCTCCCCCCCTCTTTTTCTCTTTTCTTTTCCCTTCTCTTTTCCTCCCCCCTTTTCTTCTTCCTTTTTCTTCTTCTCTCTTTTTCCTTTTTCCCTCCCTTTTCCTTTCTTTTCTTTTCTTTTTTTTCCCCCCCCTCCCCCTTCTCTTCTTCTCCCTTTTTTCCTCCCTCTGTTCTCCTTCTTTTTCCCTCTTTCCTCTCTTTCTTCTTCTTCCTCTCTCCCTTCTCCTTCTCTCCTTCTTTTCTTTTTTTCCTTCCTCTCTCCTTTTCTTCCTTCTTTTTCTTTCTCCTTTCCCTTCTCTCCTCCCTTTTTCTTTCTCTCTTTTTCTCTTTTTCTTTTTTCTCTTTTTTCTCTTTTTTCCCTTTCTTCTTCTCTTTCTTCTTCTTTTCTTTTCTTTTTTTTTTTCTTCTTTTTTCTTCTTGTTTCTTCTTGTTTCTTGTTTTTTCTTCTCCTCCTCCTTCTTCTCCTCCTTTTTCTTTCCCCTTCTCCCTCCTTCTCTCCCCTCCCCTCCCCTTCCTTCCTTCCCCTCCCCTTCCCTTCCCTTCCCCTTCCCCCTCCGTCTCCTCTCCTCTCCCCTCCCCTTCCCCCCCTTCCTGTCCCCTTCCCCTCTCCCCTTCCTCCCTCTTTCTTTTTCCTCTCTTCCCCCTCTTTTCTCTCCCCTTTTCCTCCCTTTCCCCTCTCTTCTTTCTCTCTTTTTTTCCTCCTCCTCCCCCCTCCTCTCCCTCCTTTTCCCCTTCCTCCTTCTCTTCTCTCTCCCCCCCTTTCCCCCCCTCCTTTTCTCTTTTCCTCCCCCTTTCTTTTCCCTTTTCCTTCTTTTCTTCTTTCTCTTCTTCCCCCTCTTCCTTTCTTCCTCCTCTTTTTTTTTTTCTTTTTCTTCCTTCCTTTTCCTTCCCCTTGCTCCCTTCTTCGCCCCCCTTCTCCTCCCTCCTCCTCTCCTTTTTTTTTCTTTCCTCTTTCTTCCTTCTTTTCTTCCTTTTTTCTCCTCCTTTTTCCTCTCTTTCTTCTCCTCCTCCCTTCCCTCTTCTTCTTTTCCTTCTTTTTCTTTTCCTCCTTTCTCTTTTCCCTTTTCCTTTCTTCTTTTCCTTTTTCTTTTTCCTTCTTTTCCTTTTTTTCCCCCCCTCCCCTTTCTTCTTTCTCTTTCCTCCCTTCCCCCCTTCTCCTCTTCTCTTTCTCTTCTTTCCTTTTCTCCTCCTTTCTTCCGTTTCTTCCCTTTTTCTTCCTCTCTCTCTTTTTTCTTCTTTCTCTTCCCTCCCTTCCCCCCTTCTTCTCCCCCTCCCCCCTCCCCCCTCCTCTTCCCTTCCTCCTCCCCCCGCTTTTCTTTCCCTCCTCCTTCCCCCTTCTCTCCCCCTTGTCTCCCTCTTCTCTCTCTCTCTCTCTCTCTCTCTCTCTTTCTTTCTCCTCTTTCCCTTCCCTCTCCTTCCCTCCCCCTCCTCTCCTCCCCTCTCTCCCTCTTCTCTTCTCCTTCCCTTCTCTCCTCCCCTCTCTCTTTCTCCTTTCCTTTCTTTCCCTTCTGGTTCTTCTTTCCCTCCCCCCTTTTCCTCTTCCTTTCCTCTTCTTTCTCCTCCCTCTTCTCTCTTTCTCCCCTTTTTTTCCCCCCCCTTCTCTTTCCCTCCTTTCCTTTTTCCCCTTTCTCTCCCCTTCCCCTTCTCTTCTTCTCCCTTTCTTCCTCCCTCTCTTCTTCTTCTTTTTCCCTCTTTCCTCTTTTCTTCCTTCTTCTTTTCTTTTTCTCCTTCTTTTCTCTCCTTTTCTTCTTCTTCTTTTCTTTTTTTCCCCCCCTCTTTCTTCCTTCTCTCCCCTTTCTTTTCCCTCCTTTTTTTCCTTTTCTTCCCTTCTCTTTCTTTTCTTTTCTTTTCCTTCTTCCTTTTCTTCCCTTTTCTTCTCCTTCTTTCTCCTTTTCCTTCCCCCTTCTCTCCTCCTCTTCTTTTCTCTCCTCTTTCTCCTTCTCCTCCCTCCTCTCCTTTCTCCTCCCCTTTCCCCCCTCTCTCCTCTCTTTTCTCTTTTCTTTTCTTCCCTCCTCTCTCTCTCTTTTTTTTCCCTCTTCTCCTCTCTTTTCCTCCCCCTTTCTTCTCCCCTTCCTTCCCCCCTCTCCCTCCCCTCCTCCCCTCCTCCTTCCTCCCTCTCTTCCCTCCCTCCCCCTCCTTCTCCTCTCTTTCTTCCTCCCTTTCCCTCCTCTCCTTTTTCCTTTTTTCCCTCCCTTTCCCCCTTTCCTTCCCTCTTTTCCCCCTCTTCTCCCCTCCTCCTCCCCTCCTTCCCCTCTTCCCCCCTCCCTCCTCTTTTCTCCCCCCTTTTTCCTTCCTTTTTTCTTCCTTTCGCCTCTTCCCTCCGGTTCCCTCCCTCGCGCCCGGCTGCGATGTAGGCTACAAAGCTCTACCTCTAGCATACTAAAATCTCTTGACACAAACCTTAAGTAAACTTAAGGCATAATGCCACCTATTTTCTTAATTTTGGCACTAATGTCATAATGGTCCACCGTAGTAACCTAACCTAGGTACCTGTAACCAACCTAAACCTTTTTTTATTTTTAGATAACTACATGTAACCTTTTCAACATCTGAATAGTTACAGCAATTATACTACTCTACAAAAATACTTGCAATATATATTACAATACTTATTCTCAGTTCGAAAAAGAGGAGTCGGTAATCAAGGGAACACAACGGAATTTTGGTTGCAGGGATTCCCCTTTTTGGGAGAAGTCGGCATCGTGTCTAGGTGTCTGGGTGTCATAATCGGCCATCACGTGGGCTCAATAAGACATTGGCCTTGAACCGCTTTCGGGGCCTTGGATATTTATTTTTACAGAAATACTCCATCTACCAACTTAGACCCTTACCGAGGTTCTTACCGGCCTTACGAATCGAATGAATGGGTTACAGTGCCCAACTTCCATGTCTTCGTTCCTCTATTCCCACTATGAGATTTCCGTCCTTACGCCCCAGGCGCCAGGAGTCTGTTCATGACTACGTCGGCGTGTTGGTTCCGCTCGAGGAGGCGCACTTGCATAGCCACTCCGCCAGATGCGGGAAGCGAGTTCGACGAGGTTAGGACTAGTTCCGATGGACCCGCTGCCGACGAGCTCGAGGTAGGCCTGCCGAAAGATGACGACAACGAGAATACGGGCATGCTGCAGATGAGCGCTGCCGAGTATACTATCGCTGGCTTGAGAAGGGAGGTGCGTGAGGGCCAGAGACGACGTCAATGGTCCGAGTATGAATGTGAGCTCCTGTTTCTCTGACGGATCCGAGGGGGCCGGTATAAGTGGAGAAAATATGCTAAAGAACCGATGCAGTGAAATCTAAACTTATTAATAAAGCCATTCAAGATATCGGTATGGGTCGGTATAACTGGCAGCTTTTTGTTTTATGTGGCTTTGGATGGTTTGCAGATAAGTGAGTGCTCTTATATATATGAAAATCTTTATTGTTTTTACTGACTAAATTCACAGTTTATGGATGCAAGTAAGTAGTAGTCTACCTTCAGGTGCTTCTAATATACCCCCTTGATACACTATCTTACATTTATACAAGGGTGTCTCATTGACTCTTCCCTCCCTATCTGAAGAGTTTGGCGTCTCGGAAAAACAGGTCAGGTATACGACTAGTTCTCTCTTCGCAGGTCTTTGCCTGGGGAGTTTTCTTCTGGGGGCTCGGATCCGACATAATGGGTAGGCGTATTGCCTTCAATTTCACTTTACTAATTACACATTTTCGGTATTTGGACGGCGTACGCTTCGAGTTGGGTATCTGTTTGTATTCTGTTCGCGTGTTTGGGTACTGGAGTTGGGGGAAACTTGCCGGTCGATGGAGCACTTTTCTTAGAGATTCTTCCAGACTCTTCAAGCGCCTTGTTGACTCTTCTATCCGTATGGTGGCCTGTAGGACAGCTTGTTTCGTCAATTGTCGCCTGGTACTTCATCACAAATTGGCCTGCAGCAGAAGGATGGCGTCATTTCGTTATGACAATTGGTATTATCACATTCATCATGTTCCTTATTCGATTTGGCATGTTCCATCTGTTTGAGTCTCCTAAATACCTTTTGTCTCAAGGACGGCAAGCTGAGGCTGTTGCTGTTGTACATGGTATTGCTTACCGGAACAACAAGAAAACTTGGCTCACCGAGGAGATCCTTGATGCTGTTGCCGATACGGAGGGGACTCAACGAATAGCAACCAGGGTTTCAGCTACGAATATTATCAAACAAAACCTCATGTCCTTTTCAGTCGACCACATACGGCCACTTTTCCAGACTCGCACGCTTGGCACGGCAACTCTCCTAATTTGGTTCTGCTGGAGTACCATTGGCCTTGGTTACCCGCTGTTTAACGCGTTCCTCCCGCAATACCTCTCACATGGTGGCTCAGATGTGCCCGTTGGCGACGAAGCTATGGCAATAAATAATGCCACTCCAGCAGAAACATATCGTAACTATGCTATAATATCGGTTGTTGGAGTGCCGGGTAGCCTGCTTGCCGCGTATACCGTTGACCACAAGTCGCCATTCCTAGGGCGGAAGGGGACGCTCGCTATCTCTACGTTAGTTGCTCTATCTTCTTCTTCTTATTCTTCTTCGTCACATTCGGTACGACGCCGAACTCGCAGCTCTTCTTCACCTGCATCGAAGCCTTCTGCCAGAATATCATGTACGGTGTGCTTTACGCTTTCACCCCCGAATTTTCCCCGCGCCCGTTAGAGGAGCCGGGACAGGTGTGGCCAGCTTCTTAAACCGCGTCACGGGGCTCATTGCACCAATTCTTGCTGCCAACATGCCTGGAGATGGCACTAAAACCCCCATCTATATGTCAGCAATCTTGATCTTGGCTGCTTTCGTAGGGATGGTATTGATTCCTATCGAGACCAGAGGCAGGCAAAGACTCTAAAGGAATAATCCTCATCAAGAGCATTACTATGTAGTAGTGATATGCATATTAGAATGAATAATTGGACATATGTAAAGGTAAATTTAATCACTGCGTCGTCCATGCTGGGATCAATAGCATAGTATCAAGAAAAATAATTAGGGTTAAATCAATTTAATAAATTTAACACAAGTAGTAATGCAAGTCTTAACTGGTTATCTGTTTCCCTTAGCCCCCGCAGGCGCATCTACCCGTCGCTTTTGGAACGACCGTCCCAATGCATCCTTCACCATGGGATCCGCGCGGATTGTGTTCTGTACGAGCCATTCCTTTAGCTTCGACCGCATGCTACCGATTACCTCGGCATCGCCAGCAAAAGGAGCCATCTCCAGCTCCATGAGTCGTGCTGCGTCGACATCCATACTCCAAGCCGTCTGCTCGAGTCTATCTAAGCTTTGTTGTAACGCCTTCTCCGACGCCTCGCCGGGCTTCATCCCCTCTGATTTGGCGGCTGTAGCAGCGGTCCTATTTGCGAGAAGGCAATGTACAGCGTAATGCTTAGTTTGCGCGCGAGAGTGATAGCTTGGAAGGGTAGGTAAGGGGATGGTCGGTGAAGCGAGTCAGAACCGGGTTGATAATGCCGCTGAGGAAGCGTGGAAATGAAGGACGTGTGATGGTGTGTAGCTCGAAGACGCACAGCGCGACCAGGGTCAGCCAGCGCCATATCGCCCCCATTCTAGGTACCCTATCAGTCCTAACACGTACATGGCGACGGCGGCAAAGCCATAGTAAGGAACTAGGACCTGGACCCCGCGGATAACGTAATCGCGTATGGTGACGCAGTGTTTCCAGGCGACAATATCTGGGCCAAAGCGCTCATAGGCGAAGCGCCGCGCGGGGTCAACAAGGGTGTCCGAAGCCGTTTTCAGATGCATAAAGAAATCGGCACTGTCGGCGGCATCACCCCCACCAGCACTGCTCATGACTTTGTCCGGGTGGTGCAATGCGCGAGACGGCGGAAACGGCTCTTGATATCGCGCTCGGTGGCGGCGAGAGGCACGCCTAGGTCGGCATAGTAGTCAGAGGCACGGCGTAGTTCATAGTCGGCTTCGTAGATGGTGTAGAGCAGATACAGGGACACTACGAGGATGTGGATGCGACGGCGGTGTTCGGCGTATCGGGGTGAGTTCGGGGCGGGTTTGCGGTCGCCGGCGCGGATGGTGAGGCCGTAGTAGATAGACTGTACCCAGCCGGTGACGAGCTGCGCGCGGTGTTAGTGTTAGTGTTAATGATAGTTTCGGGATCGCTTCTTCATTATAGGACCAATAGTAGAATAGAACATACATTGGGGAGGAATGTCCATCCCAATAGAGAGAGGAGATTGCTGCCAGCCATAGCGGTAGTCGCGTTAGCTATTATTGTGTGTAGGGTAAGTTAGATCATGGTTTAAGGCTGTATGTAGTGTATGTCGAAGACCTGAACGAATCATGTAGCAACAAAGGTTCAAAGACGCGTATAGATTTACAACAATTACAACGTGGTCGCTAAAATACCTGGTACATTATTACGTAGGTAGGGTACCCCATATTACCTAATATTAGCGTTTTTAGGCTGCCGAGTCACTATATTATGTCATAGTTAATAGTGGTAGTACAAACTTAAGGTAGGGCGCAATGCAGTGATCTGCGCTATATTAAATCAGATACGTACATTCACAGCAGACCTTTTTTAACCTTCAGTTATTCTTAGGAGGTAATTCTTTATGTACACATAACTATATAAACTCATTCTATCATTAATTGAAGAGTTGGACAATGAGTGAAAACTGACTAGTTAATATATTACAAACTATTACTATTGGTTATATTAGAGAGTAACCATTCCCTGATAAAAGTCTTATCATATACGTATATAAGTATCGTAGAATCTTATGTATGTTTGATAGTTTCAGCTGATGATGCCTTGGGCTTCAAACCTCTCACAAGAGGCATTTATGATATCATCGCCCCTTGATGACCATAAGGTATTTTACCCTCCCCCTTTCCAAGTTGGCTCTGTGTCTCGGAAGGTTGGTCCTCGTAACCATCGACTCATGCCCTACCTAATGCAAGCCAATATAGATTGCATCGTGTCATAGTCATATCGTTCATATTACCAACTCGTCCAACGTCCATGTAATATAACGTGGCGGAAAGGAAGCGGTGAAGCCTGCTTGAATCGGCGGTTGGGTCGCCATTCTTGTTATTCTCACTTGCTGCTACTGCTGCCGCCGCCGCCGCTTGGCCCGCCTGACTGGCGTCTCTGATCCCGTTCGTGTTGCTATATCGAGTAAGCTACCTAGATTTATTCCAAACTACCCGAGCTGAGCGGCCCGAGGGAAGAAAAAAAGACGCACGGCATTACGTCTAGCTTCTTTTATAGAAGACCGTGTGTAACTAACGAACCTAGTCAGCACGTACACCAACAGCATCAAGTGACTGGGCAATTTTCATACGCAAATAAAACGCATGCCATGGTGAAGGCGGCTGCAGGTGCCATGATAGTCTAGATAAATCCAGGTTAGATTAGTGCATCTCATACAATAGATGCAAGGATACAATAAGTAGCATACCCGTGGCGTAAGATTCCCTCCTGGTGCCATATCCGCCGTCCCGTAAGGATTCGTTTATGTATTATTGTTGGTGGATCAGATGCTCTCAAATGAAATGCAAGTGCCAAATGTAGTTGGTGATTCGCAACGTTGAGAGCTGAACTGAATCTCGGTTATTAAGAAAAGATGTAAAGTTTGGTTCTTTTGCCAGGTGCCGATCAGTGCGAACCATGGATCATACGATACTGGATTAAGAACCCTTTCAAGAACCCTTCGCGCTTAAGTTTAATCAACGCATACATCGCAATTCCCGTCTATTGTTTTAGTCTATGTCAAAACAACAATAATTATATCGTGACTTTTACGCATACATGAGCTTTTATTTCTCCCTTTTTTTCTTTTCCACCCTTTTTGTTTTTTTTATATATATAAAAAAAAGGAGGGGAGCCTACTACCAACAATTTTACCAAATCAACCTATTACCCCTTTTATAAAATACCAGGTAGCTCTTGATTAATAACGAGGGTGTTGGCAAGAGGGTTAAAACGATATTGGCCGATACGAAGGAAGGCATGCTCATCATTAAGGTGGAAAGAATATAAATAATTTATTAGATGGCGAATAACTAGAAAATATGAGTGCATTCCGTTCACCCCTGCCCCTCTATAAAGTTCTAGTTCTAGGCTCTCTTGACGAATATTGAAAATGCTCAATATCATCGTAAGCCTCGTCTTGGATACACGAATATACGAGTATTACACACCTCAATTACCTTAACCAATCAAAGTTTTATCAAAGTCTCTCTCTTACGGCGGTAATGAATTTATATTAAAAAAATCCCGAATGAGCTGGAAAGGCAAAACAGCGTCCATTGTGAATTAACTCCAATATGTCCTTGGAAATATACTCATAAACCTAGGTTTCAATACACATATACCTAATGTAGGAGCTCAGCTTGAAACCTGCACCCCCCCTCCCCCATCGGAGGTTTCTTCCAGGGTAATGGCCCGAATCGCTCCGATACTATGTTCCATGCACCATGCTTGTTGGATGAGATGTAGGGGTTCTATGCATATACAACGCCAAACAAGATACTATCAGGATATTCAGGGTCAATCAACATGGTGGTATTCAATGCAGCAACACACGCGCCCGTACTACATTACACAGCTTGCAACTCTGCGTGTGATATTCTAAAGACCAGGCTCTCACTATGTGCGGCTTTTACAAGCCTATATGGCCAAATCGTCGGTTATGACCTTTTCAGGAGTAATCCCTTTCCTCCAGGTATGGGAAGGTTCTTATATATACGATACCTAGTTGGATTTTCATGCATGTATAAGTATTATCACTGTGATACGTCTTAGCCTTCCTTTATATCCCGATTGGCATAATATCCATCTACCAATGACCTTAGCTCCGGTAAATAGACGAATACCTAAGGGTCCAACACGACGTCATTCCGTAATCTATCGAATAGGAGAACTATATATTACTAATGATAATTATTAGGCGTTTTTATTCGTATTATCAACGGCTAGGATCCGGGGGTCCGGGTATGCTATTTGGCACGTCCAAGAAAGGTCGACGAATTAAGTGTTAGTATGGATGCTCAATCCGATAGAAGATTCATTCTAGAAGCATACTTCCGTTAGGTAGAAACAGGACGCAGCAGAAAAAAGCTGGCAATCGCCTGGTATAGCTCTTAGTTAACCCCCAAATGGAACCTAAGAGGCAGTACCAAGACCGTTGGTCCAGGTATATTATAGAATCGGATACTATACCAAGGTGTGATTCACGGGGCCCTTCTTGCATTTTTTTCAGCTGAGGTCCTCACTTCTCTATCGACAAATATGGTGGAGATCTTCGTCAAAGTAAAGATGCCGACCTAAATATTCGAAGCTGAATACTCCATGTATCCATACAGAGACTTTCTTCTACTTGACGAACCAATTCGGCTCAAACGCATATCGTACCTAATGGGAATGTGACTTCGTTGTGACTTCGTTGTGACTTGGTCGCATACTCAATTCCATCAGGCTGCGGTTGAAGTCTTTTCTACCTTGTATCACGTACGCCAAACCTCGCCTAAGATGCCAGCAGCACGGGATTAATTTCTCACTATGCTGAATAGGCGTCTTTGGCAACACTCGGCGATAATCATCCGGTCTAGACGGTATAGCTCGCAGAATCAGATGGTCATTAGGTCGAAATGTTATATCTTCTACGGCAACGTTGTAGCAAGGCTCTACCGGATTTGTAGACGTGCCGTTAATAGGGTACCTAAGGCAAAGCGGATAATAAAGCAGCGATCGGTATACTACGTAGACTAGTTAGTCTAGACTCTATGATAGGGGCAACAATTCCTTTTGTTCAACACTCCGTATCACAACTTCCGTTTCTCAGCTATCCGAGCTTCTATGATAGGCCACGTATATGAAATGTAGTTCGTCAGCCAAATTAACTGCAGACGCCCCCAACAAGTAAATATTCCGGTAAAGGGGCCTTGTAGTATCTTAACATCTAGAAGCAACCGCCAAGTTTCCACCAATTGTCTTATTACACAGATTCGGTTGCTCGTGATCGGCTTGCGTGGCTTGAATGAAAACGCACGGTTGGAGTAAGGCTCTTGTACTCGTCTACAAGCCATATAGTGTTCTACCCGGGCGTGACGATCCACTATCCTCTAGCAATATCGTGAATGTGGATGGTTTTAGGCCGAGGGTAATAGTGTTAGCATGTGGTAGTATCTCGTTAGCGAGGAAGGAATTATATCTACTTAGATGCCAAGTAGCTAAGACGGAAATGAAGATGGTATCCTAGGAGTAGACTTCCTGGGCACTGTAGTCACAGGTGCTCCTCCTGGCTAGTATTACAGTCTATTTGGGCATTCCGAGGCATGTAGGAGAGTGAAACTGCTTCATTGTCAGCCGCAGCCACCTTAATGTTATCAATTTTACCAACCAATACGCATATGGTAGTCTCACAACCGCTGTGGGTGTTTTTAAATCGGGAATAGATCTAAATAGGTATGAAATAATTGGGCTTTTTACCCAGGATGTCATTATCTAGGTAAGCGCTATGCATTCGCTTGTCTCGTAAGGATACTAGAAAGATACATAGTGTAACTTTTTCGTTTCCTGACCGACTTAGTAGAAGGGGGGGGGGGGGGGAACCAATACGGGCCGGGACAGTTCGTTCTCGACATCCGGGTCGGGAGAAGACTTTGAGTCTGAGCGGATCTTTTCGGTGCCTTAAGGCAATTTTCGGGATAGGAGTCGGTTGTTATGCACTCACTGATTTTCATGCTGTGAACCACACCCAGCTTACTAGTAATGCAAAGCTACTCTTACTGACATCTACTAATTGTCACGAGACTGATAATATATTCTTACGTGATTAAGATTGAGGGGGAATCTATGTTAGGTACTGTCGAGCTTGTTAGTAGTTAGTTAGTAGCTGACGTACTTTTCCTAACCTAACCCAAAATACTATAAGGCTTACTGATAAATAAAATTAAGAAGCAAGGGGAAATATAAAGGCTTGTACCGATCCGGTTTTAGGCCAGCCGTGCATACTGTTAAATTAAGTCTAGAGCGGCATAAGAAGCAGGCTCTGTCTTGGCTTATATGGGGTCCGAAAAGGAGGCTATAGACCTTTATGCATTAATATAATATTGCACATTCGATCTCGGTTGAAAATGGCCTCGAGAATAGATAAATGTATAAGAAACCCAAATATAATAAGTGCAAGACATAGTCTCTGAATCAACGAATGCATATGAACAATTGAGGAAAGGAAGAAA